ATAATAGATAATATTTTAACAAACATTTGCAATGCGTATGTAGCTATGTGTGTATTGCTAGTTTCTATGGCGAAAGTAAATAACATATGAATATGTTTTTCCCTCACAAATGCTGTAGGTTAAACGTGAACTTGAAAATAGGTATTATGTTTCTCTGAGAAAATTGGCAATAAACTTTCAATAGACAGCAAATTGGATTCTATCATAAGTAGATCTGTGTGTTGGGTGAATTCTTGATGACAAAATCAGTTTTTAGCTGCATCCAAAGATAATTCCTTTTTATGTGGTCTTTACACTTCGAATATACAGGGTGAGATGAAAAAACTGCAACCAACTTCAGACTGCTGTCATTTCTAAGCCAATCCTCCGACAGCTGCTAAAATTATTCCACTGACAGCTCATTATATTGTTTACAAGCGTACAAAAACATTTTGGTGAGAGTTTTCCAGAAAAAAAGTTATTCGTGATGGAATTCAAGCGTGATTTCTTTATACATGGCTGGAAAATCAAAAATGACTATCGTTATGTGAATAAATCTTTTGTGTCTCGTACCATGGCTCGTTACCGTGATACTGGTAACGTAGCCCGACGTCTAGGAAGTGGACGGAAGAAAACAGAAACATCAGCAGAAATGGTTCGAAAAGTAAAGAAGCGACTTGATCGCAACCCGCGTCGCATTGACCGAAAAATGGCTCGTGAGCTAAACATATCACATTCCATTCGCAAATATTGAAAAATGAGCCCGGGGTAAAGCCATTGAAATTCCAAAAAGTGCAAGAACTTACACTATTAACATTTAAATGCTCGAGTGCTCTAAAGTTAGCCACTTGTGAATTTAAAGTCAAATATAAAGAAATCAAACTATCACGCTTTAATTCCATCACGAATAACTTCTTTTCTGGAAAATTGTCTCCAAAATGCTTGCGTACGCTTGTAAACAATATAATGAGCTATCACTGGAACAATTTTAACAGCTGTCGGACGAGTGGCTTAGAAATGACAGCAGTCTGAAATTGGTTGCAGTTATTTCATCTCACCTTGTATATACTTTATGCCTCCGTCGGAGCTAGAACCCATTATGACCTACAAATACCAATTTTCAGACAAATCCGTGGAAAAATGTGATATATCTCATTTTCAAAAAACCAATATCCTTGACACAATACAAAATGTTGTGCCAAATTTTAAAGCGCTGCGTCTAATAATGTGGTTTGTATCGTAATTTTAACAGACGGACATCGTTAAATCGACTTAGAATTTTATGGTGATCATGAATATATATGGGTGTACGACGAATAATTAGGTATGTTACAAAGGGAATGACAAAGTTGATATACCATCCTTTTTAAATTGGAGGGTATAAAAATAAATGCAGCCAATTTAAGATAATTTAAAATATAAATCTCTTTGACCCAGAAATTGGAATATTAATAAATTAATAACATGCACATCAATTTGTAACATAATTTCACTTTCATTATTATGCATTTTTCTTACAAAACACACAGACGCTTTAGATTACTTCTTTATTCGTATTTATTCTTTTATTTTTATTTATTCTTCATTATTCTATTTGAAGGAACTTTGCGTCGTTTGTTCTTGAGTTTCAAATTTTAATGTGGCAACAAAACATAAACAAACAGTTCTTGGAACCATGTAAACATTTGACCATATGTAAATAGAAAGGGACTATTTTTTAAATAAAGTAAATAAGTTTGCCCATGAACCTAGTCATTTCTTTCTTTCCCCAAATGTTTGCAATTCAATTTACAATATCACACCTAAGAGGCATAGTTTGTAGCGTATATTTTAAAATGAGAAAGTAAGAATATGCTGTTTACCTGAAAAACTTCTAGAAAATATTGAGCAGGGCCTCAATTCTTGTTCTATGAAAAAGTGAATTTAAAACTTTTATAAGGGAAGGAATGTCAAAACGAAAACGTTTACAAAGAAACGTTTTTTTAATTTCATATTTTCACCGAACAAGAATTTATCTCTCGAAGGGAGTATTCGATTTGGTCCAAACTTGGTACATCGTAATATTATTGTCAAACTTATATCGAGTTCGGAGATGGGCAATATCGGTCCACTCCTTCTGGTACCTCCCACAGAAAATGTCAATATTTCAAAGAAAATTATTTACTCCACAGAAAGTGAACGGATAGTCCGATTTTGCTCCAACTTTGCAAATCCTAATATTTGCAGCAGTGCTAGGTCAGGTGCGAAAATGGACAATGTCGGTCCACTCCATCCAGTACCTCCCTCACAAAGGTTCAACATTTTGAATAATTATTGCTCTTATAAAATGTGATGTAAGAGTCCGATTGACTTGAAATTGCACACATTACAATATTTTTATTAACTCATGGTATGGGTGGTGATAGAATATATCGGTCTACTCCTTCTGGTTCCTTCCCCACAAAGGGGGAAGCTCATAAAACGCGATATTAACATTCGACTCTATTCAGACTTGGCACATCTCACTATTTCTATCAACACAAGATCTGTTATAAAGATGGTAGTGAACGGACCAATTCTTCTGTCACCTTCCGCACCAAGGGTCAAAGTTTTTAATAACCAAAACGAAATAGGCATCCGGTTCTCTTCATATTTCATACATCACAATGTTTTTAGTAACCCAAAGTCTGGCGTGAAGATGGGATATATCGGTCCACTCCTTCAGGTACCTCCCCCACAAAGTGTCAAAATTTTGAATATCTTTGAAGCTCATAAAGCGGGAAATTAACATCCGATTCCATTCAGACCTGGTACAACTCAATATTTTCATTAAAACAAGATCTATTATAAAAATGGTAGAGATCGAACAATTTCTTCTGGTACCTCTCCACGCAGAGTTTAAGATTTTTGAAAAAAAAAAAAGCAAAACGCACAAAGGAAGCGAAATAAGCATCCAACTCACTTCAAATTTCACACATCCAAATATTTTTGCTGACGCAAGATCTGTTATGAAGATGATATATATCTGCCAACCCCTTCTGGTACCTCACCCACGAAGGCTCACAATTTACAATACTTATATCTGTCATAATTGGCAAAACAAGTAGGCGTCGTTTGAAAAATGAAATAAAACTTAGTTTTATTATCACTAAAATAAAAACTGACCAAAAAGAACACAAAAAAATAAAATAAAACAAATTGTTCATCATATAAAAAACATAAAAAACTTCAAATTATTTTTACTGGTTTGATATATATTTCTTAAATTTGTTGTCTTAAATTTACACGAAGGATCGTAAGCGTGCATTGAAGTCGTCGTGCATACCTACATATTTTAATGTACACCCCCTTAGAACAACCACCCCATCCATCTTGTTTTTCTTTTCTTTTCCCTTTTGCATGTAACATGCAATATGTTTTTTAATTCATGCTTGTGTGCTTCATATACATGTTATGCTAAGAAGTTTAATCAATGTTGTTAATTTACTACCTGAAATGTGAATCATGGGAAACAACAACCGACTGGTATTAAATATTGATTATTTCAGAGGTGTAATACCAATTTAGGAATAGCTTGCACAAAGGTATTACAAATTTGGGAATTACTTGAATACATATTTTGTTCAAGTTTAGGCATCATTTGTATTAGAAAAACACACAAGACATTTAGAATAAATACAAAAGGCTTAATCACGAAAGTAGAAAACTAGCATCCAGCTTGAAAATTAACTTTTTCATTCCGTGTGTAACATCCCTAAATATTCGTCGTAGACCCCATATTCATAATCAGCATAAAATTCTGTCTATTGAAATCACGATACGGCCCACATTATTTGATGTAAAATTTGGCACAACAATTTGTATTGTGCCTAGGATGGTTGGTATTTAAAATGAGATATATCGGTCCACGTTTTCGTATTTTTCCACATATTCTTTAGTTAAATATAATTTAGATAACGTCAGAACTTGACTTAAAAGTTTTGAAATCTTAAGAAACTCGAAATGTGAGTGTGTCTGTGCTTAATGTAGTCAAATCCTCCTTCAAAATCAAAATCGTTAAGAACTGCAGATCTTTTATTGAAACCGTATCGATAGTTATAAATTGAGTTGGATGAAATCGATGACTAAGAAGAAGAGAAAATAGAAAGGATGAGTCGTCCCTTCTGCTTGTAGCCTGGATTTACGAAGAGAAACTCTTATTTTTACAAAGAACCCTATCTAGTGGTAATTTAATGATGCTATGAGCCTAGACTCAACAAACCCATATTGCTCTTTGCACCTCTCAATTTCAAGAAGAATCTCTTTACTATGAAGATAGACAGGTTGTCTGAAGAACATGACTCGCAGACGGCCTCAATGCTGTCGGTTTGCCTGCAAATTCCAACCACATGGGTCATGACGAAACGTCACTGAAAGGATCAGCTTTGGTGGAAATCTTAAAGACAAAGTTTACTGGATGTTGTTTCTTTATTCAGGGTCCAGAAAAATAGAGGGAGTCAAGAGAGAAATTTTGATAGTTTTGTTACTGAGAATTATGGAAAGCACAAAATGTCTTATTTCATAAATTTTTGAGCTTTCTTCGCACTGGCACATGTACGAGAAAACGTGATTTCGCTCAATTCTGAAAGTTGTCTGGTCATATTTTACCATATATTCATATGGGTGAACTTACTCTGCATTGTAAATCATAAATTTGTTTAAATATTTTATTTCAGAATCTGCTGGTTTTCTGTTGTGCAGTTCGCTTTATAATGCCTTCCTAACATGTCCAGGGACGCTTAAAACTCCATTGTTAGAAAATGATAAGCAATAAAATATTTTACCCTTGCTTATAGAAATAGAAGGATGAGAGGGGACATTAAAAAAGGTTTTAGCATGCAATTTTTTAAGAAACTCGAAAAAATTATAATTATTTTATAAATAGCTCTGTAAAAACGTTATCGTTTTGAAATATCATTCGACATGTTCTGCAACTAAACAAATACTTATAAATATTAGCAGATTCATGTTATTAAAACTTTCAATCAGAGTTCTCACCCTACCTTATTGATATGTTTGCGAACAGGCGGCTTTTGTTTTTATACTCCTAAAAATGCATCCAAATATTCTCTCAAACAATGTAGAATGCTGTCAAAAAGATTTTATTTTATCCATTCCTTGGAGGGTTAGTTTTGGGCAGGGCGGCAGTGTATGTGTGTGTGCAAGTGCTACAACAAATTCGATGTATTCAATTAATCTTGATGTCCATTAATTTGTTTTCCATTCATTCGTTACAACTTCAAAACAGACGTCAACAAAAAATAAACGGGCTATTGGTTCTTCTGCTACGTCTTTTTCTTCGTCGTACGTGTGGCACAGTCTGAAGTGTTTTCTTGAGGGCAAAAAGATGGAGTACTTGAAAAGCAAAAGGCCAACAAGCAGAGCAAATGACGAGAAAAATAAAAAGATGACAACCAGAAGATTTGGATGCGGGTTTAGCTCACACAAATAGCTTTGCTCAAAAAGACAATTCTGTCAGTTTCCAAGCCAGCAATATTCATTTACCACAACTACCGTCGCTTATTGGACAGCAGAAAGCATACATATTTCACTTGTACATTAAACGATGATCTTCACTTTCACACGCGGTACTCTCGTCACAGAATTTACCTATGACGCGGCGAGTGTTTTGTTGGTACTTTTTGTATTTACCCCGCCGTACAAAGGGTATCAAGGATATTTATTTATAAATTACACTGAACTGTGGAGAGTACTAAAAATAAATCCAGCCGAAGGGGACGGGTTGGCAGCAGGCAGGCAAGATAATGAATGCAAAATTAAGATGAGTAATCATAGCCAGGCCTATTTTAACGTAACCCAAACAAGGCCTTTTTTCTTTCCGTTTTGTAATATTACAATTGCCCGTTTATTATATTTCTGGGGCCCACATTATTTGTTACTCACTAAATGAAAAAAAAAAAAAAAACACTGCACCACACACTCCATACACACGATTCATGCATGAAGTATAAAAATCAATCAATTCTAAAAAAGACCGACGAATTTCGTTTCATTCACGTTTCTGTTACGTAAATCGATTAGTTAAACTAATTAGAAACACAAGTAGTAATAAATACCAGCGTTCAACAGAAATATTCGGGTAAGAGAAAATAAAAACAGAATTCATAAAGTCGGAAAAAATTGTAAATTTGTTCGTAGTCAAGCGATAGTTGTTATACGTTAAAGAACAGAGTTACACTGTTGCCCATGACAACGGCGATGCAAATACTACACATGACGGCGATAGAATTTAAGAAAGGGCACATTGAAGTATAGCCAACACATTGCAATTAGGACTCTGTAAACCTATCATTTATATAATCGATAAGTTATTTCAAAAGAAAATATTTTTAGTAATCTTATAGCATGTTTCCATTGAAACTGAACAACGTTGTTCGCTCTCAGAATTAGGTACATGAATTAACCCGTTCATATGGCACGATTCGTAATTCATAGTAAAATAATTACATTTTTCAAAAATTTTGTTTTTTGATTTTAATGGGAATTCGTCCCAACATACCAAAAATACAATACAGCTTGAGAACAATATTATAAAAATATAATTTTTCAACAATGCTTGAGAAACACTTATGTTCCACAAACATTTCTCAAGTCTGTCCCTTGTTGACAAATTAGTTTTGATTTTTTGTGAAAATTGTCAGCAAGAAATTATTTTCTTTGGCAAAAAACAAAATTACGCGAATTTAGGACCCATTTGTGGACCGAACCCTTAAGGTATGGATGAATAATAAATCCGGGAATCTTTCACATAAATTATTCCAATCCCATTTCAGATTGGAAGCATCAAAAAAGTTGCAGGAATTCAATAAATGTGTAGTCTTAGTGGAAGAGATGCAGAAGTTCAAATAAGGGAGAAGAAAGCGTCAGGGTATCAAGGCCACATGCGGCAGTGACTACTGGGATGTCCATCAAGAAAAAACGTTAAAAATGATTAAAAACTAAAAAAAATAATATTTTATACTATTACAAAAATAAGCTTATTATAATATTATTTTTGTAAGCTTATTCTACAATTTCAAGTATAAGCTTATAAATAAGGGTTCCGTTTCGATTATTCTATACTTGTTATACAAACATTTTTCAATGTTTTCTCAAGATTTTCTCAAGCTTAAGCCTTATGTTCATAAGCTTATTGTAATATTATTCTCAAGCCATTTTGGTATGTTGGGGTACGAAAATACATGAAATTCTCACTAATATGAATAGAAGAAATTATTGTTTTCCTCCCAAAGATTTATTATATCATTAATTTTACAATTTTCATTCACGGTTTTAACTTTTTGTGTAAATGTTGACATTTTGAACATATTTTTGTGTTTTTCCATTTCTAAATTCTGCTGGAGAGGCACTTGTCAAACATTTTTTCTGCCGATAGAAACATTTTGAAAATATTGCCTCTTTTGTTTGCAGTTTTCTGTGGAAATTTCAACTCGTGGACCAAATGCGTACCTCGAATGAGAGAGAAAACAAAATTTACTTTCGTTTGAATGTACATACGCCATTCAACATTGTAGTTTTCATTCATCATTTTCAGTCATCCCAAAAATTTTTAAAATTTCACTTAATTTTTCTATTTTTAATTTTTAAATGTCATAACTTATTTTTTCGATAAATGTTCTCATTTATTAGGGATGGGACATATTTTTTCGTTGTTCTGAGAGTGATTTGATTTGAACAACGTACAAATATGAGTGTTCGCTCAGGAAATTTTGTGTGAAGAATTAGGTAGTTTTTTCATAGTTAAGGGTCAAACAACGAATAGAGAGCGAATCAAGTGCAGTGGAAACGCCACATTAGATTTGGTCTTTTCCAGAACTGCATGAATATAAAAGTTTTTACAACGATAAAATAAATGCAAAACTAGTAGATTCTTGCAGGTTCTGGAACAGACCAATTATTGGCCATTCTGTGAAAACAGTGCGTTTGTTAAAAGAAAAGGAAATTACATGTGTTTGTTGTTTTCGGTTCAAACGCCGAATCTACCTTATAGTTTTTGTGAATGCTCATGAAAATACCTATCGAACAAATGCTTTTGTTAGTCTATAATTATTGATTGGCTCAAACATAAGCGAGATGGTTTTAAATTTTTTAAACTCTAGTTCTCGGAAAAGAAGTTTTTCTTAGAGAATGGACTTGGGTACAATTTGATTTCAGGAGTTTTCGTTTTTTACCATGGCTTACCTAGTCATGACTTCAAACTTATTATGTACTTGAACCTTTAGTGTTACTTATATTTGCTCTGTTCCTGAACTGCAAGATTGTATAAGTTTTTACTACGATAACCGATTTTCCACTATTTTTGCAATTTTTTTTCGATATCATAAAAGGGAAAGTAAAAATTTAAAAAAATTAAAAAAAAAACTGTAACATTAGAACTGTAAAAATTTTAGTTCTGGAACAGAGCAATTTTTGAATAAAAAATAAAAACTCAAAATTAATTGCCAAAACAATTCTCCCTTTCGATTCCCCTTACCTAATCTTTCTACAAACTGAGAAACTGTGAACATGCCTAATGTAAATTCGGAGTGTTTGAAAACAAATTGAAAGAGGCAAAAAAGGTAATTGAGGAACTTTGTATAAAAATACCTGCTTGTGGTAGTATTTTGAATATATATTTTCGTTTTAGAAACAGCCAAATAAAAAATATATATTTCTGTTACTTTGGGACCTTAAATTTCACCCGGAAAATTTAATTATATGTATTTTTTTTAAACCAGCTTAAAAGGCCTACCTTTGGTAAGAATTTCAGTTTGTCCACCAACTGGGTGTATATTCAATTTAAAGCAAACTATATACACGTTTTCTTCACAATGGAAACAGTGTTTTGTGAAAAAAAATATTTTTACAATTGATTTAAAAAGCTCTTATATCTATTCGCCTTTCTAGGACCTCAACACAAGTTTTGGGTTTGAAATTTACAATTCCCAACTCTTTTAAAGACTTCATTTTTTCCTCCAAGGATGTTTCTTCGCTTTGTAGAGTTTCGTGTAATAGCATAGCAGTGCCAAGGGCACAATTTAACAATTTGTTGGCATCATGGATTCTAAGAAAAAAAAAAAAAAAAAACAACAAAACAACAAAATTAGATTAAATTTTTGGAGTATTAAGTCATTTTTGTATATACCTCTTGAACAATAAATCTGGCCTCCTACAATATTGACCAAATAATGCAAATAAATTACGTGTCATATCGTAATTAAATTGGGCTGCTCCAGCAGGTGAGAATTTTGTGTTCATAATCATACTGTCCAATATATAAGCATCGATTTGTTGTGCTATTAATCTCAGAGTCAAATTAAAAAGATTAGATGACAATTCTCTTTCTAGATTGTGCAAAACTGTGACCATCACTTGGAACATTTCTCCGGCACTTGGTGATAATATGAAAGGCTCTTTATTGTTTTGGTCTGGCATGGTGGGCCAACAGTCATGTCTGTATGGCATTGATTTGGCTTTAATTTCATTAACGGCCTTTGTGGCTAAGTTCTTCAATAGTTTTTCAGTCCAATGTTCAAGTTCGGACACGGGATTTTCAAAGACCGAATTGATTTCATCGGCATTCGGGCCAACCAGGGCCGCATGTAAGTGCAAATAGTGTACATTTTCACCCCATTCACTCAATACCATTTTAATGTAATTAATAGCATTCAATATGGGGATACTCTCCACCATGCCACTACTATGAAGTTGCACAAGGCGACGTCGAAAGTTATCTATCAATTCGAGTTGTAAACTTAAAAATTGTAATTGATGTCCTGGCTGTATTAAGGAATAATAGCGGTCCTTTATGGCCTCTAGCAGACGTATAAATTGATCTGCACACTTGGGAATTTTTAAATCATCATCGTATATATTAGGATCAATTAGTAGCCAGGGATTTTCGGCTTGCAGTATCATATCCATTTTCTCAGAGCAAACTGAAAGTATAAACAGTCGTTAGTGGGATACAATTTCATAAATACAACATCATTACATCTTTCTTCCAACGATATCCATTTGAGTAAATACACTGGTTGGGTAATTACACATATAGCACTGGGAAAGCTGGCAGGATATCCAAAATTTTCTCTTAATTCAGCTTCAAATGCCAATGTTTCATCTAATAAATGTGCGAAAAGATTTTCATCTCGACTTATTTCCTCAATGTCTGCTATAAGTTTTTCAATCGTCAATTGAACTAAACCACGCATAAATTCCAACTAATAAAGAATAATAATTTGTAGTATAGCCATGAATGTTATGAGTAATTATTTCCATACCCTGATATTGAAGTCCAATTTTCCTGCTTTAACTGCAGATGTTTGGAATGTTTTTCCAACAAACAGGTGAGTCTCTTTGCCCCAGTTTAAGATTTGCGTATAAAACCATTCAGGCTTATCCAAACGATTTGTCTGTTTCACACCTGTGAAGTGGTACATAAATCTGAAAGATTCAATTACAATTATACTAGGTGTATTGAAATATGTTGCTCGATAATAACTAACCGTTGTCTATAGGGTGCTACTAAATACTTAGTTACAGTTGATAAGGGTTGACAAATAATGCTGGGAGCTATCATTTCCAGTTGTTCAGTTTCTTCAGCTGGTGATTTTAACTAGAATAGGAAATTTAATTCTATGACACATTTAAAATCAAATTTAAAATGTTTTGAACACACACCAAAAACAGATATTCGGCTAATAATTGCGCCTTGGTAATGTTATCGGCAGATGGTTTGATTAATAAGGAATCGTGTTCTTTCTGTCCCCATTTCAAAGATTTGAGCACATTTTCAAATTCTCTGTAAAAAGAACACATATGTAGTGTTTATGGTATTTAGATTCCATATTCTATGGATTCCATACTTGGAAAATCTCTCCTTTAGCAAGCTGTGCCAGTGAATTGCAGTTTGAGTGGCAAATGTTTTGAGGAATGGAGCTTCGACACTGGTAAGACGTCCGACAACGCTGTGATCATAATCTCCTTCTTCGTATAAATTTAAGTAGAGATTTATCATTTTAGATTCATCTTTGCCATTTATACACTGCGTAAGAGCGTTACTGGAAGAAAAATAATTGAATGAATAAATCTGCCTAAAATCACTCATCTTATCTCTAATTAATTAATTTTTATACTTTTATGTGAAACTTAACTACAAAAAAAAACCAACCTAAGAATACGGGTTGGATTCAATTATAAAGTTCCAGTTCCAAAAACACATATATGCTCTATTGAACTCAGTAGTTATACGATTTTTTCCTTTTTAAGTCTACTACATTTGTTTTACTACACAAGCGAAATAAATCCTTTAAGATCCGCACAAATCAAGTTTATATATTCTGAATAGATGTGTATTGAAATCATAAGTATATTTTTGTAGTTGGCCATTACATGAATTTTCAACGGTTTCGTATCTATAGACCAAAACTGGGGAAAAGGTATAAAATTGTGATTTCTTTAATACTGTTTCGTCTTAAGGTCTTTTAATCGGTAAGCACATTTTTTAAAGAAAATGAATTATATCGATGGTTGGTGGTGAGTTATGGAGTTGGCATATTTACATACCTAATTTCTTGTATATCCTGAACTATACGCAAATATTGAACCAATTGTTGCAATTTTCTGACTTGCTCCAAATCCGGTTTGACAGCATTCAATGCTTTATTGGATTCAGAAATGCGTTCTACGAGCTTTTTGCCAAACTCTTGTAGTTTGGCCATTTGGAAGTCTATGGTATCACAAGTATGTTGTTCACATTCAAAGGCAGATTTGAAACTGGAGATATTATTCGGCTCTTCATAGCTAAGCTAGAGTATAAAAATTAGCATATTTAGCCATAGGTCCACACGATATAAATTGATATTTACCTTTTCCCGCAAAGTTTCTAAACGAGACTTGTATTCATCAACCAAAAGGGAGGCTCTGTGGAGTTTCTTAAAGTCGCTGCCAATTTCATTATTAATACGAGCCAGTATGCGCTCTTCAAATTTGTTATTCACTTGCATTTTAGACATGATGACTGTTCGTGTGCTATTTCAATATTACAAATTATTCAGTAAAATATAGTGAGCGAGTAAGGTCTTTTAAATTAGACCAAAGATATCCAGTTACCAAGACACCAATGGTCATCCAATTCGTTTTAGAACTCGGAGAGAAGTAGGGCCTAGTTATTGCTGACTAACAATTGAAGGCGCTATCAACCGATTACCTTAACCAAACATTGATCAGTTGTTCCCACAATTAATATTTTAGGCCAAAAAAGACTTTTGGTTTACACAAACGTTAGATTTTCCACGGATAGAGTCATCAGCAAGAAACCTTATTCCACGACAACAAAACACGTCAAGTGGGAAACCGAAATGAAAGACGTCCCCAACGCGACAAATAAGACAGGCAAAAAGTAATTCCCGATAAAAAGTAGACAGAAAGCAAAATCACCGAGTACCTCTCTTGTTTACGAAAGAGACATGAGGACAACGGTTTCTTCTTCTTGTTCACTTCAAAGAACAGCCGATTAATGCAGGATTTTTTGAAATTGCCAGATGCACGTACTATGGTGCTTAAGGCGCTATCAGACGGCACATGTTACACAAAAAATTATGTTGCCGGACACATACATCGTTTTCATTGTTACAAGTTTGATTTAAGTATGAACTGTCAGATAAGCAAAACACAAGACCATCTTCCCTTTATATTTTAACGTAAAGTTTACTGAATTTATGTTGCCATATATTATATTGATAATATGGCAATAACAACAAAATGTATTTACATATACAAATGGATAACCCTAATCGTTTATTTTATATTGAAAAAATGAATTATAGATTTATTTCACGAAATTAATTACAAATTATTTTTGTTCATTATTTTTAAACCAAATTAAGATGACATTTCGAAAAAAAATGCATAGTTTTACAAAAAGCTTGCCATAATTCTGTAAAAATCATTTATTTAAGTAAGGGACAACAAAAGTGATTGTAAAGGAATGATATAATAAATGTCAGTCGCAATGTGCGTTTCATGGTTGAAGAAAACATGTAGACGCATCGACATACATAGGTGACGGGACAACGAACTGTCAAACCCATCATGGAATTGAAAATTCCATTCCATTGGCGTCGCATAAGAAAGATTTAACAAAATCTTCCTTTTTTTGTAAAAACATTTTAAAAATTTTGACACATCAATGTTGATGTATCTACTTGTATTCTTCTACCATGGTACTTTTCTTCTGGTTATTGAATTTGTTTTATTTTTTCATTTTCCAAATCAATAAATATAAAAACAAAATTGGCAGAAATCGGACAAGCTCAAAGAAAAAAATTAACAGCCAATAGCTTTCTACCTAAAGCTGGAAATACATAAAGCGTTTATCTGGCTGGCTTAAGTCATCGGCTGGCTTCTTCGTAGATGAACAAAGGAGTTTTAGTTGACCTAGTTCGATTTTGGCCCTAGGCTCCTTTGTTCATTTCCGAAGAAGCCAGCCGATGACTTAAGCCAGTCAAATAAGCGCTTTATGTATTCCCAGCTTTACTTTTAACTGCATGGTAGAAAAATCCATAAAATAAATAAAAAAATGGGAATATAAATAAGTAGATTTTTTTATATATTTTCTTATACTAAGTCAATCGTAGTATGTTTTGATACGCAATTTTCAATAGTTTTTACAAATTTGAATAATTTTTCATTCAACATTATCAATTCCAAAATTGGTTTGACAGTTCATTACCCCAGCAGCTGTGTCAATGCGACTACCAGCATTTTCCTACCATGATATCTATACTAAACAAACATCAGCTGAGCGGCTTTTTACACTAGTCATTTTAATAGACTCGAATTCTAAATCCAACTGTACAAATTTTACGAAATTATTGATATGACAACATCTCATTGTCAAAATGTAGAATTATATACACAAATCATTGTTTTCCAAGCAGTAAAATTGACAAGAAAAGTTACGGAAAATGCTGAGATGGATATGCTTTTTTGAAATGACTTAACCTTCTTAATTATACCACGTGAATATCTATAATTTTATTTAAATTGGAATTGTTTAGCGATCTCTTGGAGTGTTACATGATTCGTAACTGCAGCTTATAACTATATATTGGAGGAAGTAAATGAAAGCATTAAAATTTAAGAATAATATTTAATAATCCAAATTCTAAAAATGTATATTTTGAAATGTCGTCCATGTATGACATGATGTGTGCAATTTCTACACAAGGAAAATTTGATACTACACGTGTAAAAAATAACTCGTCTGATACAACCTGTAATAACATTGTATAATTGTGGAACTGGATTATTATTTACATCCATGGAACATTGATATGTTAAAAATGTTTGAATGTTTCTCCAAAAAAGTCGATTTTTATATGTTGTCCTATACGACGCCAATGGGAGCTTGTTATGATATGCATTCAAAAATGTCAATTCCAAAATTGGTTTGACAGTTCATTGTCTCAACAGCTGTGTCGATGAGACTACTTGTATTATTTTACCATGCATGGTACAATAAAATCAAGGTAGGGCTATGATGATTTTATATATATTTTTTATTTTCTTCGCTTAATATGTCAACTTTATTTGTTTATGTATGCGTATTCTTTTCAAAAAAAAAATGTCCAGAAAATATTCAAATTTGGGTGTTCCAAAATTTGTATTCTTATTGACGTACGCATCGACAAAATCTACATTTTTGTAGCGAAATAAACCTTTAGAGATATATAGAACATGATTTTGAAAAGAAATTTTGACCTTTCATTCAGTTTTCGCGGTTTTCAATTATTTAGTCAAAATCAATGCAACAAGTTGTTTGGTTTTTTTTATTGGTTTGATAGTAATTCTGACATTACAATCCAAACAGGTAGAACTCTATACTTGCAATTTTTTCAAAGTTGGCCAACCTTGTCTTCATTGTACTATAATATAATCCATGTTTACATTTTCTTAAATTACACATTCGACAATGTGATTACAGAAAAGTGCAGAGTTGTATATTATTATTATTTGAAAAGAGATTATCTTGATTTAATTGTACCATGTTTACATTTATGGGGTATTTAATATAAAAAATTGAGTATCTATAAATTAATATAGATTATGTGATTTTTCACTCTCTGTTAACCACAAAACCAAATACTGAAGTAATTGAATGAGAGGCACTTTGTAATATCAGTCAATTTCACACATCATAACTGAACGGTTCTTTAGTGATTTTAGAAAAAACTGATTTGTATTTGTAATATAAATGCAAAATATAAATAATTTTTAAACATGTTTTCCGAAACAATTGAAAATTGTGCCGAAGATTCAAATAAGTAAGTTTGAGAATAATTGTTTTTAACTGGAAATTATTGCAGGATTAATAATTCGAAGTCTACAAATTAACTAAAAATAATCAATATAAAATTGGAAACAAAAATGAAGAGAAATCATGAAAATTACGAACAACAAATGTGTTTAGTCATCAATGACATCGTTTTAAGCTAAAGAAAAATATTGTGAATAAAGTAGGGCAAGTGTGACAATTTATAAATGCCCTTCAATATATTTTTAATTTACGACGTTTGTTGCTATAAATAATTAAATAGTGGTCCTTGTCTTTGAAAACCACACAACTTTAAAAACATGTTCGGTTTTCGTTATTTCATTTTTAATCACGCAAGTAGTTGCCAGAGTTAATATTTATTTTGGATATAAAAGAAAATGTTTATGAGAATTGTTTACGTATTCAGAAGAGTACGGAGGCGAAGGAGCCATTTCTCTCAGCCTCGCCTAAAACTCAGATACAAGTGATTGATAAGATTTTGAACATACACATGACACACAGAAGATGCAATCAATTCATTGAAATAATTAAATTAGACCTTTATAGCGCTCTCAAATACAACATTTTATCCGGGTTAACCCAAATTATCAGGATTGCTTATACCGGAATTATTCAACCATATTTACCATGCAAAAATAGATATTCTCAATAACGGAAAGCATGACTGAGTTTTTACGTTGGAACTGCGGTAAGCTCCAAAGCTGCAGATGTTTCCGCAATAGCCTTGTTTACATTTTGCATTCCCACAATAAAAAATAAACATTACATTTTATTTACACATGATAATATACTGGGGATTCCATGGTACAATAAGGAGGTAGAACCGAATATCGGGAGGTACCGTTATATGGGGGATATACGATATCGTGGACTTATATAGACAATTCTCTGTCAGGGGGTAAAGTACTCATAAAGAGCTCCTTGTGTACAATTTCATTGAAAAATGTGTCTAAGATCATCAAAATACCGAATATCGGGGTGTGCCGTTATATGAGGGCTATACGATATATACTTTCTTGGGTCTAAAATTATTATTTAGATGAGTTATGTTGTATTCGTGGGAATGATGGTTGAGTTAAAAATGCGGCACGCTTGCTTATTTTAAGAATTACTTTATTTAAAACATACTAATACAAAATGGTGTCAATCTGTACACATGAAGATGGTAAAAAGAGAATGATGAAATTACAATGTATGAGTGTATGTATGTTATGCAGATGACATGAAAGAATAATAACAATGACATATGAAAGTGTAATAATGATATGGTTGCCATCTCTATATAAATAGTTACAACAGTTCTCCCTCACTTAAACGAAACATATTTTAATGTCGAATATAATCGCCAAAATACTGGGGGGGTCTACGTTGCCTTGCAGATGTTCGACGACTTGGGGTGTCTGCAACTTCAGACTCTTCATTGGAGTTTGACAGCTCTTCGGTATGTTGTCCGTTCCTTGAGGGCGATGCTGAAGATGATGTTGTAGGATCTGTGCATTCCAAATCTGGAGGAACTTCGCTTCCATCTGGTGGTACGTATGAGCTTATTACTGGTTGCTGGAAAAATGGTATACCCATTTGTTGAGTGTTGTTTGAAGGCGAATCGGAAGGTGAATTTTCCGCAGTCTTTGGAATTGGCGTATTAGATAAACGGAGCTGGTTTATGTGGCGTTTGAAGACAAATCCATTGTCAAGCTTGATTATATAATGAAGATTACCTAGCTTCTTAGCTACCACACCGAATTTCCAAATCGATTTGTTGGCTGTGTAGTATCGCGCTTGCACTCGGTCTCCCTCACTTAATTTTCTTGCCGATGTTATTGTAGATTTGGTTGATGTTAATTTCAGTGGTTTTAGTGCATCTAATTGAATCTTTATTTGCCTTCCTAAATACATTTCTGAAGGGGTTTTTCCATTTCGGAGAGGCGTGGCCCGATATCTAAATAAAATTTCTCGAATTTTCGTCGACATTGTCGCGGGGTCATTTGACATCGATGTTAAACGTTGTTTTAATGTCTGGATGTTTCTCTCGGCTAGGCCATTTGTCGCAGGATGGCCTGGCGCAATAAATTTTTGGAAAATTCCGCGATGCCTACAAAATTTTGTGAATTCTTCACTTTTGAAAATTGTAGCGTTGTCAGAAACGACTACATCTGGAAAACCATTCCTTGAAAACATATTTTCCAATATTTGAATTGTTGATGATGAAGTTGGTGCAGAAGAAGATACTCCGACCTCAGCCCATTTTGATTTGGCATCTACTACTACCAAAAAGAAATACCCTTGATACGGTCCTGCGTAATCAATGTGAATACGCTGCCAATTGGTTTCAGGTTCTTCCCAGGGGTGTAGGACCACTTTTGGAGGGCTCCTCTTCACTTCTGCACAAGCAGAACATTTCCGTACAAAGTTTTCGATATCTCTATCGATTGATGTCCAATACACATATCGTCTTGCCAATTGTTTCATCTTTGTTATGCCAATATGTGTGTAATGGAGTTCTTCCAAAACAGATTGTTGAAGTGTGGCTGGAACAACTACCCTCGCTCCTCTAAATAAAATGTTGCAATCAATTGTGAATTCGGAGTCAACAATATCCGATTTTTGCAATGTGTTGATGATTTTCGAGAGTTTTTCATCTCTTTTTGTTGCTTCACGAAGAGCGTTGAAGTTTAATTTTATAGAATTGATTTGTTGAATAGTTGATACGCATATAGAATGCACTTCATTATCAAGAAAATTTAAAGTTTGAGTACCTATTTCCAATGGTGCCCTAGATAGGCAATCCGCATTCACGTTTTCCTCGCTCCTCTTAGTGACGACTTCATAGTTATAACCTGTTAAAAATGTTGCGTACCGCTGAAGTCGCGAAGATGTCATTTGAGGCAATTTCGAATGTTGGTGGAATATTCTTGACAATGGCTGGTTATCCGTGATCAATTTGAATAGTCTGCCGTAGACGTATTCATGGAAGTGTTGCACAGCGTAAACAATAGCTAACGCTTCTCTATCTAATTGAGAGTAATTTTTCTCCGCCGACGTTAGCGACCTCGAAGCGAACGCTATGGGTCTTTCTTCATCGTTTATGATGTGCGACAACACTCCTGCTATCCCTGTGGGACTAGCGTCACATGCAAGCTGCAATGGTAATTCGGGGTTGAAAAGTGTTAGTACACGATCACTAGCGATTTCTGCTTTTAATGTTTCAAAAGATTTATTGCATTTGGATGACCATTTAAAGACAGCATTCTTCCGCAATAGGTGTCGTAATGGAGTTGTAATCGTAGCTGAGTTTGGTATGAATCTTGAGTAATACGTCACCATTCCGAGGAACCGGCGAACGTCTTCTACGCACTCAGGTTTAGGCATTTCCAAAATAGCCTGTACTTTTGATAAGGACTTTTGCACCTTATTGTGACGTATGGTGTGTCCCAAAAACTCGATTTGTTCTTCGAAGAATTTACATTTTGCCATGTTTAAATGCAGATCGTATTTACTCAATTGTGTCAAGCATGCTCTCAAATTGGACTTGCACTCTTCCAATGTAGCACCATGAACAACGATATCGTCAAAGTACGATTCTGTTTTAGGAGGTTCCCTTAATATTTGATCTATTATTCTATTGAACTCCGCGGGTGCGGTTTTAATCCCGAAGGAAAGGCGATTCATTTTATATGTGCCTCTATGAGTTGATATAGTTTGTATCTCGCTGGACATATCATCGACGGGTACATGTAGATATGCCTTGTATAAATCTAGACGACAAAAGAATTTAGAGTCTCTTAGACTGTTGAAAATTTCATCGATTTTCCGAATTGGATAATGTGCATCTACTAGGCGTTGATTTACGCCCACCTTGTAGTCGACGCATAAACGTACCCCACCATCCGCCTTAGGAATTACGACTAATGGCGATCCCCAATCGCTGTTTGAAATTTTTGTAATTATAGAAGCTTTCTCCAGTTCGTCAAGCTCTTTATTGACACGCTCTGTCAATGCATATGGAATTTGACGCTCTTTTGTGTACACTGGAGTAGCATTATCCCGCAATTTTAGAGTGACTTTATAATTGGGAATGCACCCAATGTTTTGTTGAAAAACACTAGCAAATTCCGTCACAAATTCTTGCACATCGTTTGTGCTTCCCACGACATTAATCATTTCAGGATTTGAATCACACTCATCTAGTTCATTCAAATTGATGCCTAGACGGCGTATCCACGTCCGTCCAATTAAAGCAGAACACTCATCTGGAACGATATAAATATCATCATTTATTGTACTGTTTTTGAATTTAATATTGACCCGGACTTTTCCATCCGGAATGAATTTATTCTGCGTATAGGATCGGAAAACTATTTTTGTTGGAGTTATTTTGTCATCCATATTTAATTTTGCGAATTGGCTTCTGGGTAAAAATGAATATCCAGATCCTGAATCGACTTCGAATCTTACCACCTTGCCTTCTATAGAAATATCAGCATAGTATCGTTGTGCATCTGTATATTCATTCTGGTACACATCCACAATTTTAAAAATTCCGTACTCGGGATCTGCACTTTGAACTTGATTTGTGGTGTTCGAAAACTTTTTATTTTGTCCGGCATTAGGACCATCCGCCAAAAGAGTAGCTATGCATACTTTAGCCACATGACCACGTTTACTGCATAAGTTACATTTAAGATTTTTACTAGATCGACATTCTCTCGCATAATGATTATTTTTACCACAATGTAAACATAACCCGGCAATTCCTAATTGCGCATAATTGATTTTACCTGATCGTACAGTTTCAGGCCTTTTGAATTTCGCTTTGTGGGGCTTGTTTTTGCTGAAAATTTTGTTTATGTCAACAGAACTGTTGACTTGTGACAATTCCCTAGCATCCACCTTAGCTGCCTCCAATGCCAATGCTTTTAAAACAATTTCTTCGAATTCCGCAGAACTTGTTTGGAGAAGTTGTTCCCGAATACCGTTGTCGTGTATACCTCGGATAAACTGTGCCCTTAGAAAAACATTAGCAATGGAAATTCCACATTCGCACGGGGAGACAAATTCGCATGCATCAATCTCTGCACGAAGAGATGCCACAAATTCGGCTACAGACTGTCCTTCTCTCTGGTAAATCGATAAGAATTTGTGTTGAGCAACCAATACGCTTCTTTTGGGAGCCAAATGATCTCCCAAAATCTTTAGCAGCTCGTCGTACTTCAGCTGTGATGTATGCTTTGGTGCCGCCAACGCAGTAACCATGTTAAAATATTTCGACCCGATTGAATTAAGGAGTAACATTGCACAGTACGCCTTATTTTCATGCACACCTTTCATGGTTATGTAATTCGAAAACCTTTCGATGTAATTTTGGTATGTTTCCTTCGTTGTGTCAAACATATCAAAATTGGGTACTAACGCTGTGTTGATGCTGTTGTTGCTGCTACTGCCCTGATTTCCCTGTGGCGCACTACCACCTGTTGTTAATCTCGCCAGTTGCGCAACCAACGCTTCCTGCGTTTTCAAAAAGGCTTGGAATTGTGTGGAATCCATCGTCTTATACTTTGTTGAAATATTAACCTTGCACTTGGCTAATTTTAATTTGTAAAACAAGATTTACTCTCGTCGCCAAATTGTTGTATTCGTGGGAATGATGGTTGAGTTAAAAATGCGGCACGCTTGCTTATTTTAAGAATTACTTTATTTAAAACATACTAATACAAAATGGTGTCAATCTGTACACATGAAGATGGTAAAAAGAGAATGATGAAATTACAATGTATGAGTGTATGTATGTTATGCAGATGACATGAAAGAATAATAACAATGACATATGAAAGTGTAATAATGATATGGTTGCCATCTCTATATAAATAGTTACAACAAGTTACAAACGGAATGACGAACTTAATATACCCTCCATACTATATATGGTGGAGGGTATAGAAAGGTGGCCATTACGGATTCGGAAAATGAGATTACCTCTTTAATTTTGCCATGAAAATTAAGTAGACAAGCGATTGATGATTTCGTATTTGTTTTTGAAGTTGTGGTATTTTGACAATTAATACAAGATTATATGCTCTGGTCCAGAATCTTCAAGAACCTACTAGCTTTGCACTTTTCTTCGATATCATAAAGGGAAAACGGTTATCGTAGCAAAAAATTTCTTGCAGTTCTGAAACAGACCCATAGCCTAGAGGTGCAAATACATAGAAGGTTTTTCTAACTGGCCTAAGGTGCAAGTACATAAAGATCTTTTTTTAAGTCATCGGATGGTATCTTCGTAAAAGAGCAAAGCAAGAACATAGGCCCGTTCTTATATCTTTCCTTTATCGTCCACTTTTGTTATCCCTTACTTTAGGAAAAGTGAAGTATAAAGTTTACATTATCGGGTTCTCATTATTACATCTTTCCTTTAAAATATATGCATTTTTTACAGAGATATGACAAGCTTTTTGTAAAAGTAACTGGTATTCACTGCACTTTTTCACAATGGCATATTCATTGTAGTTCAAAAATAATAAACAGAATGCGAATTTGTAATTAATTTCGTGAAATAAATTTATAATTAATTTCTTCAATATAAAATAAACGATTTGCGTTATCAATTTTTTATTTAAATAAATTTTGCTGTTATTGTCAAAACAAAAAAAAAAAAAAAAAAAAATATGGCAACTTTACGATAAAAGATGGTCTGACCCTTGGTACAATGAAGAGAAGGTAGGCCAATTTTGAAAAAATTGCAAATATAGAGGTCTACCTGTTTGGCTTGTAATGTCAGAATTAGTATCAAAACAATAAAAAATCAAACAACTTGTTGCATTTATTTTAAATAAATAATTGAAAACCGCGATAACTGAATGAAAGGTCAAGACTTTTTTTCAAAATCATGTACTATATTTCTCTAAAGGATTATTTCGCTACAAAAACTCTAGATTTTGTCGATGCATACGTTGCAACAATGAACAATTTTTTGTTATTGAAAAGAAAACACATACATAAACAAATAAAGATGGCATATTAAGCCAAGAAAATAAAAAAAAAAATAAAATCATATGGTACATAGCCCTACCTTGATATCATTGTACCATGCACAGAAGTATATAGGACAAGAGAAAGTTGAAATGTGGCAACTCTGTGAAAATTATGATATCATAACAACATAAGTTGTGTTCCAGAACCTACAAATTAGTACTAATTCTGCTACAACGCGTTCCCGTACTGCAAAAACTAGCAAATTTTGCAGCTCTCTCGAGAAAAAAAATGGCGCTGAGTGGTGCACATTTCTGCTTGTTTAAGCTACATGAATTTGGCCGAGCAGAAATGTGCAAATTGTGAATTTGACATTTAATTGGCAGGGCTAACAAGGTTGAAAAATGTATTGATACATTTCAATGTTCCCGCGTCATAACAAAAATAAAGAAATGATCAACTTAAAAACTAAAGGCAAAAATTATATTTGTAGTGCAAAAAAACAAAAAGAGAAAATATGGAGCACTTTTGGATGATTCCAGTAGTGAAGAGGACTGGCTGAATGATGAATCAGATTATTAATTATTATTATAGATTATTAATTTTAACGTATCGTCTTCAATACAAAATTTTTTAAATTTTGGCGTCCGTTTCAGTATTTACTCTTGGAATTTTGTATTTTGACATTTTATCGCATTTCTGCTAATTTTCCGTTCCCTTATTTTTTGAGCACACCTAATTGAGAATGACATTTCAAACTGTTCTCTCTTCTGCTAGTTTTACTACTAAAAAAGTACTGGAACAACTATAATTATCAATATTAACTGATTTAAACCGCTAAGGCTATATGCACATTTTTGGAAAGGTCTATAAAATAGAATTTTGAAACCACAATTTTGGATTTTTCAAACTTTTATTTGCCACTCGTTTCTGTAATTGAGGTTTTAATATTAAGCTGTTACTGTATGTATTGTAGACACAAACCATTTTCTCAAAATACATCTTGTCTAGTCTTTACCATTTTAGGTCTATGAGCAAAAGAGTTTTAGGTTGACTTAGTCCAATTTCTTCGCAGAGGAACAATGGAGTTATAGGTTGACTTAGTTCGATTCCGTACCATAATTAATACTTGTTCCCATGGTACAATGAATTCAAGGTAGGGCAGAACTACCATATGATTTCAATTTTTTTATTTTTCTGGCTTAATATGTCAACTTCATTTGTTTATGTGTGCGTATTCTTTTCAATAATAAAAAATTTTTCAGAAAATATTCAAATTCGGGTGTTTTCAAAATGCTTATTACAACATATGCATCGACAAAATCTACAGTTTTTGTCGCGAAATAAACCATAAGAGATATATAGAATATGATTTTGAAAAGAAATTTTGAACTATCATTCAGTTTTCGCGGTTTTAAATTATTTATTCAAAATCAATGCAACAAGTTGTTTGCTTTTTTATTGTTTTGATAGTAATTCTGACATTAGAAGCCAAACAGGTAGACCTCTATACTTGCAATTTTTTCAAAGTTGACCTACCTTCTCTTCATTGTACCATGCTTGTTCCTTATTTTTTAACGAAGATGCCACTCTATGAATTAAGCCAGCAAATTTTGTTTCTACCTTAAAACAAGAAAATTCCACCTTATTATTTCAGAAAATTCTTTCCGGATTCCAGTAGCCGATCTAACGATTACAACTTTTCCTCACTGGAGCAACCACCCAGTTTACAAAGTATTAACAGTGTCAATAGCAGTATATTCTCACCAAATTGCGATATCTCCAATGAATTTCGATCTCTGGAACAACCGATTAGTTTACAGAGCCTTAATGGCGTCAATATATTTTCGCATCTTGAGATTACAAAGGCTATACTGCAACAGGTATTTATTTCGACGCACGATTTTTTATACTTTTGACACACCGTTATAAATCCCTTACCCTTATACTTTTCTTAGCTTGGCAGCCCATTGCAGGAAGCGACATTCCTCAATATATTACAACATTTTTTAAGTATTGATTCAAAAGCTCCTTTGGGTACGATAATTTGGAATACTGCAGAAAAATTAGTGCACCGGGCCAAGCTGATTGAAAGTGAAAGTGATGCAGAACGATTGTTATGTAAAGCCATATCATACAAGCTGACATGTCTAAATTGCAATTATGCTAAGGAAGAATCAAACCCGACTACTACAAATCAAAAGACTGAAAATGACCATGGTCAAACGGCACTGACTGATGTCAAGAAAATAACATTGGTGACGACTCCTGCTCCGGGTATGACACCTGCTCCCGGTATGCCACCACCACCTACAATGCCAGGTATGCCACCTGCTCCCGGTATGCCACCACCACCTCCAATACCTGGTATGCCACCTGCTGCCGGTATGCCACCACCACCTCCAATACCAGGAATGCCTCCTCCCCCTGGAATGCCAATTAAACCTATTGCGTTTCCTCATCAATGCACTCCTCCTCAAAAATCAAAAACAAGAAGCGTTAATTGGATCAAAATTCCACCACAACAGATTTTGGGCAAAAACAATATCTGGACAGCAATGTTGGACTGTCAAAAAAGAAACACTGGCGTCAATATCGATTTCAAAGAATTGGAGACACTATTTTGTTTACAAACGAATAAAGTGGAGACAGCAAAAGGATCAGATTTCGTCGATGGCAGTGCAAGGAAAAGTAGTTCAAGCGCAGTAAACTTGTTTGACTCAAAGCGAAGCTTGAACATCAACATCTTTTTGAAACAATTTAAAGGGTAAGGTCATGGATAGTATACATATAATTATCACACTTTATTAAATTGTTTTTATACCCTCCACCATAGATAGTATGGAGGGTGTATTAAGTTCGTCATTCCATTTAAAACTCATCGAAATAATAATTTTAGATCCAATACCGGCTGGCTTCTTCGTAAAAGATGAAAGGAGTTTTAGGTTAACTTAGTTCGATTTTGGCCCTACGCTCATTTGGTCTTTTCCGAAGAATCTACCGATGACTTAAGCCATTCAAAAAAATGATTTATGTAATCTCACCTTAAGCATGTCGTTTATTAGGCAAAAAATTTCTTTGTATCGGTGACAATTCTACCTGATTCGAAATAAACTAAAACTTACTGTTCAGACCAGCAACATTTAAGTCGTTTTTACTTGTTTCTAATATTATTGTGATTTATTATTTTTCAGATACGCAACTTATGAGGCTATTATCGAGCTAATTCGCCAAGGAAACCACAAAATAATGGGTCCTGAAAAGTTGAAGAATCTTCTGAAATTATTGCCCGATTCTCAGGAAATACAAACATTGAAAAGCTTTGATGGTGATACTCAATGTTTAGGAAATGCAGAAAAATTCATGTTGTTATTAATTGCTATTCCAAAGTGAGTTTGAGTTATAAAATATTTTTATTTTCCAATAATTGTTGTAGAATATTACGGGCAAAAGGGAGCAATGTTGGAGAAACGACAATTAAGAATTGGCAAGGTTATATTTGCCGCAACGTTTTTTTATTTTTGAATGTAGCAATTGGTTATTAGTAAATTTCCCGAAAGAAAGCAGACGGGGGAAGTTTACGAAAAATAAAAGTGTGTTTACCCAGCGTTTATATATAAGTGTCAACTCCAAAAAAAAAAATATTTTTCATCCATGGTACATGTACGCAACTTGCTGTAAGAAGGGTGTTAAATGGAGTAGTGTTTTCTCAGTTCTCTCATCTCTTAAAACTCTAACTTTTATTTACGGCAAAAAATGCATACAATTTTTTCCGAAAAAGAAAAAAACTGCATAGAAATAGGCCAGTAGGATAGTGAGTAATGAGTAGGATAGGCAGATTTCACCGACACAGCTGTTGGGACAATGAACTGTCAAGCATGGTACAATAAGGAGGTAGAACAGCTTCGCAAAACTACAGAAATACAGCCCTGAGGCTATGCCCGCTTCCTGTCAGACTCATTCAAAATTGTATGAAACAAGTTGTTTTCATATTTTTCATACTTTCCCTCATGCCCGGATTTTCTCTCAAAAACATGATCTAAACTGTTCGATCTTTCAATTTCATGGCTAAAGTGGTTAATAGCTTTAATGCGCGAGCCGCAATGTACATGTCTTCCAATCCTTGGTTTTGAAAATATTTTTTTTCATTTTCAAAACAATAAATACATACACAAAATTGGCAGAAGTCGGGCACACTTAGAAAAAAATTGGAAACAGCTGATAACTCTACTTTACCTTTTTATTGTACCATGCTGTCAAGCCAAATTTGAAATTGAAAATTTTAAATGAAAAATTATTTAAATTTGTAAAAATTGTTTAAAAATGCAGATCAAAACAATCTCCGATTGGTGTTGTATAAGAAAATGTTTAAACAATTTTGACATATCAATGTTTTCAAGCGTTGATGCATCTACCTGCATTCTTCCAAATTAAATAAAAGTACGTTTAAATATATGAAATCTACTCGATTTGAAATGTCAATTCCATAGCGTACGCGTTAAATAATATCCACGGTACTTATGAATACGACTTACGTGACGTATACGCTGAATGCATCAAGTGGATTTAATAGTCTAAACGTGTTCTAACAAAGGAATTGAACTATGGTAGAAGAATACAGGCAGTCGCATCGACACAGCTGCTGGGACAATGAACTGTCAAACCAATTTGTCATTTAAATTTGTTAATGAAAAATTATTGAAATTTGTAAGTATTGTTAAAAGCTGGATATCATTGCAACCTCCGATTAGCGTCGTATAGGAAAACATATACAAATCTATTTATTTTTGAAAAACAAAAAACGTTTAAAAAAATTTCTGACATCAATGTTCTCAAGCGTTGATGCATCTACCTGTATTCTTCTACTATGAATTGAGCTAAGGCAACCTACAGGTCAGAATACATAAAACGCTTTTTTGACTGTCTTAAGTCATCGGCTTGCTTCTTCGTAGAGGAACAATGGAGTTTTATTTTGAATTAGTTCGATTTTGGCCCTGTGTTCCTTTGTTCTTTCCGAAGAAGCCGGCCGATGAGCCTTTTATGCATTCTCACCTTTAATTTCTTGTATTACTAGATATCGAAAAAAATTGGAGAAAATTGGTATTGTAAAACACGTAGCTTTAGTTTTAAATAAACCTCAGATAATTATTTTATTAAACAAATATGAGATTGTTGGTAATTTAATTTCAGCTACAAGTTGTGGATTGAATGCATGCTTTTAAAGGAGGAGTTTGCAGCTAATGTCACATACCTCGAGCCAATAATATGTGCCATAATCGATAATGGACAAAGTAAACGCCTTATATTCCATCTACCAACAATATGCTTAAATAACTTCACTTCTATTTTCACAGATCTAATTAATAATGAAAAAATACGTGATGTGATTTACTACGTGGTACTTGCTGGAAATTTTCTTAATTCTGGAGGATATGCCGGTAATGCAGCTGGAGTTAAACTTAGCTTTCTTACCCAATTGAGCGGGATACGTACCAACAAACCGGGAATGAGTTTTATGCATTTTGTGGCATTACAAATAGAAAAGTTAAAGCCAGAACTTTTACTCTTTACGGAAGATTTCAAATGTTTGGACAATGTTTCAGGGTAAGATTTGCACGTTTTTTGTCCCTTTACTTGCCCAGTAACTTTTAATAAAGTAAACGAACAGCATCTCGGAAAACATGTGTTAAATAACAGCTGATCCATCGATGATTTGGCTAAAATATTAGGTGTGTCTGGTTACTTTTCCTGCAGGAATTGTCCAGCAAGTCTTTCTGAGAGAGTAAGGTAGTTTTATTCTCTTTTGCAAGGAAATTGCGAAAAGTAGACAGACGACATTCCTGCAGAAGCTTGCAACTAATCAGCTGTTTTGTCAAAACAAACCAATTTGTCCCCCATTAAAAGAATTAAAAGAAAAGAAGCACCACCAATTTTAAAAGTTTTATAAATGAAAAGAAAATTAGCAATAAAATACAAGTATGAGCAATAAAAGAAAGATAGATTTTTTGTGTTCCCCGGAATCCTTTAAATGTGTTGCTAATGGCGATTGTCTAAAAATGTTGGAAATAGTCTTTTATTTCCTTATTACATATTAGTATTTACGTTTTCCACATTTTTTAAAGTTGTTCCCCAAAAACAATTAGTCTTTCAAATTCCAAAAAAATATTTTCAAATTAAAAGCACAAAATAGTTAAACAAACAATAGAGAACATCTGATTGAATGTCGATAAATGAGAAGAAGAAGAGTTGCAAGTGATTGCAAGAAATTTGTCCAGCAAGAATTTGCAAACTCTCACTGAAAGAACTGTCAGACTCTCTCTCTCTCTCTCTCTCCAACCGCTCTCTTTTGCAGAACTTTCGGGTTAACAGACGACTTCCAGTAACAATTTGTAACAATTGTTACAAATTTTAGGATAACCAGACACACCTATTAACAGCGGAAATATATTTTCACAGTTTATAAGTTTTTATATTTTCATTAAAAAAAAATAATGAAACACAAGTTAGTTCGGCCGGCCGATTTTTGAATACCCTCCACCATTTGGAACGATTTTCGCAATTTTCTAAAAAATAAAATCCGTTAAAAATTCTGTTGAAATCTTAAAAATACCGAATGTAACCGTTATATTAGGATTTATACAACGACGAGGGCCTGCATAGGCAACTTTTGCCATAAACCATTACAATATTCAAATGCGAAACTTAAATAAAAAATCGGTGAATATGTAGCTAAAATCATTAAATTTCCGAATATAGGGAGGTACCGTAATATTGGGGTTATACAAAGACATGGACCTGCGCAGACAATTATCTGTCATAGGCTGTAGTATCTATTACGAACTTTAAATAACAAATTTGAAACAATTCCGGTGAATAATGTCGCAAAATCATGAAAATACCGAATATCGGGGGGTACCGTTATATGGGGAATATACGAAGACGTGGACCTACAAAGACAATTTTCTGTCTTAGGTTTAAGTATTCATTACGAACTTCAAACATCAAATTTGAAACAATTCCGGTGAATAATGTCGCTAAAATCATGAACAATACCGAATATCGGGGGGTACCGTTTTATGGGGGCTATACGAAGACGTGTACCTGTACATACAATTTTCTGTCATAGGCTGTAGTACCCATTGCAAGCTTCAAATACCAAATTTATAACAATTCCGGTGAATAATGTCGCTAAAATAATCAAAATACCAAATATTGGGGGGTGTACAGTTACTTGGGGTCTAAACTAAAACCCGGATCTACATCACCCATTTTCAATACCAAAAGTCCTGCAGACATAATACACATTTGAGTAAAATCTTATCATCATAGTTCATTTTGTTGGGAAGCTAGAGTGACTTCCACAGACGGACGGACATCGCTAAATCGACATAGAATTTTATGCTGATGAAGAATAAATATACTTTGTGGGGTTTAAAACGTATATTCCGATGTGTTACAAACGGAATAACAAACTTAATACACCCTCCAAACTATGGTGGAGTGTGTAACAAAAGATGCCGCCTGAAATAAATACCTATTATTTCTGCTGATATAAAATATAGAAATTAACAAACGTCAAAATATCTCTCTCATTTCGCTTTCACATACTGGACTTTTGGCTAAACGAACAGCTTCCAATAACAATTTGTACAAACTATCGAGTAAATGAACACTCCTATAATTATGGTAAAATTAACAAGGTATTCCCATTTGCCAATGATAATGATAGGCAACACGATGCCGCACAACTGTGCGTGAATTTTTAACAGCTTTCTTGTTGTATGATTTTATGCAAAAAAGTGTTTCAAACCTTACACATTTGGTTTTAGTGAAAGTGAAACAAATTTACACATTTTTTATGACGAGATCAATATCGGAATTCCATTTTGGGAACAAAAAACTTTTTTACAAAAACTTTTTTTACAAATTCATACATTCCTATTCTTTGTGTCAAATAAAAAATGTTGTCCACGCACACCAAAGAATAGCAAGCAACTATGCTCGACCACTTGTTTCTGTTTTCTTCTTCTCGATAATTACGCATTGTACGAGAATGACTTTGTTACACTTTGTTTTTAATTTTAAACACATTGTGTTTCAATTCCGGGTTTTCACTACATTTTATGTATAAAATTAGACTTTTCGCACAGTAATTTCTGTTTTCACTACATTTAATGTGTAAATTTGAACACTTCTTAAAATTACACACTATTTTGTTAAATAATAAGCACCCTTCAATAAATTAACAAAAAATCACAATGATTTTCATAGTACCATTCAACAAATACTTTAGAGTGTAGATAGTAAAGGTTGAGATACATACGATAATTTTTGGTCTGCCATAAATCAATGGCTGTTTAATTCGTAGCTAAACAGAGGTCAACCTACCTAAACTAGGTCAACCTAATTCCTTTGCTCTTTGAAGAAAAAGCCTGCCGATGACAAATTTTAGAAAAAATCTTTTTGGGTATTCTCACCTTAATTTCCCCTTGGTCCACAGTGTATGTATTTTGATTTCGAGCGACTTCGAATTCAATCGTATAAAAGTATTATATCCAAAAAAGTCGAAAACATGTAAAAGATATATATTTAAACGTTGTTATATTTCACTCTATTTCTATCCGTAGCATTAATATTGATCAGATATCTAGCGATATTACTGAAATGGACAAAGAACTGAAAACAATTGAGAATCAAATATCAAATGCAAATTTCGATGGCAATACAAAACGTGAATTAATGGCGTTTTTAATGAGTGCAAAGCAAAAAGTTTACGAGTTGAAGAATCGAATGATCCAAGTCGATGAGATACGTGTGAAAACGGCCAATTTCTTTTGTGAAGATGTACAAAAATTTCGCTTGGATGAATGTTTTCGAATTTTTCACTCTTTTTGTGAGACGTTTCTCAAGTGCCGCAAAGACAATGAAAGACGGTTACAGTTGGAGAAACAAACATTACAAAGACAAAAGCAAAAACAGGAGCAGCAGATGTCGAAAATGGGTAAATTAAAACAATTTTTTGCACATATTTTTGAACAATACATTTAATGAAAAAAAATGATGCATCGTTTTAGAACACAAACGTCCCAGACTTCATGATTGCCAAAATGTTATTAGTACCTCGACAGAAATGAATAATAATCATTCAACAATGAATGATGATGAACTAATGGATTATTTTAGTAAAAGTTTGCAAGATTGTGGAAAGGGTCGCAGACGAAAAAGCCGCGACAATGGACGAAGGAATTCGAGAACCTCCACATCTAGTGATGAATGTGAGACGACAGCTTTAAGGAAAGAAGAACAAAGTGTTCCAGATCATGCAGCAGATGCTAAGGTTAATGAAAAAATTACCATTTCAGATGTCAAAGAGAGACCTAAATCATCGCAGTTCGTATTTGGTAAGTAGCTTATGCAAACTGTATATTAACTGTGTGTTTCTTCGGGGAAAAAGAAATGAAGTTCAGTTTGCATGTATCTATTAAACTACTATTTGGGTTTATTTCGGATTCCGGCTTCGAATCACCGCAACTACGCAGTGTATCCGAAAATTTTACAAACTAACAAAATTCTTTGAGGCACAAATGAATCTTTGAATCGTTTGTAAAACAGCATGATTTCTGAAGTACTAATGGGTGTAGCTAAATAAAAACAAACTCCAAATTAATAGAGATTAATAGACGAATACCAGGGGGACAGAGTCCGTGAGAGCACAATAAAAACAACACAAACAAGTATAAAAGCTGTAAGTTCGGCCGGGCCGAACTTTGAACACCCTTCACCATTTGGAACGAATTTGGCAATTCTCAAAAACAATACAATTAAAATCTTAAAAATACCGAATGTAGCTGTTATTTTAGGGTCTATACGACGATATGAACCTGCATAGGTAACTTTTGTCATAAGCCATCACAATATTTAAATGAGAAACTTAAAACAAAATCGGTGAATAATCATCATCATAAAATCATTAAAATACCGAATATCGGGAGGTACCGTTATATGGGGGCTATAAGAAGACGTGGCTTGAACAGACAATCCCCTGTCATAGGCTGTAATATTCAATACAAACTTTAAATACCAAATTTGAAATAATTCCGGTTAATAATGACGCTAAAATCAACAACGTACCGAATATCGGGAGGTACCGTTATATGGGAGCTATACGAAGAAGTAGACATGAACAGACAATCTCGTGTCATAGGCTGTAGCATCCATTACGAACATCAAATACCAAATTTGAAACCATTTCGGTGAATATTGGCGCTAAAATCAACAAAGTACTGAATATTTGGAGGTACCGTTATATGGGGGCTATACGAAGACGTGGATCTGCACAGACAATTTTTTGTCTTAGATTGTAGTATCCATTTCGAACTTTGAATACCAAATTTGAAACAATTTCGGTGAATAAAGTCGCTAAAATCATTAAAATGCCGAATATCGTGAGGTACCATTATATGGGGGCTATACCAAAACGTGGACCTACATGGCCCATTTTCAATACCAAAAGTCCTGCAAACATAATATACAATTCAGTAAAAGGTTATCAATCTACTTCATTTCGTTCGGAAGCTATAGCAATTTCCACAGACGGATAGACGGACGGACCTCGCTAAGTCGACATCGAATTTTATGCTGATCAAGAATATATACTTTGTGGGCTCTAAAATGTATATTTCGAAGTGTTACAAACGTCTGGTGTGAAGATTGAATATATCGGTTCACTTCTTCTGGTACCTCCCTCCCACCTATCGAAGAAACGAGATCTTTTATAAATATGGTAAAGATAAGACCATTCCTTCTGGTATTTTCGCCACATTTTGAAAAACCAAAACGATTATAAAATCCGAAATAGACAACCGGTTCTCTTTACATTTGACACATCCCATTATTTCTGCTAACACAAGATCTGCAGTGAAGATGGGATATATCTGTTCACTCCTTCTGATGCCGCCCCCACAAAAGGTAGACATTTTGAAAATCCTTTAAACTCGTAAAACGCGAAATTAACATCTGATTCCATTTCAGACTTGGTACATCCTAATATTTCCATCAACACAAGATCTGTTATAAAGATGAAAGGGATCGGAACATTTCTTCTAGTACCTCCCCCACATAGGGTATTAGATTTTGAAAAACAAATCGCTCAAAGAAAGCGAAATAAGCATCGATCTCTCATCAAATTTCACACATACAAAATTTTTGCTAACACAAGATTTGTTGTGAAGATGATATAGATCTGCGAACCCCTTCTGGTACCTCAGTCACAAAGGGTCAAAATTTTCAATACTTTTATGTCTTGCGAAACAAATCACCGATTCTTTACAACTTACTATATCGAAATATTTCTCTCAACCTGAAACAGGAGATGAATATGGAATTTATGATTTCTCATAGAATTGGATATAAATGTTCGATTTCCTTCAAATTGTGCACATATCAATATTTTTATCTGTATTAGATGAAGTACGGAATTGGAATACTTCGGTCCGCTATATATGTCACCTGACGCATATATCACCATTTTCCAAAAATTTGCATAGTATAAGAAGTAGTCGGTATAGTCCAAATCTGATATGTTGTAATATTTATATCAGTCTTAGGTCAGATACGAATTGGTCAACTGCTTCGGAACCTCCCCCATCAAGCGTCAACAGTTTGAATATAAATCTGGGGTATAAATCTGTCGGCAAAACCGACCGATACTATTTTACTTGTTTTTGACCTCAATTGTAGTTTTTAATTGCGATTTACATGACCTGTTAAACTGATCTTGGTAATAACCAACTCATTCATTCATATGCAACATAATTTAACTTCCAAAGTAATAGCAAAAATTCAACTCTTATTTGGTCTCTTGATTATATTACCACGGGACACTCAGTGTCGATAAAGCCCCATCGCTATTGATATTTTATACGTGCCTTGGTTGTTGCTTATAAATATATATATTCCATTTTTTTTCTTTTTGCAGATCTTGAACCTTTGCCAGAAGGTAAATGTATAACGGCCTCTGACTTGAATAGTCCCCTTAAAAACTATCAAAATTCTGTTATCGAAAATATGGGTAATGTGGCACCATCTTTAGCGCAAGAAAATACACCACACATAACGAAAAAAGACTTGGAAAATAAGGATGAAAACACTAATATTCAACACGAGACTGTGGCGCAAAGAACAAGAAGATTGAAAATTATTCCGCCACTAAAAATTCGGCCGATTTCACAAACAGAAGAAAGGTCAATGTCGGCCGTTGTTGGTAATACAGAATGTGAGAAACGTTTTTCCTTCAAATCGGTGGCACTTGCTGCACGAATGGTAAAACGTTGCACATCTATTAATGAGCGTGATATTCAGGAGACTTTAAAACACCTAAGAACACCAACCGTTGTACCGAATTATATATGGGATGATCACAGACAAAGATTGCGAACGATGAGCGAAAGAAATGCGGAAAATATTTTCTTTAATGATAATGTTTTTCGAAATAATGTGGAAAAGGAAGCTGAGAAATGTCAGGGAACAGACATGCAAAAACTACCATGTATTACTACGAATGAACAACGTTTGAATAATGAGGACTATCATATTGTAAATGGAGCTCCAATATTAATTGAAGGTAATAAAGAGGAAAATTCGACTCTAGAAAATATTCCTGGAGGCGACATAGAAGTACCCAATGTACCAGAATCCGCGATGAAATCAAATTCTTTAATTTCTGAAGTCGCCGAAAGGAAAAACAGTTCAAAGAATCAAGATTGCCTTAACGAGAGCTATATTCAAACATTATATGCTCTAAAAAACGACGCAATAAGTTCTGGAAATAAATTGGATACACCAAATGGTGTTAAAAAACATTGTGAATCTGAGATCAAATCAACGACAACATTTAAAGCCGTAGAAGAGAATTCAAAATTTAAATGTCCTACCAGTGCAACAAATTTAGAAGATAATCGAGAGCAAAATGATAGTGGTGAAATTTCTGTTGCAAATATTATCCAAACATCTGATGTAAAACGTTTGAAATCAAATAAAGTCGAAAATGATATTTTAAAAACTCTGGCTGGTTGTGATAAGACAACTTTTTCGGATAAACGAGATATTTATAGCGAAGAACAAACCACACGTAAAGAAAATCCCCAACAAATCCATGCAGAAAATTTGAATAAAACCTGCCTCAAGGATGGTGGACCATTGAAACATTTACATACGGAAAATTTAAAAAACGTCACTCCTGGGTTGAACAATGCAGACAATGATGAATTAAAGAAGTTAAAGCCCAAATCGGAAGGTTATCATCTAATTGAAGAAATAAATTTGAAAGCCCTCTCAGATAATAAAGAAAATTATATTAATTTTCCGGAGGTGGAATCTAAGCCAGAATCGAACGGAAAACAAAATCCGAAGAATCCCACAGAGAATAAGAACAATTTGTTAAAATCTAAAGAAGTGCATCTTCAACATAACTGTGATCAAAGCCAAATACAATCAAAAGATATAATGAAACAGAACTCACGTGATTTTGAAGACATTAAAGTTGAATTTATGACGAATGCCGAACAAATAAATGCTAAAGAAAATGTGGAAAAGGAGTTATTGTTTTCAAATGACAAAAACCAAGATGCCATGACGAAAAATGAAGATATCAACTCCATGTTTGATATCATTTCTGAACATTTACAAACATTACAGATGAAAGTGAATGGGACTCAAAATATAGAACCGAATATTATTCATGGTATATCTAATATTTCTCCCCTTGACGAAGAAAAATTAAACAATGAGATTAAACAAAACCTCCCAGAATATCATGCTTGTGATAACATATTTAAAACCGATTATAGCACTAAACAATTCAACCAAGCAGTAAAACGAGACCATTTTACGCCCAGGCAGAAAGAAACCCCTCCCAATAAATTGGTTTTAAAAAATGTTACAGATGATAAACACTTAAAACTGAAAACTTCCGTAATACCTAACACGACTGCACAAATGCCGACTAAGTCTGAACACCCAGCCAGTATTGCAGTATCAAAGCTAGGAAAGAAAACTTCCGACGAATTAGTTTCATCTAACACTACTGTTGCTGCTCCAACAAGAGCCAATGAACATAGAAAACGGAATATATTTTCAAGAAAACAGAAAAATGAGAAACTGCCAACACCCTCTTCTGTCAAAAATTCAAAACATGATCTTAAAAATGCAGAGAATGGGACTCAAAATGTCGAACAGAATGTCATTCACAATAAATCTAATATTTCTTCCCTCGAAGTTTCGTCTTTGAATGTAAATGACAAAGAAACGGTAAATAATGAGGTAACAGTAAATCTAGACAATACTAAGCTCACGCACAAAGAAAGTGTCAAAAGCTCTCCCAATAAACCGGGTTCAAACCTGTTTGCAGATGTAAATAAAAAATCGAAAGATATTGACAAACACTTCAAGCTCAAAACTTCTTCAATACAAAACACTACTGCACAAATACCAGCTAAGCCTGAACATGCAGCCAGTAACGCGATATCGAAGTTAGCAAAGAAAACTTCCTATAAATTAGTTTCATCTAAGACTACTGTAGCTGCTCCAACAAGATCCGACGAAGGTAGAAAACTGAATATATTTTCAGGTAAACAGAAAAATGAGAAACTTCCAACGCCCTCTACTGTCAAAAACTCAAAACATTATCTAAAAAATGCAGAGTATGGGACTCAAAATGTCGAACAGGATGTCATTCACAATAAATCTAATATTCCTCCCCTCGGTGTTTCGTCCTTGGATGTAGATCATAATGAAACAGTAAATAATGAGGTAACAGAAAATCTAGTAAACTCCGAGCCCCAACACAAAGAAATTATTAAAAGCTCTCCCAAAAAACTGGGTTTAAAAATATTTTCAGATGTAAATAAAAAATCCAAAGATATTGATAAACACTTAAAACTCAAAACTTCTTCAATACAAAACACGACTGCACAAATACCAACTAAGCCTGAATATGCAGCCAGTATTGTGATATCGAAATCAGCAAAGAAAACTTCCGACATATTAGTTTCATCTAAGAATACTGTGGCTTCAAGAAAACAGAAAAATGAGAAACTTCCTACGCCATCCAACGCCATTGAATCAAAGCGTGATCTAAACAATTCTGAATCTACCCCAATAAACAAAATATCGACATTAAAGAAGTTCTCCACGAATGTAGCACAAAAACTAGGATTAAGAAAGCCCGCAAGCGAAAAACCTCCAAAATTGTTAAATGAAGTGAGAGAAAGAGATAAGCAAATAATAGCGGCAAAAACACCTCAAATAATTAACAAAAAAAGTAATGCTACATCATTAATGAGAAACTACGGCCAAGTTAAAGATAAAAATTCCCAACCTGAATTGAGGGCAACATCACAAATACCAAGTCGTAGCAGTTTTCGTTCATCTCGTACTTCTAGTAGTAGTTCAGCCAAAGCCTACATTAACAACACTAACCAAAGTGTCCGATTTTTAAAGACATCAAATGGAATTGCGTGTAATAGCCAAAACTCCAAATCTGATATAAAAACTTCCATTCAATCCAATAGTGTTTCAATAAGACCTCAGTCCTTAAGCAAGAAACGACATTCGGTCACCAATATTTCCTCCAATGCTATGCCAGAAATGAAAAATAAAACAACCTCAGTTCTTCGACCCCCTAATGGCCAACTTTCGTCTGCAAAATCTGTAACCACTTCAACTACTCGCACCCCCTCAAATGAAAGTACTCTCAGAAATGTTACTGCTAACTTCCAGAAAAGTGTTGCAGTACCAAAAACAGGCCGTAGTGCTAGCCTCAGTTCTTCATTTCCAAAATCTGGTTCAGAATTGCTGAGTAGTCGCAGACTTTCTTTGAGAGAAAACTGCAGCAATGTCAAAGGATCCTTAGAACCGCCAAGACGCTCTTCGGCAAGTTCAATTCGTAGTTCATTTAGTTCTAAACGTAACACAACATCGAATCTCATAAAGAAGACACAGAATGGACTATAATAGTTTTAACGGTAGACATAATTATAATAATAAATTTAATAATAAATTTATTATATTTTATTAAATTTGTACAAAATGAAACTATTTTTATGTTATTATTACTATAAAATTATAATTATACTTAAATTTATACGAGAATTCAACTTTGTTTTATGTTTCCTCCATTTTGTTATGTTTCCTACATTTTCAAGTCCGGAAATATAGCTCTGGAATAAAACTTGTAATCAAAGAGTAAACAAATAAACAAACGAAACTTATAAATAATTTACTATTCATTAATTCTAAGTCAAAATCTTAAACTTATTGCAGCAGGAAGTTCAGAAATTATGCGATTGCTTTAAAGATCAGAATACATAAAGCACTTTTTTGACTGGCTTAAATTATCGGCTGACTTCTTCGGAAAAGAAAAGAAGAAGGAGTGTAGGACCAAAATCGATCTAAGTCAACCTAAAACTTCTTTGTTTCTCTATGAAGGAGTCAGCCGATGACTTAGGCAATCAAAAAAGCGTTCTATGTATTCTTACCTTAATGCTAATTTGTTGTTAGCATATGAAGCACTGCATAGAAAGTTTTTTAACTTGTCTGTCTTAAGGAAGAAGCCAGGCGATATGGTGGGAATACATAAAGCGCTTATTTGGCTGGCTTAAGTCATCGGCTGGCTTCTTCGTAGAGGAACAAAGCAGTATTAGGTTGACTTAGTTCGATTTTGGCCCTAGGGTACTTTGACCACTTCCGAAGCCGATGACTTAAGCCAGCCAAATAAGCGCTTTATGTATCGTTATATGAGGGCAAATATATTCGAATCGACTTACTTTTTAAGGGTTCTACGACAAATTCTAAGTGGTGTTACAAACGGAATGAATAATTGAATATATCCTGCTTTCCATGATGGCTTTGGTGGTGATACAAAGCATAGCCAATTTCAGACAATATTCAATTATATGACGGAACATTCACAGTTGGTTAAAGGCAGCAAACGAATCCATTTTTTATTTTTTGAGGCGCGTGAATCGTAATTGTTTCCAATTTTCTAGATTCGCCTGTTTTCTTTTTTTGTATTTTCAATATTTTACGAAGAAAATGCTACCAATTTTGAATAATACAATCGAAAGTACTGCCAAAATAAATCCATTTAGTTACAGCACTTTTTACTCGATCAGAAACTGTTACATAGTAACAGTTTAAATTCGGATCGATTACAACTTTCGACTTGTTCGAACTTTCGAATCGAGTAACATATTGATCGATTTTTACGCAAACGTGTTTATTGTCATAACTTTTAAAGCAAAAAAAAAAAAAAAATAACGGACCAAAGCCCATATAAGTTTGGACAAGAAGACTACTTGTAACAACAATTTGACAAAAAAGTTATTACTAGTTCACTGTTGTGGTTTGACTTTGTTGAAATTTCAACGAATGATTATTTTTGCCCTTTTTACAAATTTTTTGTTGGTCTTAGTCAGTAGAGATTTATGGTGATATTTAAAAAAATGTTTGTAGCGATTTTTACGTCGGAGCAGTTGGCATCCCTGGTCCGAATGCAAAATGTAAACAACTCCTTGGCGGAAACAATGGCGACTTTGGAGTGTATGGTATCGTCACAGCTGCTGGGATAACGAACTGTCAATCCGATTCTGAAATTGAAAATGTTGAACGATAAATTATTGCAATTTGTAAACATTGTTGAAAAATACGTAAGATAATGAGGTTCGATTTGCGTCGTATAAGAAACCCTATAAAAATCTATTTATTTTTGACAATACATTTAAAAAATTATGACATATCAAAGTTGCGTTGTTGCATCTACCTGTATTCTTCTACCATGACCGCACTAAAGGTGAGAATACATAGACTGATTTTTTGACTAGATTAAGTCCTCTGCTGGCTTCTTTGAAAAAGAACAAAGGATTAGGGTGAACAAGTATAGTTTATAGGCCAATATTGAACTAAGTCAACCTAAAACTCTTTTGTTATTTTACGAAGAAGCCAGCCGATGACTTAAACCCATGAAAAGGCGTTTTATGTATTTTCTACTTTAATACTTTTCTTCAGCATGTAGATTCCGCATCGGGACTAAAATAAATCCGGCTGTTATCCACTCGATTTCAAATGTCTTTGTCCTTTGGAGTGTGCGTCACGTAAATTGTATTCTAAATCTAATGGATATTATTTGTCGTATACGCTATGGAATTGACATTTGAGATCGCGTAGAGCTCGTAAATCTAAACAATAAATCCTGATGGTGTGTGTTATTTCAGTTGACGTTTATATTACTTAGAATACAGGTAGTTGCATCGACACAGCTGCTGGGATAATAAACTGTAAAACCAATTTTGAAATTGAAAATGTTGAATGAAAAATTATTAAAATTTGTAAAAATTGTTGAAAAATGCTTATTATAACAACCTCCGTATAAAAAACATTTAAAAATTTACTTATTTTTAATAAAACATTTTACAAATTTTGACATATCAATGTTCCCAAGCGTTGATGCATCTACATATATTTCTCCACCATTATTACTTTTCACCATGTATATTTGTAAAACAACCCTTGCAGTTAACTTATATTCTTACGCTATGAATAATTCTTTGTTTTTTTTTTTTTTTTTTTTTTTTTTTTGGTATAAAGACGTGTTTTGATAATTTTAGATAAATACATTCTTATAATTATTTTCTAGTAATTTGCTCCCCACAAGTTAGACAATCTCCATATTTGTATGTAGACCACAATAAATTTATTTTTTTCTCCATAGTTTGTATAAATAACTTTTCTTTTGAAAACCGCAGGTATTTGAGACCAACATGATATTACTCTGAAAATTCAGCAAATTTTGTATTTGATTTTAAGTGTATAAACATCCAGCTCATTCATAACGCAAGTTAAACTTTTGGAAAAAAATTGTATTGCAAAGTAATCGAAATGAAACAAATTAATAATAATAATAATACCATAAATCCGCCAAATATGTAAGCTATATAAATTAGCTATATAATAATATAAATAAGCTGTATGAATATAAATTTAGGAATGATAATAATTAATAAAAAAAAAAAACGTTTGTGAATTATAGTGATCTAAAAAAATTAAACATCGTTACGTTTATATTGTGGCGGTAGTATAGCAATGAGCCCTACGAAACCCAATTTTTAATGTGTATATTAAATTTTGCTAATGTGATTAATAGTGCGATTCTCTAAATAGTTAAAAACAAAATTATTGAAATAAACAAGAATTTAAATGTCAGTTTTGAAAGTCACTTTCAGAAACACAACTGTCAAAATATTTCTCTTCATTCGACTTTTGAGTAAAGTAAACAGACAACATTCGGTGGAATTTGGTACCAATTGTTACCAGATATCGAATAATGCTTCCAATTCGAAGTCGTCTTTCAAAGTGTTCATGTACTTGGGATCTACCTGGGATCCGGATTGAGTAATCTGTGAGAGTTTTTAAACTGTAGCCGACAAATTTGCTATTGCAATTACTTGCAATGCTTCATTATCCTTTTCGAATATAAAACTTCCAAATTATTACCCACAAAATTAATTTTATTTTATCAGAACAATTACAGCAGTTGACTTGGATGAACAGGACGGTTTGCAACAGATCCACAGCCAAATCAATTCCAATTCATGTATTGGACTTGCCAATGAACTTATTAAAAGGGTAAGTTTTTGTACCAAGTACTTGGAATACCATAGCATGGTATAAGAATATAAGTTAAATTGTAAATACATAAAAAGTTTTTTTGACTGGCTTGAAGGTGAGAACGCATAGGAGGCTTTTTTGACTGATCTATGTCATTGGCTGGTATCTTCGTATTTGGCCTGTCCTGTCCGTCATCTATGATTTTTGACTGGCTTACGTCATGGTCTGCCTTCTTCGGAAAAGAACAAAGGAACGTAGGACCAATATCGAACTAAGTGAACCTAAAAATCATTTGTTCCACTACGAAGAAGCCAGCCGATGACTTAAGGTGAGAATATATAAAACGCTTCTCTGACTGGCTTAAGTCATCGGGTGGCTTCTTCGTAGAAAAACAAAGGAGTCTAAAGCTGGGAATACATAAAGCGCTTATTTGACTGGCTTAAGTCATCGGCTGGCTTCTTCGTAGAGGAACAAAGGAGTTTTAGGTTGACTTAGTTCGATTTTGACCCTAGGCTCCTTTGTTCATTTCCGAAGAAGCCAGCCGATGACTTAAGCCAGCCAAATAAGCGCTTTATGTATTCCCAGCTTAAGCGCTTTATGTATTCCCAGCTTTAGGTTGGCTTAGTTCGTTTTTAGCCCTACATTCCTTTGATCTTTTCCAAAGAAGCCAGCCGATGACTTAAACCAATTGGATTTCGGCCATAGGCTCCTTTGCTCTTTTCCGAAGAAGCCAGCCGATGACTAAAGTTTCATTCAGATAATTATTTTTCCCTTGTTTTTTTTTTTTTGATTTCATTTTTGTTGGTCATTAAATTTACACTTTACAACAAATCGTCAGGCACCTGCTTTTATATAACATGACCATGAAAACATTTATTTTTACAGCTAGAAAGCAGTGAACATTTATCAACACTGTTCACATTGCTTCAACTGCTCCAGACTCAAGCTGGAGGAAATTCAATATGGAAGGAAGTCGAAAGATTTATCCAAACAGTGGTAAATCGGCAAATCCATAATGATCTGAATCAGGATTTGAATTTAGAAACGAAGAATAAAAAAAGCATACAGTCGATATCAATGCACACATCGTTGTCCACGGAATCGTTGATAATTGAAGAGAGTCACGGAACAAAACCTGTCATTCCTCACATATCACCAGCACCACCACCGCCTCCACCATCCCCAAATAGCAACAATCCTTCGCCGCGTCCTGACAGTACTTCTTCTGAAATTGAGGAATTGCTACCGCAACAGAGTCCACCGAATCCGAACTTAAAAATGAAGTCATTATATTGGGATATAGTAGCGCCTCAAACGGTGCTGGGCCAGAAAAACATCTGGACTACCATGGCCAATAAACACAAGAAATCTTTTCGACTTCCAATTGAATGGCATAAAGCAGAATCATTATTCTCTGTTCCATTACCAATGACAACAAATACTCTGGATAGATCAACAATCAAACCGCATTCAACAAAATTGAAATTACTAAATGATCAGCATAGTTTTCTCGTTGAAATATTCCTCGAACAATTTAAGGGGTAAGTACTTTGGTTACGTCGAAAAAGTGAAAAAAATGAAAAAAGTGAAAATTACAATGATAATTATTGAATAATTTTCAACATTGACAATATAATTACGCAACTTCGTGCGTAATTTCTAAATGTATTTAATAGCAATTGTATTAATTGTTGAGGAAAATTATTTTGTTGAAATATAATTTGCCACATGTTATATTATTACTAGCTGGCCCAGACCGCGTTGCCGGTCTGTAGTTTAACGCATAGTTTTTAAAGCATAATAATCCACACATCTGGCTCACATAAGTGGCACAAGTTTTAGTATAGATGATGACTCGACTAAAGAGCAATAAATATGCATTTCAAAAATGTCAATCTGGGTTCACGTACCGGGCGATTTATAGTGTTTCAAAAAACCTGATCCTATTTTCCAGCCAGAGGTTTTAATTTGAGAGTTGGAAACCCAAATAATATAGCATATTTATTAAACAGTATAGGGTAAGTGTGCCTAAGTTCGGCATGTCTCAGTAGTCGGCACTTTTTATTTTTAAGCCCAAATAAATGAAACTATTATAACTAAATATATTTTGTTTACTTCAAATATATTGTCAGCTATCTTTGTGTACAATTTCGCTAAGAAAAGATGATTTATTCTAATAAAAATTAAATTTTTGTCTGTGAAGGTCCTCAACAATCCATATTGTTAAGAAAAGTACAATCAGTTTAACTAAACAAAAATATTATATTTTAATGAATTAATTTATTATTATTATTAATTATTCTTACAAAAAAATTGGTACGCCGACGGTTGGAACATGCCATACCGACAATTAGCAAATGGTGCCGACTACTGGCAAAAAAGCATTGTTTTAATAAAACTACAAATTTATGAAATTTAATAAGAATGTTATTAAAACTTTATTTATTATTGCAAGAACAAAATTTCGAATCTGAATAAATTAACTTTGTAATAATTGAAAAGTTCCACTCAGAATGGTCAGCGATTAAAAACGCGAAAATCCTAAAAGTGCCGACTACTGGTACACTTTCCCCACATCAACTGTTTATAATAGTCCCATGGTTGGTTGATGGTTCTATCGATTCGAAAATATAACCGAAACCCTCGAAATAGGTAAAACCAGGAGGAATGTTTATTCTTCCGGTAGGCAGGTTAAGTTCGTAAATGGGGCATGTAGGTCCACGTCTTCACATAGCCCCCATGTAACGGTACCTCCATATATTCGGTATTTTTATGATTTTAGCGACATTATTAACCGGAATTGTTTAAAATTTGGTATTTGAAGTTCGTAATGGATACTACAGCCTAAGACATAAAATTGTCTGTGCAGGTCCACGTCTTCATATAGCCTCCATATAACGGTACATCCAAATATTCAGTACTTTGTTGATTCTAGCATAACTATTTACCGGAATTGTTCGAAATTATGTATTTAGAGTTCGTAATAGGAACTACAGTCTGTGACAGACAATTGTCTATGCAGGCCCAGTTCTTCGTATTGACCCCATATACCAGTACCTCCATATATTCGGTATTTTGACGAGTTTAGGTACCACCGAAATAGTTTGAGATGTTGTATTTTAAGTTCGTAGTGGATGTTACAGCCTATGACAGAAAATTGTCTATGCTGGTTCAGGTCTTCGCACAGCTCCGATATAACGGTACCTCCCTATATACGATATTTTGATGATTTTAGCTACATCATTCAACGTATTTCAAGCTTCGAATTCGAATATGGTAATGACTTATGACAAACAATGCCTATGTAGGTCCATGTCGTACAGACACCAATATAACGGCTATATTTGGTATTTTTAAAATTTTAACAGAATTTTTTAATGATTTTATTTCCAAATTCGTTCCAAATGGTGGAGGGTTTGAATACCCGACCTGGCCGAACTTACTTCTTTTTAACTTGTTGGAATTTCAATGGCTTTATCCCGAGCTCATTTTTCAATATTTGCCGAATGGAATATTGCAATATGTTCTGCTCACTAGCCAGTTTTCGGCCACTGCGACGCGGGCTTCGATCAAATCGCTTCTTTACTTTTCGAACCATTTCTGATAAAATTGCTGTTTTCTTCCGTCCACTTCCTTGACGTCGGACTACGTTACCAGTATCACAGTATCGGTAACAAGGGATGGTACGAGACACAAAAGATTTATTCACATTTAAATGCTGGAGTGCTCTAACGATAGCCACTTGTGGGTTTTCCAGCCAAAATAGAAAGAAATCGCACTATTACGCTTGAATTCAATCACGAATAACTTTTTCTCACCAAAAAGCTTTTGTACGCTTGTAAACAATATAATGAGCTGTCACTGGAATAATTTAAACAGCTGTCGGACGAATGGCTTAGAAACGACAGCAGTCTGAAGTTAGTTGCAGTTTTTTCATCTCACCCTGTATACTTTGTTGTGTCTAAAATGATTATATCGATGAGTTACAAATGGAATGAAGAACTTAATATACCCCCCATACTATGTATGCAGAGGGTATAAAAAACAACACTATTGTCAGCCAAAAGTGGTGTTTTGAGCCGAAGTCACGATTTAAGCTTTGATCCCTTTTAGCCTTAATAGTATTATTTATCTTATATTATTCTTATTCCAGCTTGAAAACAGATGATGAAATTATAGAACTTGTTCGTAGCTGCAGGCACCAAATCATGGGTGTGGAGAAAATCAAACGTCTATTAAGACTTTTGTCCGAAATGGATGAGCTGAATATACTTAGAACGTTCACTGGCAACCGAAATCACTTAGTTCGAGCGGAAATCTTCTTGATTAAACTAATCGAAATTCCTGAGTGAGTGCAACAAATTTTTACCTAGGGTCTAGGGTCTAATTAGTGCTTGTATAATTTTGTAAACTAAAAGTTTATTAAAATAATTTAAAATAATTTTATCAATTTCAGTTATAAACTTCGCCTAGAATGCATGGCATTTAAGGAAGATTTCAACGAAAATTTTACACAATTGCAAGATTCAATGAAAATTGTGATACAAGCGGGCAATGGTAAGATAATCTGGACACCGATTAAAATATCTGCTTTTGCGTACGTTTATCTACAAAATCTCTAACCTGGCGATTGCTCGCAATAAATTTGTCTACATAAAACGAAATAAATGTAATGTGTCTGATCAGTTATCTGGGTTAACCCTGGCAGAGAATTTGTATTTAAACGTGTTTCTAGAACCCTGTACCCTGAACCCTATACCTCCCCCACAAAGGGTCAACATTTTTATAATTATAACTCTTATAAAACGTGATGAAATACTCCGATTGGCTTCTATCTACACAAATCACTATATTTTTTATAAAACCAAGGTCAGGTGTGAAGATGAAATATATCGGTCTACTCCTTTTAGTACTTCCCCCACAAAGGGTCAAAATTTTGAATATTCATGAATTTCATAAAATGCAAAATTATTATTCGAATCCATTCAGACTTCACATCTCAATATTTTTCATCAACACAAGATCTGTTATAAAGATAGTTGAGATCGGACCATTCCTTCCGGTACCTCCCCCACAAAAGGGTCAAAATTTTTAATAACCAAAACGATTAAAAATCCAAATTGAGCATCCGGTTCTTTTCATATTTCACACATCCCATTATTTCTACAAACACAAGATCTACTGTGAAGATGGGATATATCGGTCCACTCTTTCTGGTACCTCCCCCACAAATGGTCAAAATTTTGAATACCCATGAAGCTCATATATTTCAAAACTAACATCCGAGTCCATTCAGATTTGACCCATCTGAATATTTCTATCAGCACAGGATCTTTTACAAAGGAGGTAGGATCGGATCATTCCTTCTGGTATCTCCCCCATAAAGGATCAAAGTTTTGAATATCGAAAACGATTATAAAATCCGTAATAAGCATCCGGTTCTCTACAAATTTCACAGATGCCATTATTCTTACTAACACAAGATCTGCTGTGAAAATGGGATTTGTCAGCGCACTCTTTCTGGTACCTCCTCCACAAAGGGTCAAAATTTTGAATAGTTACAGCTCTTATAAAATGTGATGTATGAGTCCGATTGTCTTCAAATTACATACATCACAATATTATTATTAACCCAAGGTCGGGTATGAAGATGGATTATACCGGTCCACCCCTTCTGGAACCTCCCCCACAAAGGCTCAACGTTTTGAATAACCAAAAGGATTATAAAATCCGAAATAAGCATCCGGTTCTCTTCATATTTCACACATCCCATTTTTCTACCAACACAAGATCTGCTGTGAAGACGGGATATATCGGATCCCAAAAAGGGTCAACATTTTGAATATCCATTAAGCTTATAAAACGCTAAATTAACATCCGATTTCATTCCAGACTTGGTGCATCTCAATATTTCCATCAACACAAGATCTGTTATCAAGATGGTAGAAATCGGACCATTTCTTCTGGCAGCTGCCACACATAGGTTTTGAAAAACAAAACGCTCAAAGAAAGCCAAATAAGCATCCAACTCTGTTCAAATTTCACACATTCAAACATTTTTGCTAACACAAGATCTGTTGTGAAGATGATATATATCTGCGAACCACTTCTGGTACCTCACACACAAAGCGTCACAATTTTCAATACTTTTATCACAATTTTCAATACTTTTAATCATAACTTGCGAAACAAGTCGGCGATTCTTTACAACTTGCTAAATATTTCTCTCAACTAAAAACCTGGGATGAATACGGAATTGATCGGAATTTTTGATAAAATTCCATAAAATTGTATATAAATGTTCGATTTTCTTGTAATTTTCCCCTACCTGTATTTTTATTTGTATCAGATGAACTGTGAAAATGGAATACTTCGGTCGTCTATATTTGGTACCTCACACACAGTTATATCATATTTATGTAGGTCCGATACGGAAAGGACAACTTTGGTCCATTCCTTCGGAACCTACTCCATAGAGGGTGAACAATTTGAATAATCGTAGCAGAAGTTAAAATATATTTTAATAATCAAACATTGGCTGACGGTAGACATCTGTTGGCACAATCGACTGATACTTCTTAACTTGTTATTTTCTTTTTAATTCTAGAACTTCTAAATAACAAGGGTTTGCATGAAATCTTGTACACAATAGTGTTGGTGGGAAACTTTTTAAATTCGGGAAAATTTGGTGGAAATGCCATTGGTATTAAGTTGTCGTCTTTGCCGAAACTAAGTCAAACACGAGCTAATACCGTCCACATGAATTTCTTACATTTTATGGTTGATCAAATAAAGAGAACGCAGCCACATCTATTACAGGCATTGAACGAATTTCGAAATTTGCATGAAACTGATAAGTAAGTTTCGTGGAAGATTGAAGAACCCAAATATATAAGTTATCGGCCGATATTTTTGTCTTTTTTATGTTATTTACACCCTTTCTTTGCAGAATAAATCTAGAACAAATACCCGTCGATATTAAAAAATTTGATAGTCTTTTGCAAAGTCTAAAATCACAACTTGAATTACCAAACATCATGTTGGACATGAATGAGCAGATGTTAAAATCATTAGAAAATGATGAAGCTCAAATCCAAAATTTGAAAGAGACTTTAAAAGACGTAGAAGATATACGTATCAAGGTAGCTACTTTCTTTTGTGAACCCTCGTCCACATTCAAATTGAAGGACTGTTTTAAAATTTTTGAAAAATTTCTATGGGATTTGAAACGTGCCGAAACGGAACTCGAAATCATTGAAACCAAATCCATAAGTAAGCAGAAGCAATCGTATGGAACAATAGCAACCCCATCGAGAGGTAAGAAAATTGCATGTCAATGCGAAAGTGAACATTGCATTGGGATATGAAGGTGCATTCAAAAATTACAAAGATATTCCAGGGTGAGATAAAAAAAATTTAGAATAAGTTTAGATTTGTTCGATTTGTTCGCCTTGGGCATGAATTATGGCCTTCGAAAGGCCAATGAAACCACACGCTGCCCCAATCTTTCTCTGCGGTATTTTGGCCCATTCCCGGCGAAGCGCTTGTTTAAGGTGATCGACACTTTGGTATTTTTTAGTGCCAACCTTGCTTTCCAAAATACTCCAGACACAATAGTCCAACGAATTGGTATCCGTTGTGCGCTGGAAATGAAGCGAGGAACCTCATTTTGTAACCATTCTTGGTGGCACGTGCTGAGTGCGATGGTTCTGAGTCCTGTTGGAATGTTTAAGGTCTGAGGCCAAAATGTTTGCGTGACCAAGGCTTTAATACATCCTCCAGAATATTTCGCGTTAATATTCGGCACTTATTCTGATGCCACGGTCGATTAATACGAGCGGAGAGCGACCATCGGCTGTAATGGCGGCCCACACCATCACCATGGCCGGTGCTTGAGTTCTGGTGGCCAACCGAAGGTGCACATTTTCTTCTGACCTCTTTGGCAAGTAAACACGATAATTTTGTTTGTTTACAAACTGCTGGACAACGAATGTTTTCTCATCGGAGAAAACAAAATTCGACAGTTCACCATTTTCGGCCAAGCGAAGCAACTCTTTAGCTCTTTTGAGTCTATTTTCTTTTTGTTGTGTTGTTATTGAACTTTTTGGAATTTCAATGGCTTTACCGCGAACTCATTTTTCAATATTTTGCCGAATGGAATACTGCGACGCGGGTTTCGATCAAGTCGCTTCTTTGCTTTTCGAACCATTTCTGATTATGTTGCTGTTTTCTTCCGTCCACTTCCTTGACGTCAGACGTAACGAGCGATGGTACGAGACACACAAGACTTATTTACATTCAAATGTTGGAGTGCTCTAACGATAGCCACTTGTGGTTTCGCAGCCAAATATAAAGACATCACACTATCACGCTTGAATTCCATCACGAATAACTTTTTTTGTGGAAAATTGTCACCAAAATGCTTTTGTGCGCTTGTAAACAATATAATGAGCTGTCACTGGAATAATTTTAACAGCTGTCTCACCTTGTATATCTTCGTCCGATTTTGTGCCCCAAACGTGTAATATCAGCCCAAATTTTGCACATACGACCAAATTAACCTGGGAATAAGTATGTCAGATTTGATCGAAATCGGTTCAGATATATCTATAGCTCCTATATAATTGTTCATCCGATTTGTTATCTTTGTCCTCTGCAGCCTTAACCATATCAAATATAGTTCAAAATACCTATGCTAAATTTTATCGAGATTGGTTCAGAATTGGATATAGCTCCCATATAAATCTTCGTCCGATTAGCTTTTATTAGCCCAAATCGGATGGAATTTGGCACTTACGACCAAATTGAGTCTAGAAACAACTATGTAAAATTTGTTGAAAATTGGTTCAGTTGTAGCTATAGCTTTCATATATAATGTTCATCCGATTTGTTATATTTGTTTTCCACAGCCGTAATATGCACTATATATATATATCAAATACAGCTCAGAAATACCTATGCTAAATTTTATCGAGATCGAGTCAGATATGGACATATATATTTTTTCCGATTTCTAGTTAATTGTGCACCAAATGGTTAATACAAGTCCGAATTGAAAAGGCACGAATGCCTCGGCAAATTTAGTAGACCGATTCAGAGGAGGATAATCCTTTAATATATTAGTTTCTTTGGACTTTAGGTTATAACTATAATCATAAATGGTATGATGTAGTTCTAAAAAATTCTCCATAAAAACATGTATTTATCATGCGAAGCTCTACTTAATGTGAAAAGTTGTGTAGGGTATCATAAAGTCGATTTTAAGACTTTCTATGCTGGTTTTTATTTTATTACATATTACATATGTTAAACTCAATCAAAGATTGATCAGCATTTTTTCCCATTATTCCATACAACAGTTCTTTTCACAAACAAAACGACATATAATAAAAATTATTATAATATTTTCAGGAAAATCAAATATTAATTTGCACAATCGCTTTGAAACTGTAAAAGTTGCAAGAAGCAAAGGTTTCATAAGAGAGGCAATAGAATCTGAACAAAGTAACAGGGTGATATTGAAAACTAGTACAGCTGAAAAGATAAGTGAGTATTAACACCAACTTCGAATTTTATTTTTATTTTATTTCGATAAATAAAAAAATCTTTTTAGGTTCTTTGCAAAAGTCGAAAAAAGAATCGGCAGTTGATAAATTCAAGTCAAACAAGGAAACATTGCAGAAAAGTGTTTCAAGTAAAATTCGACATTATTCGGATATTTCACAGCAGCATAACTCAGGTAGTGTGACAAATTTGCCCAGCGTAGCTAAGGATAAATCAGCTATATCAAAATGCGAAGAAATCGGTGTCCATGTAATGCCAGTAAATGAGGCAAAATTGCAAGAAATTATTCGGAAATTAAAACCAGTACCTAAAAAGAACAGTCTATGGGATATACCACGAGAAAAACTATTACGACACTCAATTCCAAAGGGACCCATTACTAAGGATAAGGACATTTTTGCAGATAGAAAGAAGTTTTTTGAAAATATTGCCAGCAAAACAGATAATGAAAAAACTCAAACGCCTAAATTAACGCTGCAAACAAGAAACAAAATCAATTACAGCTCGCTGAAAGATACATCAAACGAGTCGTCGGTAACCGAGGAAGCAAGTGAGGAAACAAATATGAACCGAAAGCATGCATTTAATTCAACACCTTCCGAAATGCCGAACTCCAAAATAGAGGAAATAAATGAATTGAAAAAGTCTCAGAATGAATCAGATGATATGGCTAAAATGACGAAAATTGAGGGCAAGTCATCTTTTCCAAAACGCATATTTACCTCAATTGTAAAAAAAATTGGCTTTGGGAAATAAATTTCAAAATAACATCAAATTTTTAAACTTAATTACATCAGATATTTTTTTTAATTTTCAGGCATATAACATAGTTTTAAATTTTGATGGTCTTTAATAAGGCCTATATAAGGTCGGACAAGAAGTTATTGACTGCAAATATGGGCTTAACTCCAATTTGGACTTATTAAAATTTCTAAAAAATATATAAAAATACATATCAAAAGAACCTCGGATAGGCGTCGCATAAGAAAACATATAAAAATCAACTTTTTGACAAAACTTTTTTAAAATTAATTAATCAATTAACCCAGGTAGGTTAATTTTTCGTCAATACATTCTTCTGATCCTTGTATATCAGGGTTAAGTCGGGAATAGATTTTTTCGGTTTAAACTGTCAAATTAATTGTACATACCATGGTACAATACGGTGGTAGAACAGTTGTGTAAAACTACAGAAATGCAGGCCTGAGGCTGTTTCTATTTTTCAAAATAATAAATACACACACAAAATCGGCAGAAATCGGATACACTTAAGGTGGGAATACATAAAGCGCTTATCTGGCTGGCTTCTTTGGAAATGAACAAAGGAGCATAGGGCCAAATTCGAACTAAGTCAACCTAAAACTCCTTTGTTGCATAACAAATATTTCATATCCTCCATACATTCACACAAATGTAAACTATACAAATTATTACAAGAGGATTAAAACATTAAACGGTACACAAGGGACTACTTCACATTTTCAAATGAATGAGCAGAAAAGTATGGAAAAAGTCACGCATTTAATAATTGTCTCACAACACTAGTTTTCCACGTGAACTTGAATAGGATGAGACCGATTTGTTTTTCAAAACTAACATTTATTGTTGGTATGTAAACATATTCAATACAATTATTTATAATACACAATAAATACAGTACGTTCGTATTAAAGTTCTGTTTTCTCTTAATTTTTGAAGCTTTTTATGTGTTGCTCAATAATGTTGGATCTGAATGTAAGTAAATATTTTTTAATTAAAATGTCTTGCGGACCGACTACAGTACCCTTCCATGGTAGACGAATACAGGCAGATGCATCAACACTTGTAAACATTGTTAAGTCAAAAATATTAAAAGATTTCTTCAAAAAAAATATTTTTGAATATTTTTGTAGACGCGGCCGTTCAACTGTTGTCATGATATGTGTTTTTCAACAAAATTTAACTCATTGGAATATTTTTTACTTTTTTATTGGAATATTTTTTATAACAAATTTTGAATTCAAAATGCACACGACTTTTTAGAATTAGCAAGAAATCAGATCAGAGCAAAAATCGAACTAATTCAACCTAAAACTTCTTTGTTCCTCTACGAAGAAGCCTCTACTTATTTTTCACAAAACATTTTTAAAAATTTGACATATCAATATTCTCAAGGGTTGATGCATCTATCTGTATTCTTCTACCATGGTAAAATGACGAAGGTAAAATCATTTCAGATAACCATATCTATCTCTGTATTTTCTGTAACTTTTCCTTACTCTTCCTTTTCCTTTTCCTTACTCCGTATAGAAACCAGGTTCAAATCTTTGATTGAGAATACATAAAACGCCTTTTTGACTGGCTTAAGTCATCGGCTGGCTTCTTTGTAGATAAACAAATGAGTTTTAGGTTAACTTAGTTCTATTTTGACCCTAGGCTCCTTTGTTCATTTCCGAAGAAGCCAGCCGATGACTTAAGGGTGGAAATACATAAAGCGCATATCTGGATGGCTTAAGTCATCGGCTGGCTTCTTCGTAGATGAACAAATGAGTTTTAGGTTAACTTAGTTCTATTTTGACCCTAGGCTCCTTTGTTCATTTCCGAAGAAGCCAGCCAGATAAGCGCTTTATGTATTCTCACCTTAAGTGAATAATTCTGAAAATAATGTAAACTTATGATTGCATGAATTTACCTTATTCAATTAAAATTGGCAAATCGCAATTTTACGATTTCTTTTTCTCATTGTATTGCCTAAATATATGATTTTGCTACAGTTATGAAAACAGAGAGAGAGAGAAGATTTCCAGCCTGCGTTGCAGTCTAATTGGCATTAAGTTAATTGTTGTACATCTCTATTTTATATATTCTGAAGTTTATACAACAGTTTTCAACTGTTTATTCTATGGGTTTGATACTTAAAGACTAACTAAATAAACAGATTCGTGCTTAAATTGCATTACATTACCGTGGGTAATTCGATTTATGATGCTTCCAACTTTGTGCTGAGTATTGATTGAGATTTTATTTTATAATGTATATACAGCGCAATCTGAAGATATCACTTGTATTGGAAAATATGTACCTCCATATGCAAATATTGAAATCAAAGACAAATTGTTTTCACCATTACTATGTGAAAACTGCGATCAAAAGCCAGAACACACAGTTCTAATGAACAATGGACATCAGCTTTTAATTAAAATGATGTACCGCGATACTCACAATGTACCAACCCTAGTTGGCGGAATACTAGAGGACAAGGGAACCTATCGCTTTAAAGAAATTTATTTTAGTTGGCTATTTGAAACACCTGAGGAATGGTCATTCAACGAAGTGAATTTTCCAGCTGAACTCCATATTGTATTCTATCACACTAAATATGGAGACTTAGAAAATGCTTTAAATGCCGATGAAGGGATTGCGGTACTATGTATAGGGTTTAGGGTAAAAGTATTGGGCTCTTAATAACAGATATGAAATATACTAACATCACTGCATCTTTAGGTTAGAAGGCACAATACACCCAGCTCATTTCTACGCATTGTCGATACTTCGTTGTCGAGGGTTCTTCAAGCTCCCAGCAATACAATGGTACAAGAAAATGGAAGTGTTTCGGTTTCAGATTTTCTGCCAAAGGATTTAAAATATTTTTACGGCTATACGGGTTCTATGCTTGCCACTGATACCCCTTGGCCTACAACATGTAAAGCGAAAGTTATATGGATTGATGTGGAAGAAAGCCTACAAATACATCCGGATCAAGTAAGTGGTAGTCTACGAATCTCTATTTGTTTAACCTACTTTTTTTACAGGTGTTGGAGTTAAGAAAATTACGTAATTTTCATGGTAAATCCCATTTTCCGCATGCAATAGAGTATTCACGGCCAACGATTCCTGTCTATAGGTCCCTAGATCCTAATGGGAAGGATATTGAATATGATAATGGCCAACAACCAACAGCGAATGTGTGGTCTCTTATTTTTATTTTCTTTTTGTATTTAGCTGTGTAAAACTAATTTCTACGACTAAAGGCGAGAATACATAAAACGCTTTTTTGACTGGTTGTTGATGAGAATATATAAACCGCTTTTTTTTAATGGCTTAAGTCATCGGCTGGCTTCTTCGGAAAAGATCAAAGGAGCGTAGGGCCTAAAACTCCTTTATTCCTCTACGAAGAAGCCCGTCGATGACTTATAACCCCCATGTAACGGTACCTCCAGATATTCGGCATTTTGTTGTTTCCATTCCACGAAATTGTTCCAAATTTGATTTTTATAGTTCGGAAAGATTTCTACCTCCGGTGGCAGAACATTGTCCATAAAGGTTAGGGTTTTACTAAAGCATCGATGTAACGCGACCTTCGAATATTCAATATTTTGGCGATATAAGCAACACTTTCTAACGGATTTGTCTAAAATGTTGTATTTTTAGTTTGTAAAATGGATTTTAGCTTCGGCGCTGAACATTGTCTTTATAGGTCCCAGTTTTCCTAAAACGCGCATATAACGATACCTCACATTTACCCCACAATTTTTCAAGCAATTCAATTTGGGTATTTAAGACCAACTACTTTATTATATTTTAGAAACGTAATCTGCACTCCTCAATCGAGGAGCATTTGAAATTTAAAATGGAATTCGTTTGAATCCAGATACTTTTATATAAAAATGGCAATTGAAAGTTTTGCCCAGCCGAACTCCACAAAAATGTCGGAAATATCATGAAATTTTAGAATAAGTTTAGATTTGTTCGAATTGGTCACCTTTGACACGAATGGTGGCCATCAAATGGCCAATGAATCCGTCATACTCTACCCGAGTGTTGCTCTGCGGTATTTTGGTCCATTCCCGACAAAGCGCTTGCTTGAGGTAAACGACACTTTTGTATTTTTTAGTGCCAACCTTGCTTTCCAAATACTCCAGACACAATAGTCCAACGGATTGGTATCCGGAGATTTTGGTGGCCATTGTGCGTTGGAAATGAAGCGAGGAACCTCATTTCGTAACCATTCTTGGATGGCGTGTGATGAGTGCGATTGTGCTGAGTCCTGTTGGAATGTCCACGGTCTGCGGCCAAAATGTTTGCTTGCCCAAGGCTTTAATACACCCTCCAGAATATTTTCGCTATAATATATATAATACGAGTGGAGAGCGACCATCGGCTGTTATGGTGGCCCATACCATCACCATGGCCAGCGCCATGGTCAACACCGAAGGTGCACATTTTCAGCTGATCCCTTTGGCAAGTAAACACGATCATTTTGTTTGTTTACAAATTTCTGGACAGCGAATTTTTTCTCATCGGAGAAAACCAAATTCGGAAGTTCACCATTTTCGACCAAGCGTAACAACTCTTTAGCTCTTTTGAGTCTATTTTCTTTCTGTTGCGGCGTAAGTTCATGCACTTTTTGCAATTTCAATAGCTTTACACCGAGCTCATTTTTCAATATTTACCGAATGGAATATTGCAATATATTCAGCTCACAATCCATTTTTCGGACACTGTGACGCGGGTTTCGATCGTTTCATTTCGAACCATTTCTGCTGATGTTGCTGTTTTCTTTCGTCCACTTCCTTGACGTCGGGCTACGGCAATGGGCGAGGGTACGAGACACAAAAGATTAATTCACATTAAAATGCTGGAGTGCTCTAACGATAGCCACTTGTGGTTTTCCAGCCAAATATAAAGAAATCACACTATCACACTTGAATTCCATCACGAATAACTTTTTTTCTGGAAAATTCTCACCAAAAGGCTTTGGTACGCTTGTAAACAATATGATGAGCTGTCACTGGAATAATTTTAAGAGCTGTCGGACTAGTGACTTAGAATTGACAGCAGTCTGAAATTGGTTGCTGTTTTTTCATCTCACCCTGCATACAGATAAATGCTTACAAGCAAAATATTATGCAAAGTACATTTTCTATTCACCATTGTAGACAGATTTATTATCGTTTACATTAGCAATGAAGAACGCTATAAGTTGCTCTGTTCCAGAACTGCAAGAATGAAAAAAATACTACGATAACCGATTTTTTTCTTTGTGATATCAAAAAAAAATAAGTAAATACTTGCAGGTTCTGGAAGAGATCAAATATAAATATTAAAAAAAAAAAATAATAAGAATATATTTAATACTACAAAACTTAATTTAACTTATTACAAATTAAATTCCCATACAATAAAACTTGTACAATAAAACTTGTAGAAAGATTCTTATGAAATTATTGCTACGAGGCCATAACTTCAACATTTGGCGATTTTGCGGGTGGCAAAACATGGTCTTGATCTTTTGCGACAGTGTTGGCCGGAGCTGAAGACTCATTAACATTGATATTGCTTTTTTCTTCTGATTCTCGTTCCTGTGTTACGTTCACATATTTTCTTTCATAGTTTTCTTCATTAAACCAATCTTTATGAGATTCCAAATAGCTGCAAAAGAACATAATAGTTTTATATAATATATAATAAACTGTAATGTTTGTTTTTTTTTAGACCTCATTCAATATAAACGCGATTTAAATTGACAATCACTGAATTGTTTGGCAGTATTTCTAGGGAAATTATTTCTTCTTTAATCGTAACAAAAACGTTAACAATTATTGTGAAGAGCAATAACAATTTCAAACAATTTAGCATTTTAAAAACCACTTATCTAATGAAAAGCTGTTGTGACACTATGACAGTTGCCATGATTTGTGAATGTTTATATAAATAAATGCACAATATAGTATCAGTATTAATTCATCTGATAAGAGAACGGGCAAAACCACCAATTGTGCAAATACACGTCGCCCACTCCAAATCAATAAATACTTACTTAACAAATGTATCCAAATGTTGTAGTATTATTTTCAATTTTTCATCACTCATCGTGGATGCATTCAAAAATTCCGGCAATTTAACTAAAAATATAGATGGGAAATTCAATAGAATTTAATTCAAATTATGTATATCCACGTTATACCTATAAGTCGAGCTAAGTGTGGTGCTCCAAATATCATTGAGGGTCCTGGCGGTGCATTTGAAGGTATTATGCGCCATGATAAGACATTCTGTAGAAAATCACGTATTTGCGGAGAAATGGGTGCCAAAGACTTTAAATGATTTAAACCAGAAGCCGGGATATTGCAATTCAATGGTGTAGGAGCTCCTGCGCTGGTACTGGCAATGCTGGCTAAACAATTCTCCAGAGTGAAATCACATTCGTCACTACGATGTGATCTCAATTTTCTGCGTTGAGGCTGTTCTTCTTGGGATGTGGCTGGAGTTTGATTGGTCGGGGCGTCAGCCGCATTAGCTGAGTTCTGTTGTGCTTCAATGGTATTTTCTAATGTTGAGTTTGAAGATGAATTTACGTTGCCAGATATACTACCGGCAGTTGTTGTCATATCGTATGTCTCGTTTTTGATATTAAACCAATCCAGAGAAAATGCAGGTGCCGGTACATATGTGAAAGAATTTAGATTTTCTTCCGACAAGTAGGACAAAGCATATTCCTTTTCCTCTTTATATAGCAAATACTCATGTATGGTGAAATCGAAGTAAATCCGTAAGCCATCAGCAACTTCCTTTAGTAGAGCAACCCTAAAATATTATATTATTATTACAAATTTTAAACATAGCTACATGTCTAGGCATTTTATTTTAAACTATTATTAGAACCCTATCTCTCTGTCAGAGATAAATCAGTAACTGTTTAATCTATTTGTGGACAGGTTTTTTGTTATCTCCCTGTCAAATGTAACCCAAGTAAATGTATTTAACGTCGCTACAAACAATTTTGGACTTCTGGCTTCAATTTCGACTCATACTTGTTATCATTTTCATCATATCAAATTTGTGACATTTTTTATTAGTAGTAAATTTAGCTAGACAATTTTATACAAAGTACCGTTTCCGCCCCTTGTACTCTTTTTTTTTATTTATCCTTTTTGTCTTAGTACCAAAACGTACCATTTTCAATGAAATTTAACATAAAACAAGTTTAAAAGTATCAGTCGGGTTTGCCGTGAGATATGTACCATCAGTCAATGCTCGATTATTTAAATATCTATCATTTTGACTTCTGTTATAATTTTTTAAATTGCTGACTCTCCATGGAGTTGGTTCCGAAGGAATGGGCCAATATTGTCCATTTCGTATTGGACCTAAATAAATATGGTATAAATATATATAGATGTGCTACGTTTGGACTATATTGGTTACTCCTTCACTTTTTATGTTATATGTGATAATGTTTAGGAAATGTTAAAATGTGCGTGAGGTACTAGATATAGCCAACCGAAGTATTCAATTTTCATACTTCATCTAATACAGATATAAATATTAGTATGGACAAAATTACAAAAAAAATCTAACATTTATATCCAATTTTAAGCGACGTCATAAATTCCATATTCATCTGAGGTTTCTGGTTGAGAAAAATATTTAAATAAAGCAAGTTATAAAGAATCGATGGTACCAGAAGGGTTTCGCAGATATACAGCATGAGATGAAAAAACTGCAACCAATTTCAGAATGCTGTCATTTCTAATTCATTCGTCCGACAGCTGTTAAAATAATTCTACTGACAGCCCATTATATTGTTTACAAGCGTACAAAAGTATTTTGGTGAGAATTTACCATTTGGCATGCATACATGTTGGCAGCAGACCTTGGACATTCCATCAGTCCTCAGCACCATCGCACGCACTCAGCACGCGCCACTCAAGAATGGTTACAAAATGAGGTTCCCCGCTTCATTTCCAGCGCACAATGGCCACCAAAATCTCCGGATACCAATCCGTTGGACTATTGTGTCTGGAGTATTTTGGAAAGCAAGGTTGGCACTAAAAAATACCAAAGTGTCGATCACCTCAAGCAAGCGCTTCGCCGGGAATGGGCCAAAATACCGCAGAGCTACATTCGGTGTGACGGTTTCATTGACCGTTTGAAAACCATAATTCGTGCCAAAAGTAACCAATTCGAATTTTATAACAGTTACATTTTATTAAAAATGTTGACCATTTGTGGGGGAGGTACTTGATGGAGTGGACCAATATTGACGAATTTCACACCTGAAGAGTATACCGATATTGCCCTTTTCCGAACTCGATCTAAGTTTGATTATAATATTTCGATGTACCAAGTTTGAACCAAATCGGATACTCCCTTCGAGAGATATCTTGCGTACCAACCAGACAGAGACAGACAGACGCACTCCAAATGTCCTGAAACAGACCAAAGAGACCTAGGGTCTAAAAAACCGTTATTTCGATGATTCACGTTTTGGCCTATCAAATGATATAAACCCTCTCTAGCAATTTGACTGAGGGTACAAAGAAGTAAGAGAATTCGTGCTCTAACAGAACAATATTTACTACTTTTAGTACGAATTCATGAAAACTTCACATTTTTTATGTTCCGCGCCAATTGCAACCTCCATGAACAATTCAACTTCAACTCGACAACTTAACAGAAATGTTTTGTCCATTTCGTACGTTTTTATACTTTTCCTACGTATATGTTTTTAAAAATTGCCTCTCAATATATTTGTTTACATAACTATTAGTTATAAACACCAGGATATGTGGATATTTTGTCGCCAACTCAGCGAAAATTGTTTTTCCTAAGGGACGAGTGTTAGATTCCAGCCGACACTTATTGTCCGGTCGAATGAATACTCGGTGGTCATATAATTTGTATAGCTCCTCTACTTACGTTGATATGATTTTTTCGACATCCTTTTCCTTTTTCTCTGTGGTTCGTTGCTGTGCAGCACGTCGTCGAGGCGGACCTTCCGGCTGGTTGTTTGCAAACACCATTTTCAAAGCTGTCTGCTTAACAAATTTCTCTAGTATAGAGACGGCTGGATTTCGTGATGGCAAAGCATGTTGTTTTCCATACTTCACAATCATATCATGATCGTATTCCAAGTACTGTCGTAAACGTTCACTAATACGTAACATAACACGATCCTCGTCGTGAAAACTCTCGATTGAACTGCAACAGGAGTCTGTTTCATCTAAAATATAAAAGAGGGAAACGCTTATGTAACAAATAAACTACGCAAAGAAAATTAACTCATTTGTTTACTTTTCATTGATGATTGATTGGAGTAGAACATCAATTTTCTAATAAAAATCCGTCTCTTTGTTATGTTTTACGATGCATATTAGTTGCATTTGCTGTTGTTATTACTTGAAATGTTCTGGGATCATAATAATGCAATAATTTTTAGCTGTTTTGGTCTCTTTGTATTTTTCTTAAACATTTATAGTTATAATTCGACATAAAAATTTTAAAAACTCCCTCGAAACATTACTATTGCACAAGTACAGCTGTTTCTTTTTTTAATATTGATTGGGGGTGTGTTATGCCTGGTGCATACTTTGGTTTTGCTTCAACACTATTATCTATTATACATAGTAGCATTGTGTACATATTTTGTTGTGCGCACATTGACCCACATTCTTTTGACCAAGCATTATGACATGTATGTATGTAAAAAGGGGGACATTGTTCTTACATCAACCTCCCACCACCCTGCACATTTAAACTTACCATCTTTCATAGAATAACGTTCATTTTTCTCGAACGTACTGCCAGAACTAAAATTATCCTCGGATAAACCTCGTGGTCGAAGTTTGTTTGGCGATGTACTAGCATCAGCTGAGTCTTCTGAGTTAATTGCTGTCGTTTTGCGAGACCTCTTTTTATTTTTGTGTTCCTTTCGATATAAATATGCGCCTCTGAAAAAAGATAGAAAAGTGTGTACATTGAATACCTATTATTTATTTAAGTATGCCATGAGTTCAACATTCTGCCGAAATACTCTGCAAGTATTGCACAGTTCTGGTCACATTCGATTTTACTTACAACTGCAGCTGAGCCTTTTCAGCCAAATCTCTTTGCAGCTGGCGATTTTCTTCGGTATCCTTTAGGACATAATCAGCACTAACCTTGCGATCCCAGGAACTACTCCAGCCTTGAAAATGCACTTTGTATTGAATATGCTTACGCCCTCTCTTATCTTTGGTCTCGTATGTTCCTAAAATCTACAAAATAAAAATTATTTTTCATTTTGAATTAACTTCATAACTTTGGAATAATAATTTTGGCCGTGAATGAACCTTTCAAGGAAAAAGTTTAAGCCTTAAATAAGACACACGGTCTTTAAGTGTGCAATTTGCGCGAAAATAATTATGACATTGTCATTTACATGAATCCTAAATTTCTTGCAACTGCATACTTCAATCCTACAAACCTTGCAATTTCGTACATACAAACTATTACCTTGGAATCATACAACACTTTCGCTTTTGAAGCGTCTGGTTCATAACATAAAACTTTTTCTCCTTTTTCAAAATATCGAGATCTAGGGCCACGAGTTGAAACCATTCCGGAGTCTCAAAAATTTTCAAATATAGATATATTTTAACAGGACGCTTAATTTAATTTATTTACTTGGAAATTTCGAGTAAAAGCATAAAGAAAAACATGAAAACACAGCTGTTATGTGCTTCTTCTTGAATATTCTCTCTTATTCTCATGTGAGCATATAAACAACCGCACAGTTTGAGTAGCATTGTTTTGAAAACAGCTGTGGTTACTTTCATGGGGTGGTTTGCGGTATTATGATAAATATGTATGTACTTATGTATGTAAATCAGTCGTTTTTGGGTTTTATCAAAAATAAGGGATTAATGTATGTAACTAAATAGCTTCATTCTGGTTCCTTAATGTACACATACATATATAAAATTTTTTTTTTGAATTTGCCTTTCTTTACAAAGTGGCTTGAACAATAGTTCGTGTATATATGTATGTATTCCTATTCCTAAATCCTAGCAACGAGTAATGTATGTACAATGTTCAAAGAGCACAACATACGTATGTATGATTGAACCTTGGTTCCATGGCCAAAATATACTTCGATCATGCTTCTTCCCTTGAATTGTATTATGTCAAAGCTATACGAATGCGTACATATCCATGCACCTACTTAAATATTTACATTTGTACTTATATAGATTATGCTTCAAGCTAAAATTCGGAACTTATTGTTGGTACTACAAACTGTTAACGTGATTCACACGTTTTGCATTCTTTGAATCACACGAGGATGCTGGTTTGCTAGTATGACGAAAATGATAGCTACACATATAATTATATGAATTATAAGTAGCTATTATTCATTTATGTCAACAGATTCATTTATTTATTGATCTCAGATATTGCCGGTTTCAAGAGAGCATTCATAGCTGCTCACATTAAATATCTATATTGGTTACAGATGTATTTAACTATGTTGTATTTATATTATTCCAGAAAATCCACGCAATCTGTTTTTAATTCAATAAAACAATGAATATAGACACGCAAATTATTTATTTATCATATAATTTTTTATCGATTTTGTATTTGCAACAACTTGCCAAAAATATGGGAGAGTGAATTGTTCTCGCTCTTGAATATTCGAGACCATATGTTATTAATGCCTACAGTTTACAGTTTGAATATCACTGTAAACTGCAAAATGCAACCCTGTACTTTTTGTTGACAATTTATTAATTTCTTTATATTTATAAAATTGTAAACGAATTAATGTTTTTTATAACATAAACTAATATCAAAATTGATAATAATTTTTATATAAATAGTAATACGTAATTTTAATATGCTACAAATAATATATTTCATGAATAATACCCCCAAAATCGACCATATGATGACGGCCAATGTCGACGGAAGTTAGGGTAGTTTATTCTAGAACTTTCTAGTGTTTTCTTGCATTTATTCATTGGTGTATAAATTCGGTTGCAAGCAGAGAACCGGCATTAGTCTTGTAACAGAACTTGAACAAAACGTGACTAAGGCGAGAAGCCAAACCAAGAAAAGAGGAACAAAGTCAAATTTTCTTTGAATAAACGGTGCAAAGTGAAGAAAAAGCAGTGAAATTTAAATTGCTAAAAATTAATTTAAAAAATTAATTCTAAATTACAACGCAAATTTCTGAAATCTTGTGAATTTATAAATAAAAAGCAAAGGTAAGTCCAACCCGCCTGCCAGAACTGAATCGGATTACACAATTTAACTGTAAAAATGTGGGTGCAACTTAAATGCATGGTATCAATTTTTAAATATTGAAATCAAGTTATTTGAAAAAAAAAAAAAAAAAAAAGAAAAAGAATGGTTACATAGAGAAATTGTTCTCGAAAAAATGATGGATGTCATGGTGATTCACACCAACTCCCCTTAACTTAAAAAAACGTGGGATGCATTTTTGCCCGTTCAAATGTGAAAAACCAATTGGGACAAGTTCTTTTGCGGAAATGCCCTTGATTGCTTTGAGAAATTATACATGAGCCAGTTAATATAAACAGTATAGACTAAATATTGCGATACACGATAATGGATAATTGCCCCCAAATTTTTACAGTTTACCCCTCCCTTCATCTTTTTTAACTTATCCAAATTTTCAGTTTAACAGTTTTCTAATCACACGTGTTTTTTCCCCCCCCCCCCTTTATTTCAGATGCCAGAAGAAGTTGAAACATTCGCTTTCCAAGCTGAGATTGCTCAGCTGATGTCACTGATCATCAACACATTCTACTCCAACAAAGAAATCTTCTTGCGTGAATTGATTTCCAACGCTTCCGATGCCTTGGATAAAATCCGCTATGAATCATTGACCGATCCCTCGAAATTGGATTCTGGCAAGGAATTGTATATCAAATTGATTCCCAACAAGACCGCTGGTACCTTGACCATCATTGATACCGGTATTGGTATGACCAAATCGGATTTGGTCAACAATTTGGGTACCATTGCCAAATCTGGCACTAAGGCTTTCATGGAAGCGTTGCAGGCTGGCGCTGATATTTCTATGATTGGTCAATTTGGTGTAGGTTTCTATTCTGCCTACTTGGTTGCCGACAAAGTCACAGTCACCTCCAAACACAACGATGATGAACAATACGTTTGGGAATCGTCTGCTGGTGGCTCGTTCACAGTCCGTGCCGATGACTCTGAACCATTGGGTCGTGGTACCAAGATTGTTTTGTACATCAAGGAAGATCAGACTGACTACTTGGAGGAAAGCAAAATCAAGGAAATTGTCAACAAGCACTCTCAATTCATTGGTTATCCAATTAAATTGCTCGTAGAAAAAGAGCGCGACCAAGAAGTTTCCGATGATGAGGGTGAGGATGAAAAGAAGGAAGAAGAAAAGAAGGAAATGGAAACCGATGAAGCCAAGATCGAAGATGTTGGTGAGGATGAAGATGCCGACAAGAAGGATAAGGATGGCAAGAAGAAGAAGACCGTCAAGGTTAAGTACACAGAGGATGAAGAATTGAACAAGACCAAACCCATCTGGACTCGCAATCCCGATGACATCTCTCAAGCTGAATATGGTGAATTCTACAAATCCCTCACCAACGATTGGGAAGACCATTTGGCCGTCAAGCACTTCTCGGTTGAAGGTCAACTTGAATTCCGCGCCCTGCTCTTCATCCCCCGTCGCACACCATTCGATCTCTTCGAAAACCAAAAGAAACGCAACAACATCAAGTTGTACGTCCGTCGCGTATTCATCATGGACAACTGCGAAGACCTTATTCCTGAATACTTGAACTTCATCAAGGGTGTTGTCGACTCTGAAGATTTGCCCTTGAACATTTCTCGTGAAATGTTGCAACAAAACAAAGTATTGAAGGTTATTCGCAAGAACTTGGTCAAGAAGACCATGGAATTGATTGAAGAGCTCTCCGAAGACAAGGAACTCTACAAGAAGTTCTACGACCAATTCAGCAAGAACTTGAAATTGGGTGTCCATGAGGACAGCAACAACCGCGCCAAGATTTCCGACTTCTTGCGCTTCCACACATCCGCCTCCGGTGACGACTTCTGCTCCTTGGCCGATTACGTGTCCCGCATGAAGGAGAACCAGAAACACATCTACTTCATCACTGGTGAATCCAAGGAACAGGTTGCCAACTCAGCCTTCGTTGAACGTGTCAAGGCTCGTGGCTTTGAAGTTGTCTACATGACAGAACCCATCGATGAATACGTCATCCAACACTTGAAGGAATACAAGGGCAAGCAATTGGTCTCTGTTACCAAGGAAGGCTTGGAATTGCCTGAAGATGAGGAGGAAAAGAAGAAGCGCGAAGAGGACAAGACCAAATTCGAAAACCTCTGCAAGATCATGAAATCGATCTTGGACAACAAAGTCGACAAAGTTGTCGTTTCCAACCGTTTGGTTGAATCTCCATGCTGTATTGTAACATCACAGTTCGGTTGGTCCGCCAACATGGAACGTATAATGAAGGCTCAAGCTTTGCGTGATACCTCCACCATGGGATACATGGCTGGCAAGAAGCACTTGGAAATCAATCCCGATCATCCAATTATTGAAACCTTGCGTCAAAAGGCCGAAGCTGATAAGAATGACAAAGCTGTCAAGGACTTGGTTATCTTGTTGTTCGAGACTTCCCTGCTTTCATCTGGCTTCTCTCTACAAAGCCCACAAACCCATGCCAGCCGCATTTACCGCATGATCAAGCTTGGTCTCGGTATCGACGAAGACGAACCTATGGCTGCTGAAGAAACCCAAAGTGCCGCTGATGCTCCCCCATTGGTCGATGATACCGAAGATGCTTCTCACATGGAAGAAGTCGATTAAATACTTAACCCCTGCCCTTCCTCTTAACGTATAAGTAGCTTATAAGAGTTTACCACGTACTCGACAGACAACAGACTGTTGCAAGTAATTCCATGGATGTCTGGAACACATTAATGTAGTAGTTTTGTGTTTCTGATTCATTTGAGTTGTGTAAAATAGAAGAATTGACTCTTTATTCACCATTGCCGCGTTGTAAGCGGTAGCACATTCTGTGTGCGACATTCATCATTCATCAGTCAAATTCATATTTTATTTAAATTTACTATTTTTTTTGTAAGATCGCAGTTTCTAAGGTTTGATTAAAAGAAAAAAAGAAATAAAATCCAAGCAACTATTTATAGATGACTATAATTTATGTTTTTTATTTTGTTTACTCCTATTTTTGGCGACTAACATTTGTTTTTAGTGTTAGGTTCTTTGGTTGGAATTTGAAAATATTTTGATTTACAGAAAAACGAAGTTGAATGTAAATCGTTGTATTACAAAAGATATAAATAAAATACGCATCTGATCACAATTTCTAACTTTTTTCGGTGAACTAAGGGAAGGTTTGAACTTGGGTATGATGTAAAGCGAGGATATACCTTCATGAAAAGGAAATATAAATTGAACAAAGTTAAGTCTATTAGAGGACCCTCTCGGGAAAGTCCATACTTCCCTTGTTATGGTTCAAAAACGTTTCGTTAGTACCTGGTATGATTAAAGCGTTTTTGAGACCAAACCAGGTACATGAGTTATTCAACAACGGTTACTCGACCCAAAGTTTTCTAACCTTGATGTTTTTTTCCGTCCTTCGCCGGGGCTAAAAATTTTCTGCACACCAGACACGAATGGAAGGATAGCTCAACATCCATGATTCGGGAAGTATGGGCTTCCCAAACAAAAAAAAAAAAAAAAAAACAAGTAAAAAAGCTGTAAGTTCAGCCGGGCCGAACTTTGAATACCCTCCGTCATTTGGAACGAATTTGCCAATTTTCAAAAAAATAAAGTCCAATGTATCCGTGATATTAGGGTCTTACGACGATGTGAACCTGCAAAGGCAACTTTTATCATAAGCCATTAATTCAAGTGCGAAATTAGAAAGAAAATCGGTGAATAATGTAGCTAAAATCATCAAAATGCCGAATATAGGGAGGTACCATTATATGGGGGCTATATCTGAACGTATTTTTTATCATAGGCTGTAATATCTATTACGAACTTCAAATACCAAATATGAAACAATTTCGGTGAATAGTGTAGCTAAAATCATCAAAATACCAAATATCGGGAGGTGTCGTTATACGAAGGCGTGGACCAGAACGGACAATTTTCTGTCATAGGCTTCAAATACCAAATTTGAAACATTTCCGGTGAATAATGCCGCTTAAATCACTATAATACCGAAAATAGGTGGTTTATATGGGGGCTAAACCAAAATGTGGACCTACATGGCCATTTTCAATGCCAAAAGTCCTGCAGACATAATATACATTTGAGTAAAATTTTATCAACCTACTTCATTCCGTTTGGAAGCTAGATCGATTTCCACAGACGGACGGACATCGCTAAATCGACATAGAATTTTATGCTGATCAAGAACATATATACTTTTTGGGGTCTAAAATGTATATTTCGAGGTCCTACAAACGGAATGACAATCCTCCATACTATGGTCGAGGGTATAAAAAATATCGTTGTACCCAGGTTAAACTTTAATCCGCGAGGGGGCAGGTACACTAAACCCTACACAAGCAAAAAAAACATTCTCGTTGCTGTTGGCTTTGTGTTAATAATTGATGAAAAATACTCATTTGATTCAAATTTGGGGACAAATTGTCGCATTTGATATCGAAATTAATTTTGAACATTTACATTTTAGCTTGATGTATTTAGAGAATTCCGTCAGGTTCTCCACTTTTTGCAAAAAACCAAAGCTTTCAGGAGGAACAACAACATAGTACCAAAAGCTCAAAATTTAAATATGCCAACATGAGTTGTTTTTCCAGAAAACCACAGATTGGATAATGAAAAAGTGCACGAAATATCATATCAGGCAATTGTCGCCTTTGCAGGGATAATGATCAATTTGGACATAAAAACAAATAAGTTACGTGCAATATGTTATGCATTAAGTCTTCAAGAAATTTTTTATTTTGATTCAAGCAGAATTCAACTTATTTACTATGATTCAATCTCTTTTTGAATCAGTTCCTTAATAGCTTCCATGGTCGTTACACCTTTACTAACCATAACTATTTTGTTGCGAGATCGTGAACCCTTACCTAGAGATACGTCGCTTTTTCTTAACTGCAACACTTTCGATAAATATTTCACCAATTCGGCATTTGCTTCTCCTTCACTGGGTGGTGCTGCTCTAAATAAAAAACAAAAGATTCATCAAACTAATGGTTTTTCAATAAAAAATAACTTTCTTTACATTTGGACTCCAACTCCTTCGGTTGAAATGTCTGTAATACCATTGTTTTTGGCACCTGGTTTTGCTAAAATTCTAATGCATATGTTTCCATTTTTGTCGGCCTGTATGGGATCATTGTTTGGAGCAGGTGATTGTGTTGTTGGGGCAGCAGCTTTTTTACTTTTGCTTTTAGACATTACTGATGATGAAATTTGGAAAAATCTTCGCATGTATGTATTAGTTATATACATATATATCTATATTTATTATCACAAACTTTAGCTGGAGTCCAGCCTTCCTCAATGTCTGATTTTGTTTACGGTCCCATTAGGGATAGGTAAGTCGTCTTCCGATTAATCGAATAATCGACTCTGTGTACTCAAAGTTCTGAAACTCGACTATGGACTTGGGTGAAACCCGAGTACTCGACTATTCATAGTCGATTGTTTAAAAAATTACAAAAAACGTATTTTACCCTTAAGGGCTACAGGGCTAAGTACATAAGAAGCTTGAAGTCATGGCTAGGCATATTAATGTCAAATTATAATGGAAAACGACGGCTGGATTTTAGTGCGGCTCTGTAATCCCTTTGTGAAATGTCACAAAATATGCCTAGACATGACTTCAAGCTTCTTATGTACTTAGCCCTTTAGCCCTTAAGGGTAAAATACGTTTTTTTGTAAATTTTTAAACAATCGACTATGAATGCCTAGCCATGACTTCAAGCTTTTTATGTACTTGCACCCTTACGCCCTGGTAAGCATTACCATCGTTCTCCACTGATAAACATTCGTAGTTTTTATAAAAACAACAATAATGGAATTAAGCCTGACCATTTTGCAAGAACAAAATACTATAATATCCCGAACAAACATGCCAACACTGTTCTACTAAAAAATATATATTGAAGATGAGTTCCACAAAATGGAAACGTACGTCCCGAAATTCACTCCATTTGGGCTGACATTGGCTATTATTTGCACAATAAATCTGAAATCAGACTAAGGATATATATGGGAGCTATATCTAAATCTTAGTCGAGCTCGATAAAATTTGGCAGAGGTATTTCCGAGCACTATAAGATATCTGGCACCATATATCTGGTATCTGGAGGGACTTAAATACCAAATCGTATGAAACATATATATGGGAGCCATAGCTATATCTGAACTGATTTTCTCTGAATTCAATGTACTTGTTTCTAGACTGAATTCGGTCGGATGTACCAAAATTCAAGACTTTTGGACAGATATTGGCCATTTGGTGCACAATTAACCCGAAATCGTTTGAAGATATATATGGGAGCTATATCCAAATCTGATCCGATTATCACCAATTTCAATAGGGTTCGTCCTTGCATCAAACAAATATTGTTTGGAAAATTTTATCTCAATCGGATAATAAATGGGACCTGCATTTTGTTCACAAGTATACATAGATGGACGGACTGCCTTGTAATACCTTTAAGGTGTAAGCATGGTAGAAGAATATAGGTAGATAGGTAGAATGGGACACAAATCAGAGACGGAAAACTTTTTTTCTATTTTGTGAAATTTGAAAAATCAAATTATAGAAAATACAGAGATGCGTGTGATTATTTGAAATGACTTTACTTTCTTAATTCTCCCAATGTCCAATAGGTAGTGTTCATGGTAAAATAATACAGATAACAGCAAGTGTTGTACAATAATCGTAACAACAACCACATAGAAATTTGTTTTTGTACGTAACACAAATGTCAGAGTTATGTGCCCAAAAATGTAAACAAAATAATTAATTTTACATAAACTATTTTAATTTCAAAAATATACATTTTTGAAATTTGTATTATTACATTAAAAATGCAGAAGAATAGTTCAGAAAATATTTAATTTTAATGCTTTCACATCATTTCCCTGAATGTATAGTTGTTAGCTCTTGGTCCTAATCTCTCAACACTGCAAGCAATCGCTAGAAAATCGTGGAAAAGGCAACATCCCTTTCAAGTTATTCTACATTTTGCAATTTTACGAACATGAAATATACGAATATATTATCTAACATGGGTTCTGTGGTTAAGGAACAGCGACCTTAATCGTAAAACGTTTCCGAACCAATGCCTTTGATGTTTTGTTAAGTACAACGGCGATTTTTTTCTATTATTAGGCAAAATATATGCTCACATTGCCCTGCAGTGAACTTTTATATCAAAAAGGGTATACCCATTGTATATCAAGAAGTGAAATTAAATCACAAAACGTCATATCGAGTTTGACAAAGTTTGGATTGAAAATATTGAATGAAAAATTATTTAAATTTGTAGAAATTGTTTAAAAACTCGAATTATAATAACCTCTGAATGACGTCGTATAAGAAAACATATAAAATCTACTTATATTTGAAAAAGCATTTAAAAATTTTTGACATTTTTTGATGCGTCTTCCTGTATTTTTCTACCATGCTAGATGCCATGGCAGAAGAATACAGATAGATGCATCAACGCTCAGGAGCATTGATATGTCAAAAAAATTTAAATGTTTTTTGAAATATAAGTAGATTTTTATATGTTTTCTTACACTACGTCATTCGGAGGCTATTATAATTCGCATTTTTCAACAATTTTTACAAATTTAAATAATTTTTCATTCAACATTTTCAATTCCAAAATTGGTTTGACAGTTCCTTATCCCAGCAGCGGTGTCAACGCGTCTACCTAAATTCTTTTACCATGCTAGATGCATTGCCTATTGATTTCTTCTGTGTAAGCCCAGTTAACCTCAACAGCTGATATCCAAAGATATCAATGAACTTGAGTACCAATTTCACACAGTAATAAGAAGAAGCGTTTGTTTAGTGTTTTTTTGCATAATCCCCTCTCACATTTGTTCGTTTATGTGTAGCCGCTGTATGTAAAAAGTTTTATTAATTTTCTGTTTTATAATGATAAAGTAAATAATATTTATAGTTACAGCATACAAATGAAATAAATTAGTTAAATAAAGACTTGTCGGTTTGCCAATATAATTTTTGTCCACATAGTACGTCACCATAAAGATCTTTCATAATCAAATTCTGTGATCGGATAAAACGTTCCAATAGCCGTTCCTACCCAGAAAATATAATTGCAATAAATTAAAGACATCTTTTTTAAATTTTTTTAAGCAAAATATATTTTTTATAAGAATTTGTTCGCATGCAAAAAATTTTTATAAAGTAAGTATACATTAAATCATTTGAAAAACCTTATTGACGTTATATAATATCCCTAGGAAATCGAGAAGAACTCTTCGAAAGTCGTCTTATCCAAAGTGATGCTGGGATGCTGTTGAGAAATGTGTCATGTTTTGGCGCCAAAAGCTACCAGGTGCAGCGTTGTCTTAATGTTCGAACTATAAGCACGGAATTAGCAGCAGCACTACGGCCGTTCTATTTTGCTGTGCATCCTGATTTATTTGGTCAACATCCGGAGCAACGAACTGTCAATGAGGAATCGCTGAAGCAACTAAGTGCCCATATGCAAATGATACATGAGCGCAAATATTCGGTGTTCCGTGAGGCAAAAGTATTGAAATTCTACATACGTGAAGATAATGGCGAGGATAGAAACAAGTTTAAGTTGATACAACTCACATTGGATAATAAGACCAGAGATCCTAAGACTATAATAACCAAACTATTGGAACTATGTAACCTGCCAACAGAATATGTAAAAAGTTTAAAATCTACCCCAGTTCCCGAAGGGAAAAATATGGCCAGGGATTTCGGAGACAAAGGATCTGGTTTTAGATCGAGCCAGGATTATAACTACGGTTCACAATTTGCGGGCTTTGAAAGTGCCTACTATAGGGTAAGAGTATATTCACTGCCATTTATTTAATCATAGCATAGATGGAATTATTAATTTTTCTGTCATGTCATATAGTCATATTTCTAAAGAAACATTTTGGTCATAATATATCGTGTGCTTGAGTCACATATAATGCCCAAATCTGTATGAAATACCAATTGACGATCAAGATAAAATTCAACACTAATATAGTTCATATAATCCATTAAAACATACCTTTAAACCCTTACAACTGTAAAATATATTGAGTTATGAAGCCTTCAAAACATTGTCCTTAGATGGCGTGTCATACTTAACACTTTAGTTTTGAAAGTCTCATCAGCCAGTCTCTTCTTAATTTTCATAAAGTACTTTTATTTTCACAAATAGGCTAAGGAGGAATCCAAGAAATCGGTCGACGAATGGATTGCTGAGAACTCAAGTCTTGCAAAAAAACGAGCCAAAGACTTACAACCCCTTAAACGTGATGTTGAAGTTTTGCAAAAGACTGTAATCGAAAATTTAGGTCTTAAAGATGCTCGCTACGATTGTGGCTGGAATTTTGAACACTATCGGGGATGCTTGAAGACATTAGAACGTTTGGCATCGCTGCACAAAGACCATGTAAAACATTTGCGTGGACGTGTTGTAGTATTTGCTCCCTTTACTGGTATTAGCTTAGAGGGCCATGTCATGCTGTTTACTGGCGATGTTCTTAACAATTGGATTGAGTTCATACGCAACATTCCCAAGCATGATGCTTTCCTCAAGAAAATACCGCTATATGAAAATACTCTTTCCCAGGTATTAAGAAAGATTCGGATTGGCCGACGTAAATTTATGCCAAAACAACAAGCTGTTGAATATGCCAACCACCTGAATAAAGTTACCACTACATTGGGCGATTATTTAACGCTTAATAAATTCCCGAAATCATGGCCGGACACGTTGTCTGAATACGAGATTGTCATTGAGTCTGAGGCGGGACCTTTAATGGTCAGTCCCACTGGGCAATTGATAACACCTGCAACATGCCCTGGCTTTATGCTAGTTGATTTTATAACCACTAACTTGCCCATAGCGAAAGAACGCATGGCAAAATATCAAGAGGAGAAACATGTGGAACGTGAACTGACAAAAAGGTGCATTGAAGAAATGAGACTAAAATCTCTGACCAAAGACGATTCGGTTACGCCGGAAAAAATGATTAATACACTGAATGAGCTGCTAAAATGCAACAAAATGCAATTTGCTGACATCGATCTGCACATAACAAATTATTATTCGGTTTTAACAGATGGTATTGTCTGTATTCCATGGGATTTCAATACTAGACGGTAGTATTTAATCGAAAAGACAACAGATAATCTTATATTTGGCTATAAATGGTTTTGTTAATATCATCGCAGACTGTGCAATAAAAATTGTTTTTCTGTTTTTAATTTGTTATACGTGCCTTCCATATGTTCAAAGTAAATATAAAGTAATTTTATATAAATGATTATGTTATGTAGTAAAAATAATTTGTTTTCTATAACAGAAAATTTTATATATATAAAAAATATTTTTATTTTTATTGAATTCTCAAAAATGAGAAAGATATTTTAAAAGAAAGTATATACATTCAATGAGTCTTACTCTTATATCACATCAACTTTCTGTTAGATCATCACTTTAATTTTACAATTTATTGAGGTTGCCACAAGGAGCACAAGTCCTAATGAGCTGTTATAGCTTTTCAGAAATGAAAAAAGTCTTCAAATTCAAAAACATCCATTAGAAACGAATACATTTTAATGCGAACGATTCAAGTTAAAGTATTTTTCTTTTACAAAAACAGACTTTAAAGATTAGTGAAAATTGAGCATAAATCAGAAGTTAAATTAGAAAATAAATATAATTAAATTAACTTAAATATATGTTAATCAATTTAGGAAAAACAGGTAAGGAGAATGGAAATGAAAAAACACGTTTTGGCAAATTCTTTTGTGTTTTTCGGAACAACTCCAGTTTATTAAGAACTCTCGGATTCCGTTCAAATGTTTTCCAGAGGTAGGTATTTTTTACTATTTCATTTCATTTCATTTCATTTATTTATTTATATGTTGCAATGAAAAAGCTATTAAGCCTGTCCATATGGAAATCATACTATAACGCTTGAATTCCAACTAGAATAGTTTTTTTTCTGAAAAATTCTCACCAAAATGCTTTTGTACGCTAGTAAACAATATAATGAGCTGTCACTGGAATAATTTTAACAGTGGCTTAGAAATTACAGCAGTCTGAAGTTGGTTGCAGTTTTTTCATCTTAACCTGTAGGTATCATTTGAAAGTTTATGAAAATAACTACCCAACAAGTTACATGATAGTGTTATTTAAAACGGTTGTATTAATATTAAAGAATTTCGGACCCGGAATTTAAAAAAAATCAGATTTGTGGACTTATATTGACCATTATAAACTCAAAATACCGAATTTGAAAATATTACGTTAGAAATTTTTTTCGTGAAAATTCCGAATATTGGAAGGTAAAATTATATCCGGATATACGAAAACCTGGACAATGTTCTGCCACAGAATATAGACTCCATTTTGAGCCAATTATTAAGCTATGTCGCTAGAAATTGAGCCTAAACTCATCGATGTACCAAATATGGGAAGATACAATTATATGGGGGCTATAGGAAAACATGGATCTATACAGGCAATGTTCTGCCACAGGAGTTAGAAAAACATTGACCTATACAGGCAATGTTCTGCAATAGGAGTTAGAACATAGTATAAGTCTAAATGCTGAATTTCAAACTTTTTGATTAGAGAGTGCGACTAAAATCGTCAAAATACGGAATATCGGGAGGTACAATTATATAGGGGACATTCGAAAAAATGTATCTTTATAGACAAAGTTCTGCACGGGAGGTAGAACTTATTACACACTCCATTTAAATCATTTCGTTAGAGAGTGTCGCTGAAATCGTTAAAATTCCTGAACATCGGGAGGAACTTTTTTAAATTGGAGTTATAGGAAAAAGTGGACCTATGTATATTGTGTCACATTAGGTAGAACCCATTGCAAACTCTAATTACCAAATTTTAAACTATTCCGTTAGAGAGTGTGTCTGAAGCCATAAAAACATCGAATATCGGAAGGTACCTTTATATGGGGGCTATACGAAAAGGATGGACCGATATGGTTAATCTTGGAACTCGAACTTACTGTAGACAAAAGACAACTCAGTGCAAAATTTTGGCTTCTTATCATATGCCGTTTGGGCTCTAGGTTGATTACAACAAACGCCCGGAGGGACATGGTTAAATCAGCAATATATATTCTCTGTTGGTCTCCAAAATGATTATTTCGATGAGTTACAAATGGAATGACAAACTTAACCTCCATACTACCTATGTATGTAAACATTTTGATTTTTAGATTTTTATAAGTTTTTTTCAACAATTTAGACAAATTTTAAAAATTTTTTTTTTTCAAAATGTTCAAAGTTGGTTTGACAGTTCATTGTCCCTTCACCTGTGTCGATGCATCTACCTTTATTCCTCATGGTAGAAGAATACAGGTAGTCGCATCGACACAGCTGCTGGGACAATGAACTGTCAAACCGATTTTGATATTGAAAATCGTGAATGAAAAATTATTGAAATTTGTAAAAATTGTTGAAAAATACATATCATTACAACCTCCGATTTGCGTCGTATAAGAAAACATTTAAAAATCGACTTATTTTTGACATAGCACTTAAAAAAATTTTGACATATCAATGTTCCTATATTCTTCTACCATGTGTATTCCTCTACCATGACTGATCCTTTCACACATAAAGTACGAAACCAATTGAGCTAAAAGTACGTTTACACACAAAATCTCTACCCGTGTTAACCCTGATAATTGACCAATTACCATAGATTAAGGTATGTTTTGTATAGTCGGATTAATGTGATTGGTCAATTATTAGGGCTTATCCGGGTGTAGATTTTGTATGTAAATGTACTTATTGTTTTAGCTACTTCTTGACATTAATCTTTATGCTGGTCTTATTTGCAAGAAAACTAAGATATAAAATTTGATGTTCGCTCGAGTTGAATATTGGAAAAAAAATCTAATTTTGTTATTTTCATTATACATATGATATTTATTATATTTTCTTTTCTAATATGTAAATGTATTATAAACATAAATAATAATAAACATTTATTATAAAAGACTATGGGGTTTCGTTTATAGAAATTGTATATGTTTGTGTAAAATTATTTATGCAAGTAAGCCGATAGATGTTTTTAAGAAACAACAACATTAAACAGGGTGTACAAGATGTTATATATTTAGAAAAAGAAGACAAAAACTGAATCTCTTCCACAATGCATATATATTGATTCTGATAAAAAAAGAACTTTTTTAAACTTAATAATTATTCATATAAATACATAAGTATATTGTATTAAGAAAAAATGTGTGTGTGTGTTGATCTACACAAAACATTATAATATTTTTTTATTATTATTATTAATATTTTTAACAAGTACACTATAGAGTGAATATAAAACTGCTATAAAATTTCGTTACAATTCCCTCGTTTTAGATTTTGTTTTTACAATTTAATGGAAATTTCAAATATTTTCCATATATTTAAAAAGCAAGCGTGAAGAACAATATTTATCATTTTTTACATTAACAAGTTGTAATAATCTGTTGAAACAGAGGGTAGCAAATAGATAGAAAACAATTGGAATAAATAAAATAAAATTTGTTGTGTAAAATTTCCGTTAGCATTTCCAATTATCATTTAAAAAAAACGTGTAGCTTATAAAATATATATTAAAAAAATGTTTTCGTACATTCTGTATTTTCTATATATAAAAAAAAAACTTTATAAATAAGTAATAAAACAAAACATTATGTGTACTGAATGCCTTTAAATTTTGCACAGCATTCGGTTGGTGGTTTGTTGGCATTTTTTTTTGCTGCAATAAACAAACACCAACCATGCTGTGGACTATTTCTAAATCGTCCATCTTCTACGGCCATCGTAGAGAGCTGGGGTCTGTACATTGCTAGTTGATCGATACCTATTGTGGCAATTGACTTGATCGGCGTTTGTCTTTCTCCTTCTCTTTGTCGCCACCTTTTCGTCCGAATATTCTGAAAACGCCACTGCGACGATCTTCTTTGCTTTTGCTACCTTTGACGCCGGAAACGGAGGATATGGATTGAGCTTCGCTCTCACTGGAACTTTCGGCGGAGACGCGTGACAAATTTATTGAATCGGGTTGCAGTGATACTGGTCTATTGGATTCGAACCGGCTTGTTCCCCAACCTAGATGGAATGCAAGAAAATAAATAGATTAACAAAATTGAAAAAAAGTTAAATTTACACAAATATTTGAAATGAAATGAAAATATACATAGAAATTTGAGAACGTATAATAAGTTTTGAAAAATGTTCAAAATTTTGATAAAGTTTTGAAATGTTAAAGCAATTGAATAAGTCGAAATTAAAACAAATCTTTCTTTGTCAAATTAAGACACAAAAACCACGGTTCATATTTAATTGTTTTACAGGGTGAGATGAAAAAATTGCATTCAACTTCAGACCGCTATCATTTGTAAGCCACTCGTCTGACAGCTGTTAAAATTATTCCATTGACAGCTCATTATTATGTTTACAAGCGTACAAAAGCAAAAGTTATTCGTGATGGAATTCAAGCGTGATAGTGTTATTTCTTTATATCTGGCTGGAAAACCACAAGTGCAACATTCGGGAAGCGTGTGACGGTTTCATTGCCTGTTTGAAGGCCATAATTTGTGCCAAAGGTGAGCAATTCGAACAAATCTAAACTTATTTTAAAATGTGATGCTATTTCCGACATTTTTTGCCTTCATTCAATAAAATTTAACAAAAAATGTAAAAATTATGTCGTTTGTCTTTGTTGCAGTTTTAATATCTCACCCTGTATTTTTTCTTAACAGATCTTATTTTTCTTTAATGATTGATTTTTGCTCCAAAACTTTGAACATTCATGAATATACTGAATCAAAACAATTGTTTATACTTTGTAGACTTGTACGTATGTTCGATCGACTCAGTTTTGTTTTTTGATAGTAGGTTGCTGTGGAAATTAACAGAGTTTGCATGCAATAAAATAAGAAAGAAATAAAGAAAGACAAAGAGAAACCAATAAAAATTAGATAATAAAAGAGTAAATGTTGATGCAAGTATTATAATAATTATTAATATGCAGTGAAAATATTTAAATTACTACTTTGTTAAATGGTATTAAACGAACGCCCATGGCGAAAAACTATGAAGAAATATTCTCTCTTTAAAGCTAAGGTCTATAAGTTTGAAAAAAAATACGCCTTAGATATGCTACTACAGCCCCATAGGTTTTTAAATATTTTCAACTGACAATTGATATCTGTAAATCGATTTAGTGCAGATTCCAAGAAGTTCCTGAACTATTAGTCAAACTGACGTAGGCTAAGGGTCAGTTTTCACATCATTATACAATCAGTCATATGGTTAGAGAGGGTATATTTCATTCCATACGGCCAAAGCGTGCCTCATCGAAATAACGGTTTTAGACCATAGGTCTCTTTGGACCAAATCTGTTTCAGGACATTTGGAGTGGATCTAGCGATGTCCGTCTGTCTATCTGGCTGGTGCGCACGATAACTCTCGAAGGGAGTATCCGATTTGATCCAAACTTGGTACATCGCATGGTAGAAGAATATAGGTAGACGCATTGACACACAATTTTGGAATTTGAAATGTTGAATGAAAAATTATTGAAATTTGTTAAAATTGTTGAAAACGCGAATTATAATAACCTCTGAATAACGTCGTATAAGAAAACATATAAAATCTACTTATATTTGATAGAACATTTAAAATGTTTTGACATATCAATGTTCCCAAGCGTTGATGCATCTACCTGTATTCTTCTACCATGGTACATCGTAATATTATTATCAAATTTAGATTGAGTTCGGAGATGGACAATATCGGTCTACTCCTTCTGTGCCACCCCCGCAAAAGGTCAACATTTTCAATAAAAATAATTTACTGCACAGAAAGAGAAAGGATAAAGCGAATTTGCTCCAGCTTTGCAAATCCTAATATTTGCATCAGTGCTAGGTTTGGTGCGAAAATGAACAATATAGGTCCACTCCATCAAGGAATCGCATCGCAATATTTTTTATTATTTTTATTATTGATATTTTTTATTAAACCAAGGTCTGGTGTGAATATGGAATATATCTGCCCACTCTGTCTAGGACCCCCCTCACAAAGGGTAAAAATTTTGAATACTCATGAACCTAATAAAAAGTGAAATTAACATCCGATTCTATTCAGACTTGGCATATCTCAATATTTCTATTAACACAAGATCTGTTATAAGGATGGTAGAGATCGGATCATCTCTTCTGGTACCTCCTCCACAAAGGGTCAATGTTTTGAATATTCATGAAGCTCACAAAACCCGAAAAAAAACTTCCGATTCCATGCAGACTTGATACATCTCATTTCTTCTGGTACATTACCCACATAGGGTTCATGATTTTTGAAAAGCAAAACGCTCAAAGAAAGCGAGATAGGCATCCAACTCTCTGCAAATTTCACACTTACAAACATTTCTGCTAACACAATATCTGTTGTGAGGTGATATATACCTGTCAACCCCTTCTTGTACCTCACCCACAAAGGGTCACAATTTCTAATATTTGTCATAACTTGCGAAACAAGTTGGCGATTCTTTACAACTTCCTATATTGAAATATATTTCTTAATCAGAAATTTGATATAAATATGTAACTTATTGGAATTTATGATTTCGTATAAAAAAAGGATATAAATGTTCGATTTCTTTCAAATTATTCACATACCAATATGATTATCTGTATTTTATGGAGTATGAAAATGGAATACTTCGGTCCGCTATAACTGTTACCTTCCGCATATTTCCATATTTTCCCAAAATTTGCACATATCTTATATAAAGTATAGGAAGTAGTCGATATAGACCAACTCTGGCAGGTTGTAATATTTATATCAGTCTTAGGTCAGGTACGAATTGGCCAATATTGGCCAACTGCTTCGTAACCTCCCCCATAAAGGGTCAATATTTTGAATAACCATAAATCAAGGCTGGGGGTATACATCTGTCGGCAAACCCGACCGATACTATTTTACTTGTTACTTTTCAAAACAATAAATTCGAATACAGAAGTCGGCTACACTAAAAAAAGATTGTAATCATCTTAAAGCTCTGCAATGCTTCAATAAGTGTACCTTTCCATATTTAGACGTTTTTACCGAAATTTTCCTTTTTAAATTAATTTCTATCTTAAAATCGAATGCGAGAATTTGGCCTCTGGTCTTACCGGATAAGCTAATAGATGGGCTATGACAAAATATATAGAACAGAGTATCTTTAATGCGTTTGTGCTACTTAAAAAAGATGCAGTAAATAAAGAATTTCATTCCCTTTTTATTTTTCTGGAGTATTTACATTTCGAATCCTGTTCCAAGCTTGAGTATTTGATGAAATTTGAATAGTTGTTATTTAAATGATTAAATCTAATGTTAGTAGTTCTACCATCTCGGTTAGATTCAATCAATAAATTTGTCCGATTAACTATGTATACCCAACAAAACATACATAATATACATGCACATATATATAATTAATAAATAAGTTAGACAAACAAAAAAATGTAAAATAATAATGAATAATGAAAAACCAAATACCATCACTGTTATTATTGATGACACTCATGTAACTTGGATTATTTATGGAGTTATTTTCGGTGATATTTGTGTTAGGTGTTGTGGAGAAATGCCACACCGTACGACTTTGTTGTGAGGAGGAGGATGATGATGTTGTTGATGATGATAATAAGGATGTTGATGTTGTAGTCGTTATCATTGACGACGATGAGGTTTTATTTGAGCTGGTGGTGGTGCTAACGGTTGAGACTTGATGATGTTGCTGTGATAGTTGTTTGTATAATGACGAGGTTGATGCATTTGTTGTTTTGTTACTACTATTGTTATTACTGTTACTGTTATTGTTGTTATTATTAAGACGCTGTTGGTGTTTACCATTGTTATTGTTGGTCGTACTGGCACTGCTACCGGTACGCAGAATCACATTGTTAGAATTGGGACTACCACCGCTTCCAACACTGGAATTGGAACCTGTGGAAATTGTTGTGTGTACGATACGTTTTGTGGAGGACAATGTTGGAGGAGGATTGCCACCATATTGCTGCATTTGCTGTAGACCCGCCGTGCTTTCCATTTCTATAAACTTCGATACAAGATCGGAACGTCCCGATGTATTTGCACCCAGGCTGCTGCGTGGAGCTGGCATTACTTTATATTGTTGTTGGCTGCGTATGTAACCTCCTCCAGCGACTTGCTGTTCAGGCAATTGTCCAGATGCTGCGGCGGCATTGAATGCATTAATGCGTTGCTGTACTTGAGCTTGATGCTGGTGGATTTGCTGTTGCTGACCAGCAGCAGCAGCCGGTGGCATTGTTGTTGGCAAAGGTGGAGGATTTTCTATATATTCAACATTGTAGTAATGTGTGTGTGTGTGTATGATGTGATTTTGTTTGATATTGTTGTTGTTGTCGGGGGGAAAATGAAATACAATGATACAATGGTTAACATGGCGGGACAAAACACAATTTATATGATACGAAAATAATGTGACAAGGGACAAGTTGTAAACAATTCTACAAAGAATAAGGCATACCCGATTGTCTAGCCTCGCTGTGACGTTTAATAACGACAACGTTGTCGTCATTGGAACCATTTTGCAAACGTGACATACTGCTGCTAATTGTTATCTCTGAACTGGCAAATTCTATAATTTTAATAAAGGATTACAACGCGTCAGTTCATAAAGTTATCTAAGCAAATGTACAATCATTTACCTGATGTTCCTGTGGAGGGATTTCTTAAGACAACCAAATTGTCTGTACTCTGGCGATTGGGTACTGGTGGTGGGGCTCCGCGTGGTGGTATGGGCGGTTTATGTTCAAATCCAATTGAGGATGTTGGAGAAGACGGTGATGGAGGTTGCTAAAATGTAAAAGAAATTTTAAGAAACATTTCAAACTTCTTTTTGATCCTTCGCTTACCTGTTGCTGTTGCATTTGTTTTTGTAAAAAGTTCATTTGCGGTGTCACCGAAGAAGAGTTCACCGACATATTACTGCTGGTCATTGAATTGGTACGAGAAGCGGTTCGCCTTTGTGAATCCGGTGATGAGGTGCGTGAACTTACCGGCGATTCCATTGTTTGGGCACTGGCCACTTTAATGTCGGGAAAACTGTTGGATTGTTGCTAAAATGAATTGAAACCCCCAAAATTGTACCGATTAACAGAATTTGTAACAACTTTAAAAACCTACCTTCATAGAATCATCATAGCTTAACAATTGTAGATTTGGTGGCAGACTAGCGTGGAAGGAAATCTTACGAACCCAGTCGTTCATTATTTCCAATGAGGGCGCCTCAAACAGGAATTCCGAACCGTCGGGCAACTTTAGACGGAACACATACTTCTTCTTCGTATAGTCTTCGGCTCGTTCACATTTCGCTCCCAAAATGTTGACAGGTGCTGTTGCGGTTTTCTGTTGCAAGAAATCATTTTCGTCTTTGAAGAAGCACACCAATTGGCCGCACAGCACTGTATGGAATTGTTTCCATGAGCGTACGGGAGCCTTTTTGCCGCCCGACTGCAAGCCATGCTTACGTTCGAGCATTCCTTGAATTTCGACGGGAGGCAAATCGAAGCCCTCGCCCTTTTGGTTCTTGCGGAAGGATTGGGCACGACGTCTGGTGGTGAACGAGGGGGTACGTTTGGGTTGTTTCGGCTGTACCTTCATTGATTCGGCTCTCTTGACATTTTGATCAGAGCCGCGACGCAAGCGATCTCCGAAAATCGTGGATGAAGAGCTCTTTTGCAGGCCATATTGATCCTCTTCGTAGGTGGGTCTCAACGACACTTGGCTGGTTTGTGGCGAGTTAGTGGCCGAAGATGGCGTTGTTGTAACCATGGGCGTAGAGAAAATGGGCAATTTCTCTTGGTTGTTGGCATTGTTTCTGTTCTCCATTTGTTTCTCCGCCCGCCTTCTTTCTTCGTTGAGCCTTTGCAACTCCTTTTGCTTAAGCATTTCCAAACGTTCTTTTTCCTGGCGTTCCTTCTCCTTAAGTTTGGCAAGTTTCTCACTTTCAACTTGTTTGCGGAAACGTTGTTCCAGTAGGGTAATGCGTTTTATGGCTTGGAATTTGTCTTCCTGGGCCTCTACCGTTTTTTCAAAATCAGAATGGCGTCTCAGCAAATCTTCCACTTGCGGTATAGATTCACCCAACTTGGTGTCCTTGAGCAATGGTTCACGGCTGACAATCCAATTCTCCAAGATATCGGCATCCTTTAAGAACAACTGTGTGTCCAAGTTCAGTTCGTAGATTTCCTTACGTTGTTGCAGCGTGTTCTCCAACAGCTCGTGTCTTTGTTGCAGCACTTGAATCTTCTCTTCAATTTCATGGGCCAGGAAATGTTTTTCCTTAATCAATTTTTCACCCTTATTCTTGAAATGAGCGAATGCTTCATCTCTGGCCCGTATTTCGGCATGATGTTCCTTAATGCTGGCCAACAGGGATTCAGCACCGGCAACGGTATTGGCCAAATCGGGAGCAGTGATCTTGGCCAGCATTTCATTGATCCAGGCAATCAAATCGCGATACTCATCGAAGTATGACTGCAATTGTTCGGCTTGATGGAGCTTTTCTTTGCGAACATTGGATTTTTCGGTCACGTCGGCCCAAGCTTCAATGGTTTCGTCGCGTTTAACCTCAATGTGTTCCTTGGCATCAGGATACACTTCGGCCAAGTTATTGGCTTCATTCATTACCGAGTTCACTTGATCGCGTATGGCTTCCAGCTCGGTTTCAAATACCAAATGTTTGCGATTAAGGGCTTGAATGCTTTCCAAATCTTGGCCGTAATCTTCGGAAATTAAGTTGGCTTCCTTTTCGTTAATCAAGGCAATGGTTTCATCGGCAAAGCGGTCGTAGACATGAACTTGTTTGGCACCATCCAAAGCATCCTTGCGAGCGGCCACTAGATCTTTGAGTTCCTCCCACAGTTGTTTGGTTTCGTCGCGTTTGGTCTTGATCGACGTACGATAGGGATTATTCTCCTTGATTAGCTCTTCGCCCTTCTGGAGATGGGCTTGAACACGGGACTCATTGGCTGTGAGGTTGGAAACAAATGTTTCAAAGACCAAAATCAATTGCTCGACATGTTCCACATCCTCGCCATAATCTTCAGACGCCGTCACAACCATTTGATCATTGATCCATTCGTGCAGATCTTCGGTTTCACGCAGATATTCGAATAGTAGTTTACTTTCGTGTAAACGTACCTCACGGTCCTTGGCTAGACGCAACAGTTCCTCGTACTGCTGGTTGACGGTCTCCTGTTTGGCCTTTATGTTGGCACTGTCGAAGTGATGACGTTCAATCAAATTGGAGGCCAATTTATTGACCTTCTCAATGGAAGGTTTGAATGACTGCAATTCACGCTGGAGCACTTCCAATTTCTTCTGGTGCGTTTGAACCGACAACTCGTCCTTACCATAATCACTGGACACCACAATGGGACGTTTTTCACGAATCCATGATTCGGCTTCATTGGCTTCAACGTAGAACATTTGTGATTCCACTGCATCCAAAAGACGTAAACGTCGGATGCTGGACAATTCTCGCAACTTACCCAATTTACCCTTGATACAGTCGCATTTGTATTGAATCTGTTCCAGGGCAAAGTGGTTGTCACGAATCATTTGTTCTCCCCGCTGAAGTAATGACTGAATCAACGGCTCCTGCGACAACAGCTCAGCTTCCAGGGCTTGATGTTTCTTTTGCAACGTTTGTACAGTTGTCAGAGAAGTTCCCAAATCTTCCGAGGCAGCAATGGCCTCTTTTTCGCTAAGCCATTGCAATTCGTCTTCGGCATCACGTAAGAATTGTTGCAAGCTTAGAGAATCTTCCAGATTTTCCCGGCGGATACCCAAGGGTTCATGCAATGTATGGTAACGCTTGATGGCGGCCATGGCTCTCTCATGGATGTCGTCCTTAAGGAAATGATCGGCTTGGAAGAATTGCTCATCCTGTTGCTTAATTTGATCGGCCAATTCGGCATGGTGGGCCACGTCGGCTTCTAGACGTTCATGTTTTTTAATCAAATTTGTTACGGCAGCCAAATCTTTGCCATAATCTTCATTGGAGACATGCAATTCGACTTCGTCCATCCAGTTATTGAACTCTTCTAGGTTGCGATTGAAGGTAAGGGCTTCATAGGCCTGGTTCAACTTGTGTTTCTTTTCCTTGGAAGCCGACTTCAGTTTCAACCAATCGGCCTCTAACATTTCCAATTGCTGGGCAATTTCATCCTTGGCAAAGTGATCGAACCTGATTAGGCGTTCACCTTCCTTGATGACATCCTGCACCCGAGATGCATTGTTCAGAAGTTCACTATCGAAAGCATTGTGTTTTTGCAATTTGCTCTGTAAGTTGCTGGGTTCGCGATAGTTTTCATCCATGGCCACTTGCATTTTCTGCACCAGCCAACGATCGATTTCATAGAGACTGCGCAGGAATTCTTGCAGTTGCAGTGACTGTTGGAGACGTTGTTTACGTTCCTGAGATAAACTATTGAGTTTATCCTTACGTCGAACCACATATGCCAACTTTTCCCTTATGACATCAGCATCACTTGGTTCTCCCTCCAGAATGGACTTGGCAAAGTTTTGCAGTTGACTGACATTATCTGAGTCCAAGAGTTTTTCGAATGCTTCGTGTTTTTTCAGAAGCCTCTCGACGGCTGTGTAGGAGTCACCCAAATCATCGTTGTTAAGGAAGGCTTCCTTGTTGCCCAACCATATTTCAACTTGTTCCACTTGGGCTTTGAACAACTGCAGTTGATGGGCCTCGGTGAGTTCACGAGCACGTTGATTCCAGGCATCGTGCAAAGTTTGATGTAACTCTTCCAGGACTTTTAGAGTTTTCTTTACTTTGTCGGACTTGTCTTTGCCTGACAGTTGTTCTCCTTGGCTCTTGAGGTCTTTGAATGCCTTGTCACGTCCATCGATTTCCACTTTACGTTCCTGATGCAACTCCAATTGAATTTCACAATCGCCAATGGTCATGGGTGTGGGTGAGGCGTTCATTTTCTTTACCATATCGTTTACCCAAAGCTCCAGCTCACGTACATCCGATACAAATTTATGGACCAAGTAGGCTTCGTTCAAGAGGTTGCGTCTCTTCACTGCCAGATCCTGCAGTTGCTTCCATGATCCTGACAATTCATCCAATTTACAGGCAATATCCATAGCTCTTTCGGGATATTTATTTTGCAGCGAACGAGCATTCTGTTCGTGTTCAGCAATTTTCTGTTTAACAGCTGACATATCACGTTCCAAGGCATCTTCGCGTCTAATCAAAGCTTCCACGGCAGCTAGATCACGACCCGTGTCCTCCGATGACATCGCCAAGGATTTCTCAGCAATGCGTTCAGCAGTGTCTTCGACGTCACGATTGAAGACATGAATCTCATTAGCTCCGCTCAACAAGGCGCGATAAGCATTGAGAGCTCCCTGCAACTGTCTCCATTTGCTGTTAAAGTCACGTCGACGTTTGTCAATGTTGGCAGATTCCGCCGGCACCTCTCCTTGATTGATGAGTTTATCGGCAAGGCTATTGATGTGTTTAACCCTTTGATCGTCAACACGCATATCCGAGTCAACATCGTCCAACTTGCGCATTAGGGCATTGCAATGTTCCAAATCTCTGCCGGTGTCACTGGCCTGGACCATCATCTCCTTGTCTCTAATCCATGCCTCAATCTTATCCAGTTGGTTATTGAACTCCAGAATGTCCTGGGCTTCCTCCAAGCCGCGGCCACGATTATCAAGTTCATCCAACAAACTCTTCCAGGCGGATAGCACCCGATCGATGGCTTGCTTTATTTCGGGCGAAGACTCGTGTTGTTTGGACAATAAGATAAGACCCTTCTCTTGGATTTCCTTAATTCTGCCTTGGTTGGCGGCAACCTCAGCCTGGAAGGCTTGATGTTTCTGCAACTTCTTAATCTTTTCATCGAGGTTAGACACTTCATTGTAGTTGCCTCCATCGGCTTCCAATTTCTTCTTCTTCTCATTGATCCAGGTTTCAGCCTCAGCACAGTCTCTGACGAATTGGGCATAGAGAAGTGCATCCTCCAGTTTGTACCTGCGCACTGCACACAGATCCTTAACCTTTTGCCGTCTGGCCAAGACACCTTGCAGGATTGTTTGGATGTTGGCACTGTCGTAATGTCTCTGCTCAATCAATTTGCGGCCATGCTCCTGCAATAGGGCCACTTTTTCTTCTTGAGTTTGAATGAGTCTTTCGAACTCATCGTGTTTCTTGATTTGATTCTGGACATCTTCGACGGTCTGGCCAAAGTCGGAACTTGACAATGCTGCCTGTTGAGAGCTGGACAGGTTATCGATTTGTTTGGCATCGCGTAGGAAGCAGAAGAGGTCAATCTTTTGCTCCAACATGATTTTCTTCTTGTTCCAGGCAGTGTGCAACTTGGCACGTTCATCCAACATGGCTGAACATTTCTCCTCCACCTCAGCTGCGGCATAGTGGCCGGTCTGAACCATGGAATCACTGAGTTCATTAAGTGAACGGAATTTATCTTCACGAGCTTCGATTTCACCATAAATGGCATCGTGTTGAATCTTCAAAGCTGTGGCGCCGGCAGCATCGCTAACATGTTCCTCGGCTTGCAATGAAGCTCGCAAATGTGAAGACCAGGACATAATGTCACGGACATCAGTGAGGAATGTCTGCAAGTCGTAACTGGCCGCCAAACGGTCACCACGTGCACCAGACCGCTCCTTCAAATCGTTCCAAGCAGCCACCACCTTATCTTGTTGTTGGGCAATAGCAGCAGCATTAGATGGATATTTGGCTTGGAGACGTACTGAGTCTTCGACCAAAACTTGCAATTGGGCCTCCAGGGCTACCAAATCGTTTTCAAATCCTTCATGTTTACGCATCAGTGCAAGGGCGGAGTTCAAATCTTTACCCAATTCCGTGGAGAGAGCTGCATTTTTGTCTTGGATGCGGAACAGGGCTTCGGCAACATCACGATGGAAACGATGAATTTCACCGGCGGCGTGCAATTTCTGTTCTCTCAAATTAAGCAACTTGAGAAGATTTTCCCAGGAGCCACGTAACTGCTCTTGTCTCTTTTCCACATCTGGGGCATAGGGGCTCTCGGTGTCAATAAGTTTCCTGGCCAAGACCTCACACTGGTCGACACGATCGGCACCAACCTCAACGCGATGCTTTAGATCATCGAACTTATTTTGCAATAATTGCAAATGTTCATAATCCTGACCATAGTCTTCCGAAGAGGCAACTTGTTCCTGTTCTCTAATCCATTGTTCCACTTCATCCGATTCCAAGAAGTATTCATGCATGTAGAGACTCTCCATCAAACGCAGTTGTCGTTGAGAGGCAAGCTTGTGAAGCGATTTCAGCATTTTTTCAATCAACTGTTGTTTGGCCGAGAGAATCTTGCTGTCTGGATGATTAGCGGCTACCATGGCGGCACAATTGTGACCCATTTCGGTGACAATACCAGTATAGGTATCCAATTCCAATTCAATTGTTTTATGTTTGGTCAGAAGTTTGGCGGCCGAATCACGATCTCTGCCATACTCGGTCGAACGCAAAACGTTTTGTTTCTCACCCAACCAGGCCTCGATCTCACCAGCATCGTACAAATATTGTTGGGCTTTGAGAGACATTTCCAATTTCTTGCTACGCTCATTGGTGTTGTATTCCAAATCATTCCATGCATCCTCGAGCTGGTTGCACAAGTCCTTCACCTTTTCTTGTTCGGGGTGTTTTTGGGCCACCAAGGCTTGGCCAGCCTGCAATGCCTTGTTGATCATGGGACGATGTCCCTTGATTTCAGCTTCCAATTTTTTGTGTTTCTTGGAAAGTGATTGGGCCTGGTGTAGATTTTGTCCCAATTCGTTGGACTTGGCAGCGGGCAAGTGATCATTGATCCATTGGAATTCGGTGTCCAATTCGAATACAAATTTGTGATAGTTAAGGCTCTCCTCCAATTCATCGCGTCTCTTTTGCATGGGATCACGCAAGAGTTTGAAGCGATGTTGTATGTCCTTGGATTCATCCTTGATGTTGGCGGCATTGAAATGTCCTTCCTGGGCCATTTCTTCACCCGATGAAACCAATTCACCAATCTTTTGTTCCCACATTGTAATTTCGGATTCCAGCAGCTGCTGTTTGTTGATCAAATCCTTACAGCTTCTGAGGTCATTGCCAACATCCTTGCTCTTGAGGGCGGCGTCCAGTTCACCGACTTTCTTTTTGGCATCTTCGATGGCGCGATTATGTTCACGCTGGGAGGCAGCTTGTTCAAGTTTACGTCCCTTGTCTTCGGACAGAATCAAAAGGTCTTTCCATTTCTTGTTCAGGTCGGCTACTCTGTTCTCAACTTCCGGTTTGCGATTGTTGGCAGCAATCAATTGTTCGCTATCCTTGTTGATGTTGCGCAATTGACCTTCGTTGGCACGCAATTCCCTTTCGAAAGCTTTGTGCTTTTGCAATTTCCTTGGCAAGTTGACTAGGTCGCGATAGTTTTCATCACCGGCAATTTTAGTTTTATCATTGAGCCAAGCATCAAGGTCGTCGGCTTCGGCGGCAAACTTATGGAAGTCTTTGGAGGCCTGTAGGGAGCGTTTACGTTCGAATGCCCGGTCTTTGACAGCTTTACGTTTTGCCAACACTTGATTGCGTCTATCATCAATGCTGAAAGAAGAAAGAGGGTGAGTTTAGATAATTAATCGACAAAGGTACCATGTGATATTCCACTCACTATTTGGAGTCATAATGATCGTTGGCAATCAATTTGTCGGCATTATCGGAAAAGGCCTTTAGGATTTTATCCTGGGCCATCAGACTCTTCTCAAAGTCCAAGTGGCGTTTCAAAATGGCTTCAACCTCATCCAGGGAATTCTGAAAATATACACAATAGTAAGTTTCAATAATAAGTTTAGAGGTTCTCTTTTCGTGAAACTTACACCCAAATTCTTGGGAGCCAGGAAGGCTTCGTGGCTCTTGGTGGTGGCATCGATTTTATCGGCTTCTCGGTTGAATATTTGCAATTCAACACCTTGTTGCAACCATTTCTGTTTCTCCAACCAACCGCGATGAATGGCATCCTGTTCGGCCTTCAAACGTTCACAGATCTTAACAATTTCCTCGGTGTTAGGTTTACCATCGGACAATTGTTTGCCCAGCTGGATAACTTCGGCAAATTCATTGTCGTGGGCCTTGATGTCATCACCCAAGTCGTTGTGCTGCTTCAGTAGCTTATTCGCAGTCTCCACATCTCGGGCAGGCTCATCGGAATTCAATTGATCTTTAACCGACTCGATCCAAGCCAAAAGCGTCTTGGCACTGTTGTTGAAAATTTGCGTACCTACAGCACTCTCAATGCGGGCCCTCAACTCACTGCTCTTGTTGTGGACTTGCAACCACATCTCTTGGACCTCTTGTTGGCGGGCTGTGACATTCTCACGTTCAGCAGGGTAGGCATTCTTCACCGAATTACCCAAATAATTGACGCGATTCACTTTGTCCTCAATGGGGGCCAACTCACGTTCCATGTTTTGGTGACGGCGCTGCAAGGCTTGCACAGTTTTCAAATCCGGACTGATGACGGCCGTATCCAACTGTATCATTTTCTCACTCATCCAGACCTTGGCTTCGTCACATGTACGATTGAACAGTTCGACACTGGAGGCTCCCTCCAAACTCTTTTCTTTTTGGGCCTTGGCATTGTTGAGTCTCTGCCAAATTTGATGGATTTGTCTTTGACGAGCAATGATTTTGTCCAGCTGGGAGTGACCTTGTCTACGGAAAGTGTCTACGGCTGAATCGATTTCCTCAATGCGCTTGGTGGCTGCAGATAAATCAGTTAGGAATTTTTCGAATTTGCGCTTGGCATTTTCAACTCCCTCGCCACCCTCGTCACTCTTAACAATGCGCTCCTTTTCCTTCATCCATTTCTCGAAATCGTCACACTCACGATAGAAACCGAACAGATGAATAGAATCCTCCAGGAGGGCATGACGTTTCTGGGCCATATCCTGTAGCTCATCGTAGGTGGCATTGATCCTTTTCTGGCGCTTTTCTACACTGTCCGAGTTTTCGTTAATACTGTTCATTGAGGTGCGGCGTTTGATCAATGGCTTGGGCGCCACTGTCATGGGTTTGACGCGTTTTACCGGCACCACTTGCCTTACCAGAATAGTTTTCTTGACCTTTTGCAGGGCCTTCACCTTTTCTGCTTTGGGTACAATGCAGGTTACGGGACGTGGTTCAATTTCCCTCACATAGTTGGCGGGTACAAAGCCTTCGTGGCCATTTTCTTTGCGCACACACCACCAATCATCGTTGGTCTTGGATTTGAGCAACATTATCTCACCCTTTTCCATTTTCATGCCTTGACCATCGAAGGGAAACATGGCACGGACATGGGGTAGCATTTTAGTTTCGGTTACCTTGCGGTGTTCCAATTTCTCAACCCATTCATCTTCCCACACCTCTTTGGGCACCAGACGTGTCTCATTCACCCATTCTTCTTGTTGTTGTTCTATTTCGGGCATTTCTGGTTCATTGGCCGAAAGCTCCAGGGTGCAAATGCCGGCCTTGATAAGTTTATCTGCTTGTTGGTTAAGATTCAGTATATCGCCGGAATAGGCATTCAATTCACCTTGCAAATCACGATGTCTCTGCAGAAGGGCCTGGGCGGAGGGCTCGTCATTGCCATAATCCTTGGAATTGACCAATGCCATTTTTTCATTGAGCCACGATTCGGCTTCATTGGCATCGGTGTAGAATTGATAGGCTTCGGCGGCATCTTCCAATTGTTTGCGACGTGTCTCTACCAACTCCTCCAAAGCCTTCCAGTGTTCTTCAAGGCTGTCTATGCGTGATTTGACCTCGGTCGAACGTGGATGCTTGTCGGCCATCAAACGTTTGCCGGCATCGGACATTTGTTGTGACTTGGGTTTGCGCACTTTAATTTCATCCTCCAAAGCTTTGTGTTTTTGCTGCAGCGACAGAACAGCTCTCAAATCCTTGGCAGTAATGCCGGTCTTGCAAATACGCTGCTTGTCCACCAGCCATCCTTCTTCGTTGTCATAGTCCTCCATGAAATGATGGAAATTACGAGCCTCCTCCAGACAGGCGCGACGTTTGGCACATAGTTCCAGCAGAACCTTATAGGCGGTTTCCAGCTCTGCCAATTTCTGGGCCAAAACGGCGGCATCTTTGTGTTCGGACGATTTGAAGGGCTGTGCCTGGCGCGTAAACCGCTTAATGGTTTCACCATAGGTATTCACCTGTAACTCCTGCAGGGAATGGGCTTGTAATAGCTCCTCAACGCCCAACAAATGGGGACCCACATCTTCGGATCTGAATTGAACCTGCAACTCCTTAATAGACTCGGTGGTACTGGCCACTTCACGCAACAAATTCATGAGCGTGCTCATTTGTGACAGATTCAAACGTTGATTCTCCAACAGTTCGAGCAATTTACGCCATTTCTCCATAACCTCAAATTCACGGCGTTTCACCCGCTCTTTGCCATGGTAATTTTCTCGTTCCAATTCATTGGCCATGGCGGTCAAATCGTTGAAACGCTCAACGCGTGCCAGAATATCAGCCGAAATGGCTTCGTGTTTTTTCAGCGTGGCATCCACCTGCCGCAAATAGCGTGGATCCGACAACACCTGAATCATTTCCTTCAGATAGCCTTCACGCAGCACAGATTTCTTTTCAAATTTATAATTCAACTGTTCCAGTTTCTCTTGACGCAACAGCTCTTCTCTCAGTGCAACTTCACGATGATGCTCAGCATATTCGAGCAGCTGCCAAGCTTTTTCAATGTCGTTGACCAGTTGGCCATCTTGGGGATTGTATGGAGGTTGATTCAGCGCTTTCAACAGAGTGTTGATTGTGAAATATAAAGCTTCGATTTCACTGCGTTCCTTGTATCTGAAAATTAGAGAAAAAAGCACAAATGTTAAATAAAAATCATATTAATCGGTTCTAATGTTTGCAACCACTAGCAAATACTTAGTTTGTATATTCCGTATGAAATATGATAATCGATTTTTAAAAAAATCTACCGCTTGGAAAAAAATCTACTCTAATAGATGACGTTCGTTATAATATACGTATAGTGATATACCTAGGATATATTTGTACGTTTCCAAAAAATTAGTTTATATTGCATATTCCTATCGGTAAAGACCGCTATACAAATCACAGATCCGAAACCCATGCTGCTGAATTCTAGACTTGGTCTTGAAGATAAATTGTCCAGCTGAAGGTCATCGCATAAATGTTTATACCCTCAGTATTAAGCCCGATAAAATATCATGTTAAAGACATATGTAAGAGGCTTATTTCCAATTTATATTTAGCATACATTTAGGCGCTACACATAATTTTAAACTAAACAGAAAGGTTCTAGTGTATTTTGTAAATAATATACTTATATTATAAGTATAAATATAAATATAGCATATAAAAATATATAATCCGCAGATCTCTATCAAACTATATATAGTCAAAACTATGTAAAGGCCTTAACAAAGTCTGGCCTAAGAACCCAAAACTCCTTTGGGAGGTTTGATCTACTAACGAATAATATCTAGTTCTCTTGAAATTTTCCACAATCCAAACTGCCTATTATAAGAAAAATTGCCACAAATTGCGAAAAGGTGTCAAAATTTTCAGAAATAAACATGGTTTTTTATTGACAAAAATTTAAGATATTTTTCCATGGTACAGATTGAATATAAACATTTCTTTTGTTCAGAGTCTCGCAATGAAATTTGATGTAGAATAATTCTTTCTTTCCCCAAAAAATGAAGTATTTAGAGATATTTTGACTTAGTTTGGAAACGTGTTAAATTAATAATAAAAATGTAACACATAATTTTCACTTTTAATTATAAGATTTCAAATGAAATTTTCTTGAAAAATGTTAAACCTAGATATATGGTTTATTCTGGGTTTTGTAATAACATTTTGTGTAGAATATTTCTTTTTTTGACACCTTCTGCCCAAACCGGTACTTTATGATACTTTCAGACGTCAACTCGAAAAAAGTTCGATTTAATCTTTGAATACCCTCCACCATTTGGAACGATTTTCAAAAATAAAATCCGTTAAAAATTCTGTTAAAATCTTAAAAATACCGAATGTAGTCGTTATATTAGGGTCTATACGACCACGTGGACCTGCATAGGCAACTTTTGTCATAAACCATTACAATATTCAAATGCGAAACTTGAATCAAAAAATTGGTGAATAATGTAGTTAAAATCTTTAAAATTCCGAATATAGGGAGGTACTGTTATATTGGGCCTAAAATCATCAAATTCCGAATATCAGTAGGTTCTGTTATATGGGGATATACGAAGACGTGGACCTGCACAGAGAATTTTCTGTATTAGATTGTTCCCATTACGAACTTTAAACACCAAATTTGAAGCTATTCCGGTGAATAATGTCGTTAAAATCATCAAAATACCGAATATCGGGATGTACCGTTATATGGGGGATATACGAAGACGTGGACCTGCACAGACAATTTTCTGTCTTAGCCTGTAGCATTCATTACGAACTTCAAACACCAAATTTTAAACAATTCCGGTGAAAATGACGCTAATATCATCAAAATACCGAATATCGGGAGATACCGTTATATGGGGGCTATACGAAGACGTGGACCTGCACAGACAATTTTCTGTCATAGGCTGTTGTACCCATAACGAACTTCAAATACCAAAATACCGAAAAAAGGGAGGTACCATTATATGGGCGCTATAAAAAAACGTGGACCCATCACCCATTTTCAATACCAAAAGTCCTGCAGACATAATACACATTTGAGTAAAATTTTATCAACCTACTTCAGTTCGTTCGTAAGCTAGAGTGATTTCTACAGACGGACATCCATCGCTAAATCGACATAGAATTTTATGCTGCTCAGGAATATATATACTTTGTAGGGTATAAAATGTATATTTCGTGGTGTTACAAACGGAATGACAAACTTAATATACCCTCCATATTATGGTGGAGGTTATAAAATTGGAAAATATTTTCGTTTTTTTGAACATTGATGTATATATTTTCTGGGGTATAATGAAAACAGAGATTTATTTTCCTTAGTGACTTATAGTTTTTTATATATATATGAATTATTGGCGTTTAGGTAAGATTTAGAGATTTGATGTCTTCTGGACCCTACAGTGAAATGTTGTGACAAATATTTTTGTAGAATATTCTGACTTGTTACAACCCAATTTAAGGGGAGTTTTTAACCGTATTTTTAAAAAATGGTCAAAAAGAAAAGAAAACGGATTCAGAAAAATCTTAATCTGAAAAATGTTAGAAAAAGGTGATTAGGTTACTTTGCGGTTTTAACCCTTTACAAAACCGATTTTTAGTTCTACTTTAATAATAATTTCGAAAAAATTGAATTATGTCGTACAGTGCTATATATTTTTTTATTTTTATAAAACTCTTTGGAAATTTACCAAAAAATCTAGCCTTATTTGGCGAATTCAGTCCTATATTGTCAATTAACTCCTTTATACCCTATATAATATTTGTGTTTTAGTTTTGTGTTTTCTACTTACTTTGGTGGTTTCTCAATTGTTCGGTACTCCTTGAAGGCCAACAACTCTCTTTGAATGCCCTCCAGAGAATTGGGGAAATCACGTTTTTGCAACTCAATAGTCTTTTGCCGAATCCAGCTCAACAAGTTGGTGGTCAAACGTTCGTAATAGATTTTCTTGCGATCGGCATCCATCAATTGGCCCACAATCTTTTGTGAAACAAAGAAAAAAAGAGAAAAAAAAAACAGAAAATAAAATAACAAACAATTACAAGACCTCTTTAAGAAAACCAATTAATGTCAAACAATTGTCTCATAGTTTAATTAACATTATTGCCATAGTTGTGTAAAAATCTATTTGTCATAAACTATCCCCTCTATTTCTTTCTTCCCCTTGGAAAATGGGGAAAATGTCATTGTTAATTTGCGTTTAAATAGACCGGAACTATTAATGCAAATTATTTGCCATAATAGTAAATGTACAGTCGTGTCGCACAGTGGATAGAATTTGTTCATAAATTTTGATGACAATTTTTTGAAAAAATGGATTGAAGATGTGAAACCAGTAAGGAAAAGTGAAAAGTCGGGCGGGCCCGACTATATGATACCCTACATCACCATGCATATTTAGTAGAGCTCCCATAAAAAAGAATTTATTTGAGTAGTTCATACCTCCTATCAACCTTTGGCTTTAGAGCAATTATAATTTGGTTTCAGAGTTAGGGAATATATGAGAGATATATTCAATTCTGAATCAATTTTCACTAAATTAGACGGAGAAATTTTAATCCTTTATACCAAATGACATTGCTATAGACTGCATGATATCACTTCGAGAAGGATTACATTAAAAATATGTATAGGAGCCGAGTTCCTCAAAATGGAAACATATGTCCTGAAATTCACTCCTTCTGGCACAATAAACCTCAAATCGGATATCCAAATGTAAGCCGATCTCGATCAAATTTGGCAAATGTATTTCCGAGTTATATAAAATAACTGGTTCCAAACATCATCGTTGTAGAATGCATATTACGAATGTGAGGATTGAACCGATTATCACCAAATTTGATGTATTTGTTTCTAGGCTAAATTCGATTGGATGTGCCAACATTTAGGACATTTGGACTGATATTGGCCTTTGGTGCACAATTAATCCGAAATCGGTTGATGATATATATATGGGAGCTATTTCCAAATCTGAACCGATCTTGATAAAATTTGGCAGAGGTATTTCGGCGCTGTATCTGATATGTGGTACCAAATATCATTGCTGTCGAACTCATATTACGCATGTGAGGGACTTAAAACCCCAAATCGGATGAAATATGTATATATGGGAGCTATATCTATATCTGAACCGATTTTCACCAAATTTAATCTTTTTGCTTCTAGACTGAATTCGGTTGAAAGTGCTAAAATTCAGGTCATTTGGATTTATATTGGCCATTTGGTGCATAATAAAACCGAAATCGGTTGAAGATATATATGGGAGCTATCTCTAAATTTGAACCGATTATCATCAATTTCAATAGGGTTCGTCCTTGGGCCAAACAAATATTGTTTGCAAAAGAATACATGGACAGACGGACTGACTTGCATAAATCCACTAAAAAAGTGATTCTATGAAGATCCTCAAAAGTAACTATGGGTCTATCTTGTATCCTTCTCCATTTTACAAACAAATGCACAAAGACATAATGCCCTTACCACTATGTGGTATAGGGTATAAAAAGGAAATTATTAAGGCTAGATTAAACATGATTTTAGAGTCATATGTAAAGTGATTTTGTGCAGTATTTTCATAACATACTTGTAGGCGTTTCCCAGTATTTTGAATAATAATATTAATATTAATAAGAATATAGATTCTAGATCTATCACAGCGTTATTGTAATGTATAAAAATCTTTGGGAGATCCTTAAAGTATGCTTCAAAAATGTAAAAATAAAAAAGTCACTTTATGTGTATCCAATACTTTTTGATAAAAATTTCAAAATTTGGAAAAATGGATTGCAAACTTTGCCATATTTATGGGTGCAGAGATTTACCGGCTGTTCTGCAGGATTTATAGTGATTGAGACCGTTAACATATTTTTAGATTGAAATTGCTATTCAATTGGGCTTTCTGTGGGACTATTACATAGGGATCCATGGTTAGTACCATACACACTCATTTACTTACATTGGCAATACGTTTTCCACTCTTTTGCTCGTTCTTCATGCGAGCAAAGGTGTGATAATATGAGGCCACATATGTTAGAATTGATTTTTCATCGGGACGGGCCGAGTCAACATCTTCGGCATCCAATAAACTGTAAATTGAAAATAGACAAAAAAAAAAAAATTGAATTCACCCAAAAAATATGAAAATTTATTTCAAACGACATTGGAAAATTCTTACTTACCTTGGTATACCCAATTCGGTGGCGGCCAAATCAAAGGCATGATTCAAATTGTCGATATTTGAATTTTTCGAATTAACAATTGTGCTGTATTCAAACAAATCGGGACGGTGCGAATGGATCAGAGCATTGAAACCCAAACCGGAACGCCATGACGAGGTGAAATCTTGAATATTGACACCGGGATAACCGTGAGTTTTACGCTGACACCACAACAGTAAAGCATCTTTGGCAGAACGTTTTTCAGACGATTCGTTTTCTTCGTCCTGTAAAGGAAAATTAAAAAGGAAAAAAAAAAACAGAAATATTAAAAATATATTCAAAAACAGCAACGAATAATTAGAAACAATGAAGAGAGGCCTCTGACATTGCGTTGGACAAAACAAGTAAAAAAGCAGATAAATTCGGCCGGGCCGATCTTTTAATACTGTAACCTTTTAATAAAATCCGTTGAAAAATACCACTTAAATGAAAACCGTTATATGGGGGATATACGAAGACGTGGACCTGCATAATACTTTTTTTGTCATAGGCTGTAGTATCAATTCCGAACTTCTAATATGAAATTTGAAACAAGTCCGTTGAATAATGTCGCTAATATCATCAAAATACTGAATAAAGGGAGGTACCGTTATATGTGGGCTATACGAAGACATGGACCTGCATAGACAATTTTCTGGCATAGGTTGTAGTACTCATTACGAGCTTAAACTTTAAATACGAAATTTGAAACAAGTCCACTCAAAAATGTTGCTAAAATCATCAATGTACCGAATATCGGGGGGTACCGTTATATGGGGGCTATACGATATCGTGGACCTACATAGGCAATTCTCTTCCAGAAGGTAACGTACTCAGAAGGAACTTCTTGTGTTGATTTTCAGACAATTTCATTGAAAAATGTGGCTGAAATCATGACAACGCCGAATATTAGGAAGGTACCGTTACATGGAGGATATACGATATCGTGGATCTATATGGACAATTCACATCCAGGTAGTAAAGTACTTATAAGGAACTTTTTATACCCTACAACACTATGTGTTGGGGGTATTATAAGTTTGATTGGGCCAAAAATTATGTAACACCTCGAAATATTGGTTTCCCATATAGGAAAGTATATATGGATCTTCCTAGCTCGCCGAGCTGAGTCGATCTAGCTATGTATGTCCGTCCGTCCGTCTGTCCGTCTGTCCGTCTGTCCGTCTGTCCATGTTAATTTGTAATCACTCTACAGGTCGCAATTATGGCCCGATCTTCACGAAATTTAGAATGGAGGTGGGGCTAGGGTCAGAATAGAACCCTATTTCTTTTGGAGATGATCGCCAAATGTTTAGGGGTTGAAATGGACCAAATACTGAAAAAATGTCGGATTTTGCAGTAGCTATACAGGTCGCAATTATAGACCAATCGACGCGGAATTTCGCATGTAGCTAGAGTTTAGGGCGGGGAAGAAGCCTACCAATTTGGGTGGTCATCGGATAATATTTAGCGGGTAAAATAGACCATATCTTTTTTGTTGAAAAAATTCAAAATTTTTCATTAAACCGCGAATATTTTAAATCCCGGCGAAATCACAAAGCCATGACAAGGTTACTTCTGATCTTTACATTGATGTCAACATCCATCAAATCGGATATATAGCAAAATATGTGCGATATATATATCTATCAAAGAAGATATGCTTGAAAAATCTCTTATATGTCGAGAACGGCTGAACTGATTTCGACAGTTCTCATTAATTCAGAATGGCCTTTTGGCAGGAAAGAAAAAACGTCTAAAAAAATCGCATAAAAATATCTATCTAAAGATGAAAATATTGATTTTGTAAAATTTTCTCATATTTTTTCAATTTTGTCATATTTTTGGCATATTTTCATTTTGAATTAAACATTTGGTAATATTTCTACAGCTAACAAAACTAAGTAGTTAAGATATCAGGATATCATATACAGATCGCATTTATGGCCCGATCCTTACGAAATTTTGCATGGAGATAAGATGAGGGTCAGAATAGAAGCCTACTCTTGTTGGAGATGATCGCCATATATTTAGGGGTTGAAATGGACCAAAAAACTGCAAAATTGTCAGCAGGTCGTAATTATCGCCCGATCCTCACGCACATTTGAATGGGGGTTACCGCATATTGCAAAAGCCAAGCAGTTTTGGATGGACATCCAAAAATATTCAATATGCGAAATAGTTTGCCAACTTTTGTAGACAAAATACGAAAATATCCATTCCAGTGACTTTTAGGAGAATTCACAAATACAGGAAAGACGCACTTCTGACTATTTCGTTAAGGCTGATTTCGTTGAAGAATATAGTCAAATGTCTGTATCTCATATAGATGCGTTTCAGTCAAAAACCAATAATACATGTTGATCTTTTGCCACTTCTGAGAGATTATAGGTATTTGGGAAATATTGGTTCCAGATCTAGGAAGACCATTTACCAATAAATTGGGAATGAGAAAATTAGTTTAAGTTGCTATTATTCGAAAATTAGAGAACGAAACCTGATGGTTTTCTTTTATTATCTGTCACAATATCTTGTGGAATTCTTTCGACTATCTCGCCCATATAAACTGTATCATTTATTATAGTGTTGTAGGGTATTCAACGGTCGGCCCCGCTCGACTGTAGCCTTTGCTTACTTGTTTTTGTTGATTTTGAGACAATTCCATTGAAAAATGTGGTTGAAACCATCAAAATACCGAATATCGGAAGATACCGTTATATGGGCAATATACGATATAGTGGACCTACGTAGACAATTCTTTTCCAGGGGGTAAACTTCTCATAAGGAACGCCTTGTGTAGAATTTCAGACAATTCCATTGAAAAATGTGCCTAAAATCATCAAAATACCGAACATTGGGGGGTACCGTTATTTTGCGGCCGTACGATATCGTGGACCGATATACCAATCTTCGAACTTTATATTAATACAAAAATACTTACCACATCAATTTCAATTTCTTGAATTTGAAACCGCAAAATGATGGTCCAAATCAAACCCAAAATCAAACGGGGATTGCCATCGACAATGTCCTCAGCACCAATGGATTCCAAGCGGACCTGTAAACAGATACAAATAATGATAAATTATTGAAATTTCAATAAATATTTTCATAATCTAAAAAAAATAAGGTTTAAAAGAATATTTTGTACAAATTATTACAAAATTTTGTTCGATAACCCAAAGTCCAGCAAATTAGAGGTAAAAAGAACGATTTTGATAGTTGATAGAAGATCTCCTAAATAGCTTTGCTCTTAAGTAGAGCTGCTAAAAATCTTAGCTCTACAAAAAAAAAAAAAAAAACGCTGAAAGTCCTCTCTCTAGGCAAGACCTGTCAAAGGTCTCCCCAGAAGTCTGTTAAAGGCCTTTTCTTTATGGAAACAACACTTTAAAAATTTTCTCTCTGTAGGAAGCCTTTAGGGGTCTTCCTCTATAGATCTGTTAAACGGCTTATTTTAGTAACAGATCCATTGAATCATTCTCTCTATAGAAAACTTATTAAAAGTCTTTACGCTATAGAAGACCTACAATAGTTTTTATACCCTACACCATAAGGTGGTGAGGGTATTGTGTCTTTGTGCATTTGTTTTGGCACAGGCAGAAGAAAACGAGATAAACCCATAGTTTCTTTTGATGATCTGCATCGAATCACATTCTAAGTCGATTTATGCATGTCCGTCCGTCTGTCCGTCTATCTGACCATGTATTTTTGTAAACAAAGTACAGGTCGCTGTTATTGCCCGATCCAGATTAAATTTTGAACAAGCAATTCGTTTGAACCAAGGACAAGGCCTATTGAATATTTGCCCAGATGGGCACATACAATCAAACTAAGCCTGGAAATAAGTATGTCAAACTTGGTCGAAATCAGTTCAATTGTAGCTATAGCTCCCATATTTATTGTTCAACCGATTTGTTATTTTTGTCCTCCTCAGCCGCAATATGCACTCTGTAACAACTATATTTGGGGAAACGTATCAAATACAGTTCAGATATATCTTTGTCAAATTTTATCGAGATTGGTTCAAATTTGGATGTAGCTCCCATATATGTCTTAGTCCTATTTAATTTTATTCTAATATTTTTATACCCTCCACCAAAAAAGGTATGGAGGGTATATTAAGTTCGTCATTCCGTTTGTAACTCATCGAAATAATCATTTTAGACCCAACAAAGTATATATATTCTTGATCAGCTTAAAATTCTAAGACGATTTAGCCCTGTCCGTCCATCTGTCCGTCCGTCCGTCCGTCTGTTGTAATCACGCTACAGTCTAAACGAATTAAGATAGGAAGCTAAAATTTTGCACAGATCTCTCTTTTGTCTGCAGGCAGGTCAAGTTCGAAGATGGGCTATATCGGTCCACGATATCGTATAGCCCCCATATAACGGTACCCCCGATATTCGGTATTTTGATGATGTTAGCCACATTTTTCAATGGAATTGTCTGAAAATCCACACAAGTAGTTCCTTGTGGGTACTTTATACCTCGGCAGAGAATTATCTATATAGGTCCACAATATCGTATAGCCTCCATATAACGGTACTCCCCTATATTCGGTATTTTGATGATTTTAGCCACTTTTTCCAATGGAATTATCTGAAAATCCATACAACTAGTTCCTTGTGAGTACTTTACACTCAGACATAGATTTGTCTTTATATGTCCACAATATCGTATATCCCCCCATATATCGGCACCTTCCTATATTAGATATTTTAAAGATTTTAAAAGAATTTTTATTGGATTTAATTTTTTTGAAAATTTTCTAATTAGTTCCAAATGGTGGAGGGTATTCAAAGTTCGGCCCGGCCGAACTTACTGCTTTTTTACTTGTTATTACTGGCTTTACTAGAAAAGTTATCGTACATAATTATTATTACAAACTGTTGTTCGATAACCCAAAAGTCCAGTAAATGAGTGTGAATTTACAATGATATTTACATTACTGAAACTTTACAAATTCTTATTGAGAAAATTTACTCATCGAGTTATCAAACAGACCTATTATTCACAAATATGTTATCATATTCAACTTTGGTTTGTGTAATTTGGCAAATATTTTTATTTTTTGGCCAAGTGGTGTTCACTCCCACCAAAAACCACAAAAAAAATAAAAAAAAAAAAAACAAAGAAAACAAGTTTGACAACACCTGCTGCTGCTGCAGTAGGTTTTTGTTGGGTCTGCACTTTAGATAATTTTGGAATTTGTATATGTTTGTATGTCAAACAATAAGTAGTGTCCACAAGTATTGTGTGACCTAAGGTGAATGATGAATTATGTGTTGCGTGAGTTGGTTGGTTGATGGGTTGGTTGGTTGGTTGCTTGGTTGGTACACACATATAAACGTGGTATGCAAGTGATGCCGTTAGCCATCGCACTCATTGCTAACTGTTGAGGAAAATCAGTGCACCACCCCACCAATTTCATTCGATCCGATATGCATCTCAGGTATTGTGAATTATTACCTTTTTACGTTATTATATCGTCTATAGACACATGTCCGCTAGGTTCCATCTTTGTTGTTGTGGCCATACGCATTTCACGTCTTCATTGATGTATGTCAACAAACATGTCGGTGAGATTTGTAACACAAACCTTATTTGTTGTTCGATTGTTGTCGAAGTGATTTTCTCTTTACAGTCAGTGGTCAAATGTATGTGAGTGTGTGTGTGTGTAAATTAACATGCAGATGTGCCACACTTCAATGGAATTAAAAAAAAATTGAAGAAAAAGACGTTCAGTTCGACCGGGCGATCTGCAGAATAACCTCAACTATGAGGGAAAAGAAAAACAGTGTCAAGATTTAATCTTTGAGCGAATTTCAGCAAATGCCAACGAAATGTCAGGACATTTATGAAAATAAAGAAGTAAAATAGTATCAGTGTATCCCCAGCCTTGGAACCTGGGGGAGGTTCCGAAGCAGGTGGCCAATATTGACTAATCTGACCTAAGACTGATACAAATATTACAAAGTGCCAGAATTGGACTATATCGACTACTTCCTATTCCTTATATGAGATATGTGGACAATTTTGGAAAATGTGGAAATATGCGTGATGTAACAGCTATAGCGGACCGAAGCATTCTTGTAATACAGATAAAAATATTGGTATGTGCAAAATTCAGATATCAGATTTCTGATTGAGAGTAATATTTAGATATAGCAAGTTGCAAAGAATCGCCGACTTGTTTCGCAAGTTATGACAGGTAAAAGTATTGGAAATTGTGACATTTTGTGGGTGTGGTAGCAGAAGAAAAGGTGCGATCTCTACAATCTCTATAACACATCTTGTGTTGATGAAAATATTGAGATGTACCAAGTCTGTATGGAATCGGATGTTAATTTCGCGTTATATGAGCTTCGTGGATATTAAAAATGTTGACCCTTTGTGGGGGAGGTATCAGAAGGAGTGGACCGATATATTCCATCGTCACAGCAGATCCTGTGTTAGTAGAAATAATAATGTAATAGATCTTGTGTTGATGGAAATATTGATGTGTGCCAAGTCTGAATGGAATTGTTAATTTCGCGTTTAATTAAAATGTTGATTTTTTTTGTGGTGGAGGTACCAGAAGGAGTGGACGGGTATATTCCATCTTCATACCAGATCTTGGGTTTAGAAAAATATTGTGATGCGTGTGATTTGAAGACAATCGGACTCTTACTTGACATTTTATAAGAGTTAGAAGTATTTCAAAATTTTAATCTTTTGTGGGGGAGGTACTTGATGGGGTGAACCGTTATTTTCCATTTTCGCACCTGACCTAGCACTGATGCAAGTACTAGGGTTTGCAAAGTTGGAGAAAAGTCGGATTATCATTTCTCTTTCTGTGCAGTAAAACATTTTTTTGAAAATGTTGAGCCTTTGTGGTGGAGGTACCACCAGGAGTTTACCGATATTGCCCATCTCCAAACTCGATCTATGTTTATAATAAGTTTACGATGCACCAAGTTTGGTCAAAATCAGATACTCCCTTCGAGAGTTATCGTGCGCACCAGCCAGACAGACGGACGGACATCATTAGATCGGATCCAAATGTCCTGAAACGGATTTGGCCCAAAGAGACCTAAAACCTTTTTTTTTCGATGAGGCACGTTTTGACCGCATCAAATGATATATACCCTCTCTAGCCATATGGCTGGGGGTATAACTAGCCATATGGGCGAGGGCGAGCGATAATAAATAAAACTCATTGATGCATGCCTTAAAATTCTATTTAAAATAATGTGGCTCTAGTGCAGAGTTGCATTTTCCTGTGATTCTTTGAAATGATACTACCTTTCTATTTGTTGTCTTAACATTCTGTGAAAGAAACAATGTGAACTACAAAATATATAATAAAAACGATACATCAGCTGGAAAACATTCACTTTTTTTCAACTGCATTAGGGTGCGTGTCTAAACGCCATAATGCTCACACTTTCATGTCATAGCGTATATAAGGCAAATAACTGGCGATCATTTAGACACAGACTGATCCATAATTATCGTCGTCATTATTATTATCACCATGCACGCTGACGCTGACGTATAAGTACATACCGACATCTGTATGTACATACATGTCAGTGAGATATATGGATATGATGTTGCATATTTTGTTAGATTTTATTTGGACTTGTGTCGGAATGTTGTTGTAGAAAACAAAAACACAAAAAAAAAAAACAAAACTTTCACTTTTCATTTTAAACACTCCGAGATGAAAGATAAAAGTAACGCTGATGATGATGACGGCGACGAATGCACTTGCTGTGAAATCACAAGTATAAGCTAGTCTTAACATGCACGCATACATGTATAGGTATCATGTTTAAGTTAGATACTAGTTTGCAACATATTGGCGGTATAATGGCGGTTTTATCCAAACATGGTACATCGTAATGTTATTGTCGAACTTAGATCGAGTTCGGATATGGCCAATATCGATACACTCCTTCTGGTATCAAAAGATTGAAATTTAAAAAATTATCCGATTTGGCTCCAACTTTGCAAATCCTAATACTTCCAAATTTCGAATGTCAATGAAGCAATGAAGCAACGGGAAATTAACAT